TTCCGTTCCTTGAACGCGGAGCGGGCCGATTTTGGGGTTCTTGAGTAGCATTTGCAGCATCTCCGGGTCGGGGCTTTCGACATAGTATTTGGTATTTTTCAAGACAAGCTTGACTTTTCCATATGTTTGCGTGCAGCTGGTGATGAAGGATCGAATTTCGTCGGGCAGTGGTGTCTTGAGGAATCTCTCGAGGGTATTGATGATGTCCGCCGGAGACAGGCCTACAGACACAGCAGCGTACAGGCTGTGCATGGTGAGAGCGTACTCGTGCATGAAGGTCGGTCGGGACAAGGGCTCGGAAATGGTAACGAGGAAATCTTGCGCCTGCTCGGCCAGCGGGCTGAAACTTTCTAGGATGATGCGACCCTTTTGGGGATCAATCCATAGAGGTCTATTCCGGTGATCCTTTTTCAGGACAAGATACGAATAGTCATTGTCACCAAATATATGTGGAAGCGGCTCTTTAATGTGGTGGCGCTTCTGATATCGATTAAGAGAGAAGCGATCTATGTTCTTGTCGATATCTCGCTCGAGGACTTCGTCAATTGGTGCGTCGTCTTCCTCGGCTTCATCGTTACTACCGATGCTTCGAGGCGTCCCAACACCTGGCGTGCTTAACCGCGATGACCGCCCGGTTTTTGTCCCCCCTTGCACGTTGCCGCTGGCTTTCCGCTTGGGAGGCATAGTCGCGAGAGGAATGCCTTTGGCACAGAGCGATAAAATATGTGCTGAGAGAATTCGGCCACCAGTGTGCTGGCGCGCGTAATGTTGCAATAAAAGGATAGAATGGATAGAATGGATAGAATGGATAGAATGGATAGAATGGATAGAATGGATAGAATGGATAGAATGGACAAAATGGACAAAGCGTGAAGATATAGTAGCGTCACCACGAATGACAGCGCTGACTAATAAAGCAGCTGATTCTTACACCAGAATGGACAAAGTTTTCCAGGCGTGAAAGGTTTATTCCAGGCGTGAAAGGTTTATCCCAGGCGTGAAAGGTTTATTCCAGGCGTGAAAGGTTTATTCTAGGCGTGAAAGTTTTATTCCAGGCGTGAAAGGTTTATTCTAGGCGTGAAAGTTTTATTCCATGCGTGAGTAGTATCACCACGAATGACAGCGCTGACTAAGCAGCTGAATCTTAAATCTTACAGCACACACCAACGTGGGGTGGCTGCCCCTCCAAAGCTGCAATAACAGTCAGGCGATTGATTAATCTTCTACAGCATTTCACATATTTTGGGTTGGAATTTCAGCAGCTATGTGGTAAGGAACGGTCATGAGCCAGACACCCCAGGCATCTCTGACAGAACCACAGCAAGCATATCCTCAACGCGCAGGTTGCGATCCGATCAGCATGCTGTATGAACTACCGCCACCCGACCCCTAATGATCAAGACTAACCATGACTCTGCTTCATCAAGGCCGCAAATGGTTCGATTGTGCGGAGTGCCATGCTGAACAAGAGCAACATCCACTTCTACAATCACACGATATGACATTTGCCTGCAAAAAGTGCAAAAAATGTTTCCGGAAAGATACTTTAGAGTTCGACGAGAGCGACGAATACTGCCCCCACTGCGATAATCACTTTGTCATCGAGGCCAAGATTGCCAAACCGGCGCTCACCATCGAAGGTGACGATACACGCATGAATAACAAACTCCTCAAAGACGACAGAGCGCGAGGGAAACCGCTTCTCCGATCGATGTTCGACCCAGACGAAGATACCAATAAGCTGGGTTAAAGACTGTCGACACTTATGAATTCACGTCTTGTTTAGAAGGTTCAGTGGCATTGATGCCTGTGTTTTTTTTTTAAATCAATACCAGTCTGGGGAGTGCATAGTGGTTGTATAGCGGCGTTTGCTACTTTAGCATTATTCAAAAGTTCAATTCAAGGAGCAAGTATTTGGAAGAAAGTGTTCATACAGTGGCTTTGTGCTATCAAGAACGGTCAATCGCTACTCGACAACTGACAAACCACGGGGTTCATTTGTTCTAAACTACTCAGCGGCTGAGTCATCCTGGCTTCTAGTGGGAATCGCCGTGCCACTGATGGCAGGAGTGCGGCCAGTCTTCTTCTTGGCAGCCTCTTCCTGCTTCTCCTGCTCAATCTCCTTGACATAGCGCTCAATCTCGTCCGTCGGAAGCATTTCAATAGTGGCGCCGGGAGCCATCAGAGCAATTTCGATGTTCTTAGCTCCTGTTTGCACAACTTCCAATAGCGATTTGATGGCCAGGCGGATAGTAGCCTCCCGGTCCATCTCCTCCTTGTAGTTGCGTTCCAGGAACTCGCGGACAGTCTTGCTGGAGCGGCCGATAGCGTTGGCCTTCCAAGCCGAGTAGATGCCCGATGGCTCAGTCTGGTAGAGGCGAGGGACCTTGCTGTTCTTGTCAAAGCCGACAACCAAGGTGCTGATGCCGAAGGGGCGGACACCGCCAGCCTGAGTGTACCGTTGTTGCACGCCGGCAACGTATTTTGTGATGTATTCGATGGTGGCGGGGTCTTCAACGGTCAGTCTGTGGGACTGAGCCTCTAGACGTGCCTTGTCGACTAGAATTCGGGCGTCTGCGTTCAGGCCAGCGAAGGCCAGGGCAGCGTGGTTGTCGAGAACTTGAATTTTAGAGGGGGTGATTCGGGTATCTTGGAGCTTCATGGCAGAGCGCTTCTCGCAGCCAAGAACAACAACATCTTTTCCCTTGACACCGACAGCGCAGGTACCTACAAATGAGAGCAATCAGTGCCAATTCAAGCAACTTGAACAGCGCGACAGCAGCATAAGCACAAGCACTTACCTCGCTTCACGGCTTCACCAGCATATTCGACCTGGAAAACGTGTCCATCGGGACTAGAATCAATGTTAGTACGCGCTGCAGTTTGTTCAAGCGCCTAGGTGGTCATTGTTACCTAAACACTATTGCGAAGGTTAGCTTCAAGCACCAGAGGTTGAGGGAGAGCGTCGGATGTGATGCGAGTTTACGTACCAGACAGAGCTCTGTCATAACCCGAAGCCATCGTGTCTGTAGCTGTGTTTTTCTATCGTCTTGATAGAATTTGCCCGCAAGGTAGGTGGATGTCGTACGAGGCGGATTGGAAGATGGGCGTGAATAGTCGTTCTGTTGCGCGCAGGTCAAGAACAGGCACTGGGAATGATGCGTAGCTTGCCAGTGGAGCTTCGTCAGAGTGGCAGCCTGCCTGCGCAACCAAGCCAGGCGAGCCACGCCGGCTGGAGCACTGCTGACCTAATACCTAGTAGTACAGCCAAACAGACATTCAGCCGACGTTTACCCGGAGCAGAGACCAGATAGTTATATCAATATGCCAATTGTATTACATACTTTTGAGATTTCTCTTATTAGTTATTGAAGGAAAATCTTCACTCACTTCTCGGCTGCAAACAAGAGTGGTGCTGTGCAAGGAACAGCATACATAACGTGGTATTCAAATAGTAATCTGTACAAGATACATTCAACCTTGGCGCCACAACACAGCAATTAAATGCATCTTTACATTCAATATCCGGAGAACAGGGAAAATCACTAGTCGTCGCGTATCGAAGCGGTGAGAATCATTCAATAGCGATATGATGCATGCAGGCCCAAGGGGTGGACCTTCAGCACCACGAATATCTACCCGCTCGGGTTAGATGCGCTCGTCAAGTTTCTGCTTTTCATAACGTAATTATGAGACAAAATATTATTAATATGTATCGAGTTCTGCTGCGCTATCGCTAATTAATTTGCGCTGAGAATCCCCATCATCGAAGAGTGAGCTTCATTTGCACCTTTTTGATGTCTCGTCGACCACTTACCCGGGAGGTCACCATACTTGTGTGGCAACGCAACTCAAACGTTCATGGGTCGCTGCCCAGCTATTTGCTTTATCGGATGCAACTGATACTTTCGACATGGATTGATTGTAGACGCAATATAGACGGATTGGCCCCTAAGCTGATTCTTGGCTACTTTGGCCGCCGCAGATAGTATCCCACTTGGTTCCGTAATGAACCGAGCTTTTGCATTAGAGGAGAAAGAATTCATCTAGCAATATTCGGGGGGAAGCTGCAATTAATTTATATATATATATAGTTTGGCCGCGAGTCGTTTGATGAGAGTCAGCAGTTGGATCTCGCCATGACGAATACTGTGCCTGTGAAATCGATATCTGCTTTTCTCGGCTATTTCGTTCCATTATCGACCCTCTAGTGCGTGCCCTCCAATCTATGCACAGCGATGTAGTACCACTCACGCAGTGATATGTATCACAAGCGGAAAAAGTGAGACACTTTATACAAAGACAGAGGCGGTGTCCTTGCCGTCTATTCGCATGCGCCGGACACTCCACATCCTTCGTCACGAGAAAATTGATGAAATCTAATTTCCGCACGTTTGAAATTGATCCGTCTCTCCTACTAAATTCCATATCCTTGGCTCCCTCTTTCCTGTGCCTTCCAATGCTTGAATTGGTGCCATGGCGAGATTTACATACTCGAACCCCTTCACTCAGGAGCTGCCGACCTGGGTAGCAAACAGTACATCGCTCCCCATTCGCATTAGCAAACACGTCGAAGTTGCCAACCTGGTATCGCAGAAGCTTGTAGAAACCTGGAAAGCGGCCGGGCTGCCGACTCAGTCCGGGGATGGGGAAGAATACTTGGGTAACGCCTCCTCTTGTCATGGCATTTCGCTCTGCGTTCCTGAGGCATTGCCTGGGCGCATCCCGGACGCTGTCAAGTTGCTCGACTTGGTTTGCGTTTTCGACGGTCAGTAAATCCGCTCCGATAATCCTACCGGAAATACTAAAGCAGAATAGACAACCAGGACGCGCGAAGCTGCCAGGGCGATCACTATTCTTGGAGAGCAAAGATCGCGGTGATGAAGATCGCAGCTAGCCTTCTTATACGAAACCCACTCTCCGTAGCAAGCTCAGTCAAGGCTTCCATCATATACCTTCGGAGCCTACGAAAATCTCCGCCTGTTTTCCCCGCTGAGCGCCAGTCATTCAGCGACCTGTTTCCAGTCCGACTATACGACTTTCCCTGCGCGTAAGACCTGTTCTTGTTGTCCGTAAGCGTGCGTTGAGCTTACTATTGTTCCACAGTATTATAATGCCCAGTTTGGCTTTTGTTCTGGGGCTTGAGCTTTCGACCAAAGATGTCACCATTCTTCGCTGCCTGGACATTGTGAGCACGGCCGCCATGGCGCTGAGCAACGACGTCATGAGCTGGCCAAAAGAGACGGTGGAGAGCTTGTCAAGCAAGTCGGAACCGTGTTCCGCGGTGACCATCTTCTTGAAGCAACCGGGCTGCGACCAGAGACTAGCGCTCCTGCAGTGCCGCCACAAGCTCCTGCAGTTTGAGATGAAGGCGGCGCTTCTCGTGGATGAGATTCTCGCAAATCTAGCTATATCGCCCAACGCTAAGAAGATGGCACAAAGTTATCTTTTAGCCATCGCGGGATTTGCAGTGTGGCAATGCAGGGGTAAGAGGAATAACAGTAAAGGGCCTGTGATGGATCTTGTGAGGGAGGTGTGGGAGAGTCCGCTACCGCCTGCAACCTTGAATGATGCATTCGAAGCGGATTTAGCGTTAATTATAGATGGATACATGTCCATTTACAGGAAGCACTACTCTGAATAATCACTTGCGCCTGGATATAACTTCATCCTAGATTCTGACTCCGTCGATCTTGAACGTTGAACAGGGCACGGGGAAATGGTTGGATAGAGAGTAGAGTACTACCATCTCGCACTGACTGGTGATGTAGACTGGGAATGTAACAGCAGGTAGAATCAAGATAGAACCAGGAACTTTGATGTTACACATGCTCAGATTCTCCTGCAGTTTCATGGACCTTGTCTTCCCGCCAAAGTAGCACGAGCAATATGAGGCGACAAATGAATATGGGCCGCTAGAAAACCATCCGGAAGCCGAGATTTGCATATTACATGCATTTGAAAGAGAATGACGTAGGTGCTTGATCCAGAAGCAAAGCGCCAGTTGCCATAGGTAACGAGAAGGCCGCCAACAAGTTGGGTCTGGCAACGCCTGCGAGGGTAACAATGGCACAAATCACAGCGAACACGAGTATATGAGCCGCGAATGCGACATATCCAAGTTGACAACTAGAGATATCGCATGCCATTGGCTCCAGAACCTTGCAAAACCCGAAACATAGTCAGCTGGTCTAGTATTTTGCGACGTGCCACATGCCACGAATGTGGCAATGACGACAGCCAAAGATGTACCGATGACGGGAGTTCTGTCGCGTAGCAGTAAAATAGATCCACACCCGGCTTACATGGAATTAGGTTAAGTACTGCTCAATGCTCTCTACCGACAGTACTAGACCTCGTACACGCTTCTTTGAGTGCATCTCGATTCTACCATTCTCCTCCTCCGAGTACGTAAGGAAGCATAAACCTCTGTAATATTCGAAAATCACCAAAACCGTCGGCGACTCCTAGTTACTGGTAGTCATAAGTTGCCACAGAAGCAGCGTCCATCAAGCTGTTGCTGCAGCTGAAAGGCAGCAAGCAAATCAACCAGGGTGGGACAAAAGACACAGAGCGCTTCGCGTTCCTGCAACTGAGAACCGGGGTTCTCTTTAATTAACAGAGCGGGTGTACCGCTATCTGTACCCCGTATGCCGCCACTTTGGTACTGCAGTTTCTGAGACAATATAGGTCAGCGAAGTCGACGCATCTCAGCTGTGACTGTGACGAGACCGCCGTCACATAGCTACCGGTAGTTAGACCAATGGTTAGTGACGTGATTGTACGTTTATTTTCTTTTTCTCACAGTTGCTGTTCAGCAATCATTCTATTGTGTCACCCGCATACCCGGCTGCTCATTGATAGAGTCCACCGCTTTCTGCGAGGAGAGTCGTCATGTGCCGCCTGGTCAAGGTCTTACAATTGAGCGGCTATAATGCAGCCTTGATGATATAGTTGAAGCTCATTTTCTGTAGCGCATCTAGATGAAATTTACTATTTTTACGATATAATAAGGGTTTGGCTTGTCAAAACGACACACAGCGACACAGAATTCCCAGAGATGGACTCAGAGATGAATTCAATGCGGGCAGAACGGACCGGGCGGGCCACCAATCTTCTAGCAAAACTTCTCCATGGTGTTCTTCAGAGATCCTCATCAGTATATCTTGGTGCCCGCAGACTGAGAAACTCTGCCAAGCACCGGCGCCGGTCGAGAACGGCGCCTACCGCAAGTGACATTGAAGCGATGGTGTCGACCCTCAGCAAGACACCAAGACACCTAAGCGCAATATTCGACGCTGGCACATCTATGGAGCAAGCTAACACGGAGAAGCTTATTCAAGAGGCTGCCGAGTTTGCTGCGTGGTCTGTCGTCGCCGGGATTGCTACCGTTTCAATCTACGATAGGCGAGGTGGGCAACATGCTTGCCCCCCCCCTGAATTCACGTTGCTAATGTAAAGATAGGGATTTTAAAGAAGAATGCGCGATCACTGCGAATCTTCACCAGCCTGCGAATTCGAGAGTTTGCGCCCCATCAGAGGCATCGGGTCTCGGTCCGGCTCAACGGGCAAGAGTCGCTGGCGCGGGAGGACCCTGACGGCGAACCGCCCAGCCTCACCATCTACCTGCTCTCCGAGGAGGACGGGAGACACACGCTGGGCAGCATCGCCGAGGCGCTCTCTGAAAAGGTCAAGGCTGGAGAGGTGAGCATTGCCGAGATTTCCGTCGGCCTCCTCGCCGGGAAGCTGCAGTCGTCTGTCATGCCGCTGCCGGACCTCGTCGTTGTCTTTGGGCCTGAAATGAAGTTTGACGGATACCCGCCCTGGCATCTGCAGCAGGCGGAGATGGACACGCTGCCCGACAACGACACGTTCAGCTACGTCGCGTTCGCGCACGCGCTGCACCAGTTTGCCACTGCGGAAATGCGGCACGGCAAGTAAGTCACATCGTATGTACATTACCGACCTTTAAGACGGCGGAACAGATAGTGTGCGCATGCAATTTATACTCTTGTGTCACACTTTCCCGAGACAATCATGTCGTGTTACCGACCAGGGTGCCAGTGACGGGGTTGAATGTTGGATGCCTTTTACGTTTTCGGTGCATCTGATGATGCTCGGCTGAGACTGGCAGAAAAAATTTGCTATGTTGCTGACTCTCGTGTGACGAAATTGTTCCCACGTCTATATCCATCACGTACATGGCATTCCTATCTTCGCGACCGAGGCATAAAGACTCATCGACAATGAAGTCATCGAGCTCCTCGCCAAATAATCAGCCGGCTCCGCGAGGGAGAAGCCGCCTCGACCAACGGCTGCTGAGCCTCGCCGTCGCAACGGCCAGACGCGGTCCAGTACCAAGGCACATTGCCTTTATCCTGGATGGAAATCGACGCTGGGGGCGGCGTCGCGGCCGCTCGCTCCGCCAAGCGTATCTCAAGGGATGGCAGCAAGTAAAAAAGGTTGGAGCAGATTCAAAATCCTTCCGAGTTCCTCCTACATGCATTCATAGTAACCACAAGTTGACCAGTACGTCGAGTTCTGTAGCCGATGCGGCGTCGAGGCGATTTCCGTGTACGCCTTTAGCGTGGAGAACTTCAAGCGGTCGGCCGACGAGGTTTCCACCGTCCTGGAGATCGTCATGGAGAGCTTAGACGAGCTGGTCCAGCAGATGCGTGACCTTGACGGATCAATCCGGCTCTGCGGACAGCGTGACCTGGTGAGCGCAGCCGTGTTGGAGGGACTGGACCAAGCCGTTGAAAGCACCAAGCAAAACAAGAGGTGCATTTCTTTTCTTGTGTATTGTCTTTACCTTGTTATTCCCCGGCTAACTTTCCCCAAAAAACAGCATCATTCTCAATATTTGCTTCGCATATGCCTCGACAGCGGAGATTCAGATGGCTGTGCAACGGAGCATCCAGGAGCGCCTCACCGAACAGGCGGCTGCCGGTGATGCGACGCATAGCCTCAGCAGCGCGCCGATCAACATGGTGGCCGCTCTGGACCGGAACATGTATACGGCAGGCAGCCCGCCTCTCGATCTGCTCGTCCGCACGGGCAACACGCACCGCCTCAGTGATTTTCTGCTGTGGCAGTGTCACGAGGACACGTCCATTGTCTTTGTGAAGAAGTCGTGGCCCGAGTTGAGCATCCCCCGCGTTCTCGCTATTTTGATCGAATGGCGGCGGGGCAAAAGCGTTGAAAAAGACAAGAAAGGAGCCCTAGATTAACGGAACTGGTCATTCTTTGCTTTGTGAAAGAAGGGAACGGGTTCCTGGTTCCTCTCCTGGTGGAGTCGGGGGCGGTACGAGGCTGTTGGAAGCGGAGTAGAGACTGAGACATGGTGTCATACATATGAGCTGAAATAGCTAGTCGATAAATGGAAAAAACTATCGATCAACTAGTTAGTAAAATCTTACTTGATAAATGGCAAAAGGTGGACTTTGTCATGACCGTGGCTGGCTGTGCTGTACCATGTGACGACGTTTGGTAACCAAAAGAGTGATGATCGAAAACCACCAATACTGCAGCAAGCGTACCAAAGCATAATCATTTGTAGAGTATAGCTTCACAAGACAAAGGGTAGTCGTCTCTAGAGGATGAGGGTTTCCTGCCCGCAACTCGGACCAAAGACCATCTGCTGATCCAACTCGGTCACATGGCAACCAACTGAATTTATCCTGGGGCATCAGGTATGAACTATACCCAAATCTCAGATTCTGGACCCGATGCAACCACAGTTCCGACTCGGGCGCATGTCCACGTGAGGTACGGCAGTTGACGTGAGCGTTCTTGAGCCGGGGCCGGGGCCGGGATTGACGGGAATCGCGCACAAGGCGTTTTTCGCAATTCGCCAGGCGGCCAGCTAGCCGATCAAGGCCTGGGCCGGCTGGGTCCCTACATCTAGTCAGGGGAGCTTCGTGCCGATCTCCTGATTTGTGCACATGGGGTGTATAATATGACTTGAGAGCACTGACGATGCTACATTATTACTAAGTCGTATACTTTGTAGGTCGCCCGGAATCAACCGCTCAGGAATCCAAGTACATATAAAGTGGCCAATCATTCAGCATATTCTTCAACACGAGCATTCATTTTTGCTCTGCCGGCATCTTCCCAATCCTCGCGATGCAACTTCTCCAGCCATACCTTGGCGCCCTTATCTCAGCGTCTCTGATTGCTTCGCTGCCCTTGTCCTCGCGCGGTGGCTTGCTATCCCAAGATCCCCAAAGCTACGGCAGCCGCCTGATGCGCGATCCCGTCTCTGCTGCTGAGCGAGGCAGTTTCGCCCACCCCATTGACACCCAAGATGAGCATGCGGCACGAGGGGACACCGACCCAGACCTCGATGATGACGACCCCGATGATGACGACCTCGACGACGACGAGGAGGATCTCATCCCCGGCGATCTCCTCGAAGGCGACAGCGACTCGGGCGGCGAGAGCGACACCGGAAACGACGCCGTGTCCGTGGCCAACGGGCTGCTCGGCAGCGGCGGCGCCGGCAGCGCCGCGCTCAACAACCGCACGTCGGGCTCGACGGCCGTCTTCTGCAGCCTGTTTGCCTGCGCGTCGGCCGCGCAGTCGGACGGCAAGGTCAGCACCAGCGCCACAGGGGTGTCGACGATTGACGCCCGTCGCGGCGGCCCTCTTGTCAGCGTCAAGGGGCCGCTCGTCGTCATCAACGTGTCGCGCACATCGTCGGTCCGCAAGACTTTGGGTTGAGAGGGAGGAAGGGGCGACAGAGAAGGAATATATATGCATATATAGGAATATGTTGAAAACAGGAAACGGCTACTTTCATGGCCTCGGTAGGTCCTACCAGGCTAGAGACTTGTGCGAGAACTGCTTTGTACAGAGACAAGACAGCAAAGGCAAATATCCATCATGTTCTATATGAAAATTACAGTCTTTTTTATGGACATGATACATACATGATAAGGAGATGCAATCGAGCTAGCCAACTGTCGGCAGTCTGCTTTCCCAGAGTCGTAGTGTATCGCCATGGTACGTTGAGCACTTGTCAGATTCACGAGATACATTAAGCGACAAGGAGTATCAAAAAGTAGAGTTCGCCATTTTCCCTGCCTAGCAATTTAAATAGGCAAGTTCTCTCAAGTAGTACCAGCCAACTTGACTTACACGGACGGCAACTAGCCAAGTCCCGCTATGCAAAATGCCCTACACAGTCCGAATCCAGCGGATGTGTGTCTGTCTGTATGTAACCTAATTTTCGAGCCCCTCGCTTCGTTATTATACAATATTGTAAAAGTTCGCTGTACTTTTCAAAAAGCAAAAATGGGGGGCAAAAAGCCTTCTTCTACCCGACTGGCTCAAAACTGCGCAATCTCGTCCCAAATCTGACCCTGCAGATTGTTGGCGACGGCTTGGCCCTTGGCAATCAGGCGTGTCCTGAAAAGTTCAAGCTCCAGAGTCTCAAAAACGCCCTCTTGCGACGCCATGCTCTCAAAGCTTCCGTCCTGCGACGCCATTTGCAGATGGCGGTAAAAATCGAGGGCGACCGTCATCGGCGCCACCAGCATGTCGGGCTGCGAAGTGCGATCGAGGGCGGAGTCGAGTCCGCGGCAAATCTTGGCGGCCATGTCGCGACCGTCGTGGTATCGCAACGGGTCGACCTGCAAGCTGCGCGGCAGGGTGAGCCACACGCCAGTGTACGAGTCCAGCACTGCCTGGTCGACGACGGCAATCAGATCCAAGACGCAGCGGTGAAAGAGGATCTGGGACATCCAGTAGTTGAGCATGGTAAAAGCAGTCAGCTCGTCGTGAAACTCGTACATGTTGCTCAGGGCAGCGGCCCTCTCCACGGCCTGGAAGTTTTCGGCGCTCCCCATGGACTGGCTCAGCCAGGCCGCGAACTGTCGCTCAAGCATCAGGCAGTTCTGCAGCAGGCCCTGGGCCTTGTAGCGGCGCTCGACCGAGGGTGCTTGCGGAATCAAGCCGTCCGTCTGGGCAAAAACGGGGGGCAGTCGCAGCATGATGTCGAATAGCGCGTCGAGGGACGACTTTCGGTGCTTCTTCCACGGCAATGTGGCCCACTCCGGGTCCGACAGAAACGTCTCTCGGCGGTTCAGCAAGGCCAGACACACACCAATGGGGCGATAGACGCGGACAAAAAACTGGTGGTTGGGAAAGGACGCGCAGCTGGCTGCCCCGAGCCGCTGAATCATGGATTCCGAGGCAATCCCCCAGTTTGCTGCGGGCGACGCCTGCTACATCTACAGTTAGTTATTGCGACGGAAACATGAGTGGAATTGTACTCGTTGGCAGCACGGACCTCGAACAAAAAGAGACAGTAGCTGTCGGCAGACTGAGAGCCACCTTGGATCCCACGGTGACACAGCAGGCACTGGGCGCTGACCCAAAGCGGCAAGTTTTGGCCGCCAACATGTCCATTGTGATCATGGTGCAACTCGACCGGCGAGTAAGGGGGCAGCGCAATGCCAAATCCGTTGCCGTCGAGCGCCGCTCCTGTGGATCGCACAATGGTATGCAGGCTGGTGTGGAGCGCAGCGATGTTCTTGCCACCATGAGAGAGGTCTAGGTTATCGTCCCAGGCCGAGTTATTCAGTGTCTGGGGAAACCTTGGTGAGTGTGATCCGGAGCGCTCTCGCTTAGGCTGTGGAGATTTGGAGCTCTGCTTCTTGGTCGACGTCACGCGCTTCGGGTGCGAGGCTACGCGGCCACGATCCTCGAGCGTTCCCGTGATGAAGACTCTCTCCCGCTCGTATCCCTCGCATTCTCGACCGCTCGTGAGGCACTTGCGGCAATGGGGGCGCTCATTGGTGCACTGGGCGATTGGGTATTAGCTCTGGATCAACGACGGGTTGCCACGACGGGGCACCCCCCAGCTTAGATCCCAGATCTAGAACTATTTTCCTTTGCTCTTCTAGAACTGGGATTGGGCCAGGATTGGGGGAAATTTCAAATCTCTTACAGTGACGCGGCGGCGGCGACAGGTCTCGCAACCCTTATACTTTCCGGGAACGCCAACCATGGCGAGTCAGTAGACTGCGTTGTTGTATGCAGGTGATTCGCCACTGAGAGGAGGGACTGTCGACGAGCTATCTCTTGGTTGGATAGGGTAGATCGTGTTTCCAGCTGGTCATGGGTAGCGGCGAGAGAGAAGTTGAAGCAAATTTGCCACCTGCCGACACCGACTATATATGTACGAAGCCGGCGCGCCTGTGAGAGTGTTCGAGGGCCTCCCAGGAGAGGCAAGGAAAAGGGCAATTGGGTCGGCAGCTAGGGGACCTATATACCGACTCCACCACAAATGTAAGCCATGATGCTGGTAAAAAGGTCTTGACGATTGCCAATTGGGCAGCGCAAGCGTGAGCTTGGTTTCTGTGTTCCTCCACACGCCCCCTCCTCCTCCTGCTTGACCCCCAAATTCCTGTGGCAGCGCCGGGATGCCCGTTGAACCAGGGCCGGGCTGCCGGGAGGTGGGAACATGGGACCAGGCGAGGCTTGATGAGCAGGGGCCGAAAGGCGGACGACAGGCAACGAGGTGGGCGGGCAAGGGGGCCAATCCAGTCGCAGTTGGAAGCCCAGCAGAAACGGTCGGCCCCCAGGCAAGCGGGCCAGATACAAGAGCTAGTTATTCGGGTTGGGAGATCTGCTCTGTGACTGGACCGTCGCCAATCCCAGCATGCCTCGTGTTGCCGGGATGAATATGGGGCTAGAGGCATGACGTGGGTTTGCAGGTTTCGTAGGGCTGATGCTAGACTTGTTCACGGAAGCTAGTTATTCGTCTGGTGAAGCCTCCGGTTGGACGGATGAGAAGGGAAAGGGGGTGCGTGCGAGCTGAAGACGGCTTAGTTGGGGTGAGAGACAGAGAGTTTCCAGAAGCACCAGAAGAAGGGGCGGGATTTTGGTGGCCAAAAGGCAACTTCATAGAACAAAGGCCCATTGGATCGTTTCAACAGGCACTTGCTTCCGTACAGCGAACCAACCAAAAACAAGGCTGGATGTCGGCAACTGCATAGGTTAAGTCGCCCCATCCCGCAGCTGTAGCACACCCTCGTTTTCCATTCTCACGAGACTCGTTTCCAAACTGTCCGACCCCCCAATTCACAGGATAACGGAGAATTCTTGGCACTGGCAGAAGAAAAAAGAAATCGAAAAAAAAAATCGAGCGGGCGGACCGTGTCTGTCTGTCGGGCAACAGGTACCACTTCTTACCCTGCTCACCTTGGGACGAATGACAGCCGTTGGACGGCTTGTCTCAGAATCGTCAGTGTTGCTAAGCCTCTAGTGCTCCTTTTTGGGAATTACACGAGCGATTGCCTTTTTCACTGGTAACGTCCAAAAGTGGCTTGTCGTGGTGGTGCCATCTGTGTCTACGGATACGGATCGTCGTTTTTTGTACTCTGTACTTTTGTCTTTTCAACCTCGAGTAGAAAAAGTGTCAGCCAAGGCTAGCATAACAGGCGTCAGGCCGCCCACCGTCCCCCCTTTTTTCGATGCTGGTTGGCTGGCTGGGAAGAGGCTGTTAGCACCGTCAAGCAGAGAGGCATCAGTACGAACTGTGAGACCTGCATAAAATCATCCCTGTAGCATCATCGCCCAGTTTCAGCATGTAGCGTAGCGTACGTGGTAGTGCGCGCGCAGCCTTGGGCCTTGCAATCAGGCAGCCTAACCAGATGCACATCCAGATGGTCGGGATAACTATTCTTGCTGAGGAAAGTCGAGTGACGCCTCTGCCGCGCAGGTGAGCCGATTCTAGAACCTCAGCTCTCGTTTCGTTTCGTTTCGTTTGTTTCGGTCACTAGCCCGTATCCGTTTTTCGTACTTTGTAGTGTTTGCTGGGAAGCTTGGAATCTTGCCCGTCCCCGGAAGCGTTTCGATCTCATCAACTGTGAACGGCACTTGCGGGAGGCTGCAAGCGTCCCCTCCCCCCCTTGCAGGCTGTCGTGGTCGACCGGACCAACTACCTCTTCTAGCCAAACCATTTTTGTCAGCCGCGTGTCCCTTGAGTTCCTTGCCGCTGGTTGATGTGCAAGGTCCAGGGCACAGTGACAACAGGCAAAAAAGTTGCGCTGTGATCTCACCCCCCGATGTATGGTGCTTGGACCACCTCTTTCCCGCCTAGGTTCAGGGCTATGTAGATCGGGCACATGTGTATCCGTGCAGGTATGTATCATCCCAGCGTAACCTTGCTCTCTCTTTTTTTTTACAAAAAAAAAGAAAATCACTAACAACCAGAAGCTGCGGTGTGATTTGTCCAACGTTACATGGTCATCATGATTCGCAATCTCCCCAAGCTGCCGGGCCCGGATGCGCGGGACGTATCAGTAAGTCGGGGACGCTAAAGGCGGGCGAACCATGCCACCACCAAAGCGAACAAGAAAAAAAAGGCAACCCAAGTCTTCGCTGACGATGCCGCGTCAGACCATTTCCCTCTTGTCATTTTTCGTCATGGCTCGTAAAACGAGGGGGGGGCTTGAGCAGATTTCCGCGCCCAGTGGAAACCGCCCCTTTTCAACTCTTCAACACCGTCACCGTCTCGCCAATGACAGGCCGTGACGGGCATCAGGACAGGCCCGGCAGGGGCGGAGAGGCTTCAGCTTCCCTGAAAGCCTCGCCGGACAAGGCTGGCTGGCCGCCTCTATTGGCCACGCCACCAAAATGAGTGCCGGCGTAGCGCGGTAGCCTTCCTGCATCTCGTCCGTCAATCAGAGGCGATGAATGGACTGTGACTAGGGGTATCTCACCTTGTCGCACCAAGGAGATGTACTTGGTGCCCGCACCCGTCGTTCCCCAATCTTTTTTTTTCTTTTTTTCATGGCTCCCGTCTTCATGGCTGATGCCGATACAGCCTTGCCTAGCAAACTATTGCCGACGAGGCAGACTCAGGGACCCCAGGGACACCTGGCGACCAGTCGGAGCGCATTCCGCCTTGGTGGTTGGATTTATAGTTTTCTGCTCTAGTTGTTCCGCTATGCTCCGTTCTTACAGTAGTTACGAGACACGAGACTATAGTTACAGAATGCAAGACGGAGTAGGGCCCATGAATAAGTGTCAAATAGTAACTACCTACATATGTAGTTGCCTTGCCCGTAAAACAATCGACCGAGACTGCTGTCAAGATGATAAAATGACAATCGTCGTCTCTTTATTTTCAACGTAAAACCGGAAATAGCGACCAAATTCATCTTCTTGTTTCCGTCGCATAAGCTGAGGATTCCATTTCAGGCGTGGCCTCGTCCGTGCATCCGTCAAGCTCTTGTAGATGCCGGATATTCGAAACTAACCACGAAAAAGTGAAACAAATGACAGATTCAACATGTTTGTCAGATTTGGCGATGCAACGGACCTCGATGCAACACCCATTCGGTGCCTTGCCTAGTCTAGTCTTGGCCCCTCGCCCAGCAAATAACAGTCTGTCGTAGACGACAAGCCCGCGCATCCACATGCGCCGCTGAATGCGCTACGCCCTCACACATCTGTGCAGGGGGGTTTTAGGGTATGACTCTTTGGCCGTCTCATGAATCGGAGACGGGAGAAAGATTGCTGTTGAACTGCCGGGCTTGCGTCATCTCTAGACGACCGTAGCCCTTTGGTAGTAACTATGTAGTTCCTCCTGGATTCTCGACAGTACTGCAACATCATGCTTGTCCCCGGCCTGACCTAGAAATCCGACTCTCTGTCATCTCGTGTGAGATTGTCTTGAAATTAGTCATTGCTAAACAAAGTTTGTTTGCCACTATCCGTACACGCCTCCTTTTCGGCCCCCATCCACCTAGACAACCGCCACGCGCATCCGGCGCATCCATCCCCTCGGAGCAACAAGGCAACCACTTTGTACAATCATCTGGTCCTGTGCAGCAGAGGTCACCACCATGTTCCTTCTGCTGCTTTCTCGAGTCATCGCTGCCTCTTGCTGCATCTGCAAGTGTCCGGCCTTTCCTCTCTCCTTTTTCTTCAACTCACATCACAGGTACTTGTACGGGTTCATGATACCGTTCTAGACAAGCCATAAACGGCAATTGTTAGCCTTTCGTCCGCCTCGCCAACCCCCCACAAGGGTCCATTCACGTCAGGCAACGGCCAAGTGGATTAGAACAGGCCGCGGACTGGGCTGTAGGGCTGATGAAACAACGGGACAACGGGACAACGGGGAGGGGGACGGGACTGCTTACCGGGTCGTATAATTGCTTAATTTGCTGCATCAAGCCAATCATTGTGTCGTTTCGCGAGTACCGAATGTAATTCTTCTTGGCCAGCCCCAGGCCGTGCTCCGCACTGATGCTGCCCTTGCGCTTCTCGATCCACTCGTACACGTACGGCTCCAGGACTCTTTCCACAGCCTTGTCGTACCGTCGGACCACGACGTTGAGGTGCAAGTTGGAGTCGCCCATGTGGCCGTAGCCGACGCAGCCAAGGACCGGGAACTCGTCAGACTCGCCGAGCAGCCCAGCCTCAGCCAGGCGCTCGTTCACGTCTGGCACGATGCTGTACATGTCGGTCAGCGGGATCGACACATCGTACTTGTACACGCCGCCCCAGTGCGCGCTGACTTCCGAGATGCTCTCCCGCCACGCCCACAGGGACTTGATCTGCGTCGCGTCCTGCGCCACCACACCGTCCGCCACCACCTCCTTGCCCATGACGTCCTCGAGGAACTTTTCGAGCTTCTCGTAGTCGTGGTCGCTGTTGGATCCGCTCGTCTCGATGAGGCAGTAAAACGGAAACTGACCCTCGAGGGGCATCGTCTCTCCCTTGGCGCGGTGCACCAGCTCCTGGCTCAGCCCGTCCATGAGCTCAAACGCCGAGAGAATCTCCGAGAGCTGGCCCTTTGCCTCGCGAAAGGCCTGCTGCGCCTTTTCGTACGACTCTATACCCAAGAAGGCCACGTTGACGGCCGGTGATCGCTGGGGACACTGGATGCACAGCTTCGTAATAATACCAATAGTGCCTTCGGCACCAATGAAAAGCTGCTTCAGGTCGTAGCCCGTGTTGTTCTTGCGCAGCGTGCACAGATCGTTCATGATGGTTCCGTCGGGAAGCACGGCTTCCATGCCGAGAACGCTGCCGTGTAAACTGCCATAGCGAAGCAGACGCAAGCCACCAGCGTTTGTAGCGACGTTTCCGCCGACCTGGCAGGAGCCCTTGGCGCCGAGATCCAATGGGAAGATGTAGCCACGCTGCGCGAGATACTGGTCCGCAACCTCTAGTACGCAGCCGGCGCCGAGGACCAAGGAGCCGCTGACTTCGTCAAATGATTCAATCTCGTTCATGCGCGCCATGCTAATCACGACTTCGTCAAACACAGGCACGGAGCCGCCAACGAGCCCCGTGTTTCCGCCCTGCGGCACCACCGCCAGCAGCTTGTCGTTGCAGTACTTGAGGATCTTGCTGACTTCTTCCGTCGACTTGGGCTTGACGACGAGTCGAGCCTGCCCGCGGTATTTGTGCATCCAGTCCTCGTTGAACATGAGAATGTCGTCCGCGGCGTCCCTGCTCACGCCGTCGATCATGGCCGACTCGCTGCCGAGCACGTCGCGAAAGTAGGCGACATGTTCCTCGGTCAATTGGGCAAATTTTTCGTCACGCTTGATATCGGGATACGTTTCCGCCGTCAGCTTGGCGACGCCGTGAGCGGGCGAGGGCGCAATGAGCCTGGTATGCGATGTCGCAAAGCAACGAGCGGCGGCGGCAGAGACGGAGGCTCGTGGTACGGTAGCGACGAGCGCGGCGCGCGGGCGGCTCTGCTGCTGGAGCGCCCGGAGCAATCGGGTACGAGATACCATTCTGAGGGTTTTGACAAGTCGGCTCGGTTCCAATGGCCGTTGCGGCAGGGCAGAGAACCACGTTTGGCTGCCGAATTGTCTGCGTTGAGAGCTGGTAAATCTCGCTGCGTTTATTACTGCGGGTCGGCGTTCTCGCCGGCCACGTTTGGGCTGGGCGGGTCTGGCCTGTGAGAGAGCTCCGAAGCCGGCCTCCAAGTACATGCGCGACGACACGCAACTCAGTGCAGGGCCTGATGGAATACTTTAAAGAAGCCTTCGCCTCCTAGGTTACACCCGAAATAGTGTACCATGCCGTATGCAAGTTGCCGTCGCCGGTAGCCGGCAATCGTGCCGCATCATACCCACTCCTCTGATCCACGCCAGCGATTTCATCGCGTAAAAGAATCGATCCAAAGAATTGAAGAATTAAAACCAGCTACTTAGCAATTGATCTAAAGAATCCAGGCAGAAAACCAGCTGCTTAGCTAATTACTAATTTAAAAATCGAGAAAGATGTAAAATATATGCCAGGTCTGTCCTCACCACCACAACACCAGTAATGTGCATAACAATATCCTTCAGATAATGATAATTAGAGTATACAACTCCCACTGCCTTGGAGTCAACCAGTCAATGGTGAATCTTCATCATCTCTACCAGCCATTCGCCTTGACGCCCTTACGGGGACCAGCATCTCCCACGTTTGTTCTGTCCTGCAGTACACCACTGGGAACCTGGTCGCTCTCTTTCTGATTGTTGAGCATCTTCTCCATAAATGAAATGTAGTCGTATTGCGGCATTCCTCGATCATCCGACATATCCGGCCCCGTATGCTCTGGCATGATTCGACTGAGTTGCTCAATGACTTCATCAGGAACAAGGCTATGTCGGAGGTCCATCTCCGTAACATAAGGCTTGCCATCTGCGACTTCGCGGAACGACTGAAACACCTGCTCAGCAGTGTTTTGGTCTTCTGTCACGTCAACCATGAACCGAATAAATTGCTCAAATGTAACCTCATCTCGGCCCCCAGAAGTCTGAGAGAAGTAGTCGTGCATCTCGTCCTCGGAGAAGACGAGGCCCAAAGACGCTAAGGCAGCGCTGAATTCTAGTTCTTGGAGCGCGTTGGAGTCGTCGCGGTCGAAATGGCGGAATACGCTTTCAAATTCCTCCAGCTGAATAGGCGTCAAGTTTGTCATGTTTCGCGCAACCAGTTGATTTTCCAAAAATGCGAGCTTCTTCTGGACAGATGATTTGACCAATGCGAGTTCGTATGCAAGCTCGTCGTATGAATAGGTGGTAAAGTCGTTTTCTTCAATGTTTGCCTCGATGCACTTGGTCTCCACATCCAGGATGGTCTCGAGATATCTATCGAGAGGTGCCAAATTACTGCTCAGCTTTCTGACGTGGTGTAATTGATCTTCTAGATCGCCGTCGAGGCCCGAGATGGCCATCTGCATAGTCTTGAGCGCCATGGCGAAATCATTGGCCTTGTCGGCAAAAGACTTGCGAAGGGAATTTTTGATACTGCAGCTAATTAGCATAAAATTTGCGCTAGGCGCGGATTGTACGTGACTCACTCTCGAATAGTCTCGTTAATCAGTTGTGCCCGGCCCATCTCTTTCTGGGACAGAGCCGTCCAGTCATCCTCGAGCTTGTCGAGACTTAGATGAGCGGGTGGTTCATATGGTCGAAGGCGATATGTTCCCAACTTTGTCTTGATATTTCCAAGCAGGGTCGCCAAATGGCTCTTCTCTGCTACCCAGTCTCGCTTCTGACCACGCTTGTATTTGGAAAACTCGGCAGCTTGAGCCTTTGCGTCGGCATAGGTGCCTTCGAAGGTGGATTGCGACCAATCATCCCTTTGAGTATTTATATTTTTCAGCAGCTCGGCCATACGCTTTTCATACGTGCTCTGCATTTCCCAAACACCTTGTACGCTGTTGACGAATTTCTCAACTCGTCGACCGGCATTCTCAACCTTTTCCATCTGAGAAAAGGCATGGAACCAGTAGGCAATATAGGTCATCAAACTTCTTTCATCGGGCTTGGCAACGTCGGCCACATCCTCGACGTCCAGCAACTTCGGAATGCCGATTTCTTCCGCTGCCAGATCAAACGCAAGCTGCATGTTTCCCTTGTGATCCGACTTGTCGAGGGAGTCAAAGTCGATGAGATCGGGTCTGTGAATATCGAGCAAGGCACAAAATGCAAGACCGTCGTTCCAACTAGTGCTAAAGTCGCGAACCTCCACCTCGTCGTAGCATGCCGTCTTGCGTTGACACCAGAGCAGCAAGCCTTCCTTGGCCGACATGCCCTCTTGATTAATATCGCTGATGGTGAAGCGCAAAATTAGTGTCCATATTAAACCAAGCACAATTTTGCGGTTGCCGTCGACAATATCCTCGGCTCCAATATTCGTCATCTGAACACCGCGTGATCGAATAAAGTCGAGGGCAAGGTTGGAATTTTCGAATTTTTGTACTCGTAGTTTGGGTTTCGAGGCATAACGTCCAAGTGATTCGCCTGAAAGACATTCTAAAAGGTGGATGAGCAGGACCTATTGGCCATACGTCAGTCAAAGAGCTCGAATCGTGCTGCATAGATGACATACTCCATCTCCCATGTCCTTGACGATATCTTTAACCTCCAAGTCCCGTTGTATCAGCTTCGCATTCAGCCTATATCCCGTATACATTAGAGACGTGTCAATGCCATCGTTCAGAAGTCCCCGTACCATTTTGTAAATGTCTTTTGTTGGACCGCAACCCATCTCTGCTGGTCGGCAAACGTCATCCTTAGTTGCTGTGGCTCGAACCCAACCGTCACCCTTGATCAATCGTTCGTTTCGTAGTATTCGAGCAGCAGCTCAGCATTACACAATGATTGTCTGGGAACTCAAACGACGCCTCAGCCCACTTCAGGAGTACAGCATAGGTAGGCTGGCAGTATGTCGGTGTAGGGCAGCTTCGCAGCAATGTGGGGTGTGACGCTGGGCTTGGGTGGGAATGGTCTGGCTGCAGAATGACTGCGTCCTGTTGTTGGGCCGTCTGGCTAGCCGCTGCAAGTGAGCCAGCGGTCACTCATCGGTAGAGGAGGAATTATTATCAGAGTTTCGCAGAGGTGGCTCGTACGGTGATGGTGACGTTGGACAAAACGTTGGCGTCGTGGGGTAGTAGCTGCTCTTGTACCTGGTGGGCGTGACTGGGCTCCCTGAGTAAACAATGCGTTCAACAAAGTCCAGGTTGCCGGGCCGCTGGTGTGGTTCCTGTCCCCAGTTTGGGGGCAGTTCAGGCACTTGTCGCACCGCTAGCTACTCGCTAGCGGGACCGGAAGCCTGTAACACGCTCTAAGCCTATCAGGAACACGGCCTGATCAACAACTTCTCGGCAATGCGGGTTGACGGATTATTATGTACTAAATGATTGCACCGTGTCGGAAGTCACTGATTGATTGTAATCAACGCCGCGCTATGTGAACCATCCGAGTTGTTGTAGCCATCAGTAATACGGATTACTCCATCAGGGAAGGCAGCCATCTCAGCCTCTAGCCCTCGCTCCTCAAATAAATAATTCACATTCAAGTAGTTATATACTACGGAATATACTACACAGCCATTGTGCTTTCGCAGTCACGCTAGCACATCATTTAAATCGGCCTCGTCTGTTATACATGATGCGATGGTATATTGGTACATGATACAATGTAGGACGTTCCCGCCTCCTACACTATTCTCCCCTAGCTAACATAAGGCAATATCAGTCTCTAAAATTTGCCCTTGACCTTTTGCTGTTTGACACCACCAGATCCAGACTTGGAGCGCAGAGTAGAGCGCTCCTTCTTCCATGCCGCAACCAGATTGTCAACACTGCCCTTGTCGTGCTCCGGCTTGCGCATGTACGTGAGCCTGGCTCTCCTGGCTCTCTTCGGCCGTCTCCAAATAATATTGATGGCTGTAACCGTAGGACTGTAGACCTTGAACCATGATTCGACGCTCATCTTCATCATCTGGCCACGCAGCAGAACGGCCGTGTCCACGCCGCGGCGGCGGATTTCAATCAGGACACCCGAGAACGGCTCTCCGGTCTTTGTGCTAACCATGAGCACATCGCCTGGCTTCGCAGCATCGGCCTGGTCTTTTGCGAATAGGCGGGTTCGCGCGCCGGTGGGATCGAGCATTGTGATTTGCGCCTGGCGCAGCACAGGCATAGGGTCTTTGAAGTTGGTTCGAACGGTCGGCAATTCGGGGTACACTTGGAATCGAGCGAGTCTCTCCTCGCGAGCGCCTGAGAGGTTGTTAGGACGCCGCATAAAAATCTTCAAAATGATGTCGGGCAGAACGTACGCTGGCGAGATGTGAGCAGCGGCTTGGTGCTGTTAGGGGTCTCAGGCGCAGCAGCAGTTGCGAGCGACCTCTGCCATGTCCGCTGTTGCCTCGTTTGTCTCATTACTGCCTTTAGGCACCCTAAAGGTCGCCCAATGGTGGCGAAATTCATTGTCGCGGAATTGGTCAGAGTATCACTGGATTAGGATCGAGAGATGGGAGCCTCTGAAACCTTGGTTGGCCAAAAAGGATGGCAAAAGCCTAGCCCAGGCGCACGTTGTGATTGGTCCGGTCCGCGCTTTTCTCCGGCCCACCCCTCGAGTTGGTCTCGCGACTTTCCAAGCACCAACTTTTTGGGGCGACCAGAGCAACCCCCAAACCACGGTAAAATGTCCAACCAGTCGATAATGTCAACTCTCAGGGTACTGGGTCGGGTCAATGGACCTTCAGTCAGGCCAGGCGCTTCATGCGCCCGGAAATTCAGCACAACGACACCCCATGGTAACCGACTAGCCATCGCAAACCTAGGGGCCGCGAAGCTAATCAAGAGCTACAGGCGTTCGAGCAACTTTCGTCGAAACCGAAAACGGCGAACTGAACCGAGTGTTACAGACGATTCAAGAGAAGATGATCTTTCCAGCCTACCTCCCTCAGAAACAGCGAAAGATCGTCTTCAGCCCCAAGATGCGAACCTTTATGCAGTCCAACCCCATCGTTATCGAGGTTGACGGCATCGAGCACAAATTCTCCCCAATCGATCGCAGCAAGGACATTCCGAACTCAAAAAAGAGCTTCAGCCAAGCCATGAGCTTGATGGAGACGCCAGAGGATTGGGCCAATCTGGGCACCCTCCTAGCAGGATACAAGAAGGCTGGCGTGAAGCTTCGCAGTCAACACTATGGAAAGATTATCCGCCGTGCCGAGGAAACGGGCAACATCTACGCCGTGATTGAGTGCGCAAAGCAGGCAGAAAAGACTGGATTGAAGCTGCAAACGCACGAAATGGTTGTGCGACTGCTGGCCGCCATCAACGACAGGATTGTCAGTGGCGGTCATGCCGCGACTCCGCAAGCTGTCAAGTGGATGGAAGTGGCCCTTGACCTGCTGTACCGCCCCGAGCAGGTGATGCACAGAGACGTTTCTGCCGATACCAAGGTCCACGCATCGCGACTCGCGCGCGGCCTCGTATTGTTTACGCGGGCTTCGGCAGTATCCGCAAAGCAGGCTACGGCAGAGAGCGCTGCTGTTGAGCTGCTTCTGCTCAAGGATGAGGTAGAACTCCTCAAGACGCTGTGGAAGGACGCGGACCTCAAGAATATCAGCAGCCTCCCCGAATTTGCCGTTCTGAACCCGGATGCTGTTGAGAAGCACAAGAATCTAAACGGTGCTAGCTACGTCAGCATCGTCGCTCAGAACCTGAAGGCCATCTCCCTAGCCCGCGAGTTGGCCCCGGCGGAGGCCCAAGAGCTTGGGGCCGTCGAGGCTGCCCTGTCAGAGCACCTCACACAACGTGTCACGAATGACAAACGTCGCGGTGGTAGCTGGGCAGAGGTGTTTGAGAAGATTACTGGTGCCGCGCCGTCCTGGCCAGCAGTCGCATCAAAACCGGCTGAGGCAGTGGAGGCTTAATGGGCAGGTGCCACGAGACATTCGAACTGTAAAATAAACTCATTGTACAATGTATTAAAACACAACGGCTTTGTATAGATTACACACTTTTCTTTTCCCTACATGATCCTAATGCTCAAGGCAAGACAATGTACCTTTCGAGGTGCTTGGGGATGGCACCAATCAGCTTCTTGTCCGTGAGCCACTTGCGGGAGAAGAGCCTGTCGGCATATCGGTACGCGCCGTCGCAGAGAACAGTGACGACCGTGTGGCCGCGGCCCAGCTTCTCCGCAACCTCCTTGGCCGCGACGACGTTGAGGGCCGAACTGGCGCCGAGGTACAGACCCTCCTCGTCGAGACAGCGGTACACCATCTCGATGCTCTTCTCGTCCGAGATGGTCAGCGAGCCATCCATGAGGCCAATGTCGGGCTGCAGGTTGTCCGTGACGCGGCCCTGGCCGATGCCCTCGGTGATGCTGGACCCGCTGCGCTCCACCAGCTTGCCGCCCGACGCAATGTACGAGTGCAGGACGCTGCCCGGGGGGTCGGCCAGGAAGCTGCGGACCTTGCCGCCCGACACGTCCTTGAGGTAGCGCGTGACGCCGGCGAGCGTGCCCGCGGTGCCGGTGGCGCACGTAAAGGCGTCGACGGCGCCGGCCGTCTGCGCCCAAATCTCCGGGCCCGTCGTTTCAATGTGCGCGCGGCGGTTGGCCGTGTTGTCGAACTGGTTGGTCCAGACGGCGTTGTCGAGGCGCTCGGCGTGGCGGCGCGCCTGGTGGTTGTAGTTGTCCGGGTTGTCGAACGCGACGGCGGGCACGGGGTGCACCTCGGCGCCGAGCAGCCGCAGCAGGTCAATCTTGCCCTGCGACTGCGTGTTGGGCATGTAGATGACGAGGCGGTAGCCGCGCGAGCGGCACACGTGCGCGAGCCCGATGCCCGTGTTGCCCGCCGTGCCCTCGACGACGGTGCCGCCCGCGCGCAAAAGGCCCCGCTCCTCGGCGTCCTTGACCACGTACAGCGCCGCCCGGTCCTTGATCGACCCGCCCGGGTTCATAAACTCGGCCTTGCCGAGGATCTCGCACCCCGTCTCCTCGGAGAGACGGTTCAGGCGAATGAGGGGCGTGTTGCCGATGGCTGTTGTTTTGAGGGAGAAGAGGGCGCGTGTCAGAGTTTTGCTACTGTCAATGCTTTACAAGCCTGTTGTCTAGGTCGGCCGAATGGCTTTCCGGGGGGGCAGCGACTTACCAGCGGTGAGCCCGTGAGCAACGCCCTGGGCCTGCGAGACCTTGAGCGTGTGGGCTGCTGGCTCGGCCGCCGCGACGGCGGCGGCTGCGAAGCGTCTGGCGGTTATGCGGAACATTGTGGGCGCGTTTTGTGTCGCAGACTGGATCAGGCTTCGGATTGATATGAAGCAGCAATGATCCAAGTCATTGGAAAGAAGGAGATTTCTAAGCTTCGAGCTTGCCCTCGTAGCTGATCTGAAGCGCCGACATCCCGACTGTGGGGCGGTCAAGCACGTCATTTTCGGCTCGTCGCTACTGTACCCTGTATTGGGCTTGTAAACGAGAATGTGGTGATTTGATGTACCTGCTAAAAATTCCCTTATTTCTTATCCAAAATTGGCTTCAAGTCTTTCTTGTAGATAATTGCCAACCTTATGAAGCATCGCCATCAACTCGAACATAGCCCGAGGGGAATAGACCTTTCGCACCCATGTAGACACCATAGTACCAATCACCGTTTACATCCTCCGCCTCTCGAATTTCAGCACCACGAGGGAAAAGCAGCTCATCATCTGCCTCCTCTTTTGGAAACCATGCCCACTTTGCAAAGACACGTTTGCCGACTCCTCCATCTGGTGGGAATAGCGTCTGGTAAGTGACCGAATCGTGGCTGGTCGGTGCTGTCGCTGACACTTCTTGCGTTACCAATCTTTCAAGCTTTTGATCGTCCTGCTTCCACGACCACTTTTGCGATGGCGGGTCCGCTTGGCTGTCGTCACCAAGAGGCTCGATTCGAAGCTTGCGGCCTCCAACCAAATCACGCTCAATGTATCGCCATTGGCCTACCTCACCGGGCGCAAAGCCTATAACTACCATTCTGTGACCCTTGAGGCATCGGCGCCACCCAGAGTGACCATTTTCCGCACTAATCTTACTCTTGTTAACCAGATCTGCGTAGCATGGAGAGCAAATGTCGTAGTCGCCCGGCGCGGCGTTTTCCACTAGTGAGCTTGTACAGCTGTAACAGTGATAGCGGATATCGGATGGGGTAATGGTGATGCGGCAAATGTCGCAAGTTGTTGCAAAGGATAGCGGCTGGAAGGGGCTGATGCTCCGGTTCTGACTCTCTGTGGCGATCTTTGCAGCTGTTGGCCGGCCAGGTGAGCGGCTATGCGGTTCCGGTATCTCATGGCTGAGTGGCAGTAACGGGTGCGAACAGGTACGCCCCTGATTGACGCAATTATTGCAGTATCCCCATTCGCCATCATTACAGATGTCGCATCGCCAGTAGCAATAGTTTGTCCACACTTGGCATTTGGCGCAAAACATGCCGGTTTCGAGCCTCAGCCGGGGGTCATCCATCGTAAGTGTTTTGCGACCATCGGCGCCTCCAGGTGTTGATGGTGGTGGCTGATATCTGCTGGGTGTCAGTATATGAGGAGGGGCCAGCGACTCATCGCTTCGCTGCTGACGGCGCCTTCGCCATTTATTCCAGCCGCCGTGGCCAAAGCCAAACCAGTACTGGCAGCCCTTGCCAGAGCGATAGCAGTCTATGCACATTGACCAATGACCACCCGCGCAGATACTGCAGTTGTAGTGTATCTCATATTCGATGTGTGTCTTATTACATCTCATACAAGTGATGGACGGCTCGGGGTATAACTGCGACATATTTCTTTGATGACCAGATTGCACTGGAGAAGTCACCGTCGGCGTGGTAGCTGCGGAGTGGATAATGGCCAGGTCCGCTCTATTTGGCCTGCTGGCACTGGAAGCGCGGGGGCTATCTGTAGAAGTGCGCGGGGACTCGTTTGCATTCGTAGTGGGCGGCCGAGCTAGTCGACTGGCAAATGACGAGCCGATCATAGCAGCTGACCCTGGAAGCTCCGCTGGAGCGGAGGGACCGTTAGAACTTTTGGCGTCCGATGTGTTGGGCCGGAGGCTAGAAGACGCCGCTCTCTCATTTGGAAGCGTCAAGTCAGTTTGGGAACGGACCGCAGGGCGGACTAGAGTTTCGGTTGGGACAATCGGTAGCGTCGCGGCACGACTGCCGCTCGCTGTCCTGCGTCGTGCTCGAGTTTGAGTTTGAGATTCTAGGCTCGTTGGCGGGCGCCTATCTCGCTCCTCCGTGCTAGAGCTACTCGTGGCGGGTCGAGAGCTGGAGCCTTCGCGGCTTCGTGAAGGATTGCTGACTTCAAGCGGACGAGGGCGAGGGTCCAGGCGGATTTCTCCATCCCGTGCGCCCGAATTCGCTTCATTGCGGGTTGCCGGACTATCCCTGCGAGTAGGCTGGCTTGTGACGCGATCCCGCTGTCGCCGCCGGTAGGCCTCGGTAACTCGACGACTGAGTTCATCGTCGCGAGTTAAGTCGATGTTGTCGAGATCCAGTCCGTCCAGAAGGCCTTCTTCCTGAATCTGGCGAGCGAACTCCTCAATCTCCCGCTCAATGTCGCGCTCACTCATATCTCCACTACTAATAAGCGACCTGAGTGACGACTGGTGACCAATCCGGCGCTGCTGAGATTCACTTCGTTGGACGCGATGCCCGTCGCTAAGCATGCCAAGCTGATTGGTCGTTCTGCGAGGGCGGCCGTCATCTCTTGCCCGGCGACTGGATATGCGCTCCTCGGAGGCTCTGCTTCCGTGGCGTTGTCGAGGCGGTATGAATGGCCCACCGCCATCTGACTCCCTGAGACTTATTTCGCGCACCTCATCTAACAGTCGCCTGTCATCCTCCTCTGCACGGCGCTCGTCTGCGGTTCGCTCGCGTGTGGCAACATGAGGGATGACTTGGTCTCCTCGCTGGTACTTTTTGTTCATTTCCTCCTTGTCATCTGCTGTCCGGGCCTTGTTAGGCTTGGCTGCTGTATACATGTCCAGTAGCGTGACCACTGTAGCATTGTGCTTGGTATCGCGAACTGATGCCCGACAGGACGGGCACGTAAAAAGTACGGCATCTGGAGCTGGGGTGCTTGGTGCCCGATCGACCTTTTCTTTTTGAAAGCTAAACCACTCCTTCAAACATGCGCCACAGAATGTGTGAAGACAGTCAAGAAGTGTCAAGGGTTGGTACAGGAGCTCCGTGCAAATCTGTCAGGTTGCAGGCGTTAGGATGAAGTCAACGGCACAGGCGGGGTACAGCGGGTAAGTCTCACCGAGCACGTAAGCTCCGTAGCCAGGTCGAGGCTCGGTTTTCGAGGATTCATGACCTTGGGGGTGGCTCACATCACCAAGCCCTTTCTCTTGACCGCCGTGCGGGATGCTCAGGAAAATGAAGATTGGTGGCACGGTAAGCTTTTGCTTCGCTGTGCGTGCATAGGCCCGCTAGGAGGACGGTGGCGGGGGTGGGCCTGTGATGTATTGCAGCTTCTTACGAGCACCCTGTATCCCCGCTGACCATGGAGATACGGGTAGAAAATCTAGCTTGGCACCAAGTTGTGGTGGCGAGGAAGTGTAGAAAGTAAATTTGGCACTGGATGCGGTTCTAGGCGTCATGTCCGTGGCCAAGCTCACATGTCGCGTGCAGTCACAGGATCTCCACAGTGTGGAGGCCTTACATGCAGCAGAGGACAATGTATCGCTCGTTCATTTCAATTTACACGGTGCTAGTCGTACATTTTGCGTCTAGGAATGCGACCACTCGGGCTTCTTCTTCTCAGCAAAGGCTTTCATGCCAATCTTCTGATCTTGGCTACCAAACAGGCTGTGGAAGACGCGGCGCTCAAACTCAACACCATCGCGCAGAGGAAGATCCTGGCTCTTGTTAACGACTTCCTTGCCGGCCTGGACGGCAACCTTGGAGTAGCTAGCGATAGTCTCGGCGAGCTTGAGCGTCTCCTCCACCAGGGCCTCGTAAGTAGGGAACGCGCGAGCAGCTACACCCCATCGTTCGGCGTCGACACCGGAGAAGGAGCGGCCGGAGAGGATCAGCTCCATGGCCTTGGCCTTGCCGATGGCGCGGGTAAGACGTTGGCTGCCACCGCCCCCGGGAATCGTGCCGAGCTTGATCTCGGGCTGACCAAAGTTGGCCTTTTCGGTGCAGTAGATGAGGTCGCACATCATGGCAAGCTCGCAGCCACCGCCGAGAGCGTGGCCAGAAACGGCAGCAATAATGGGTTTCTTAATCTGGGTGGTCAATAGAGACCAGGACTCGATAAAGGACTTGGTGTAGGCTTCGGAGAAGGTGAGGGGGGCCATTTCCTTGATGTCGGCACCCGCGGCAAAGGCCTTTTCAGAGCCGGTCAGGACAATGACGTTGGTTTCTTCCGAGGCATTGAATTCGTTGAGCGCTTCGTTTAGCTCGGTAATAAGGGGAGTGCAGAGGGCGTTGAGGGCCTTTGGGCGGTTCAGAGTCACTGCCTAGATTAGCAGTGTCCAGAGTCTAAAGCCGCATCGGCAAGCGCAGGTAAGTACGAACCTTGACCGACCCCTGGCCTGGGCGTTGAAGTTTGGATGTACTCGTAGGTCTTGGAGCTATAGCAGCGAGTGATGCGAGGTAGCGTCGAGGACTGGAAAGGAACTCGGGCGACGGGTCGCAGACAGCGGAAAGCGTTCATGGTGGGCGGTGGGAATATTATATTTCAATTGAGTCTCTGCACAGCTTTCCCAATGCAACGGAGTGGTGTCGAGGAATGGTTTACAAGGACGGACGCAGCAATGGATGATGTTAACGGGCGGAAAGGCGCGGGGCGGCGGCATAATTAATGGCTGGGGCTCGGTAACAGCAGCTCAGCTGGAAAGCGTCGGCTTTGGACCGGAGCTCTTCTGGTTTTGGAGAAACTAGGCCGGGAAATATGCGACAACAACCACAGCAGCTCTTATTGCTTGTAATAATAGTAATTTATCTCTCACTTGATTTAATAACAAGATGCAATCAAGTGTGAAGTTCATCGAATTTAATGTGTATCAGCTTGGCTCTTGTCGCACAAAAGTCGCCGGCAAGACGACCCCAAAGCAAAGCAACTCGGATAACAGGACATCAGGCGGGTTAAAGATGCAAAACCGTTAAAGATGCAAAACGCGTTCAACACTGACGAAGGAATATGTGAAGTATCACTCAACCTCAGGTCAGCAACGGTTACTTAGTAAACCAGGCAGCCGTGTGCGGGGCCGTATCATCGGTCGAACTAGTACAAGAGGCTACGCCTTCCTTTCATCAACATCTGAACTCATGCTAGGGGGGTTCAGACTTGGTTGAGCTATTTTTGAGAAGCTGAATTGACTTTTGCGCTATTTACAATGAGCCTGAACTTCATTCCAGCGGACGACGTGCGAGCCATCGCCGTCACCAAAGCCATTCAAACCGGAGGCATCGAGGACTTACAAGCCCAGCTGTCTGAGCACAAAGAACTCGTTTTGGCCTACATTGGATCTCCGGAAGAAGCACGAACACTTTTGCACATACTTACGGACTGGCCCGGCCACTTCCCCAACAATGCAGCTGTCGCCCAGGTGCTGCTTCAGGCCGGCTGCAAGGTCGACGCACAGTACATTGGGAAGCTCCATTCCGAGACTCCGCTCCACTGGACGGCTAGTTGCGATGATCTCGAAATCATGGATATTCTTTTAGATGCTGGAGCCGACATCAATGCTGGAGGCGGAGTTATTGCAGACACGCCACTGGCAGATGCAAGGGCCTTCTTGCAGCTAAAGTGCGCTCATCGACTGGTTGAGCGAGGGGCGATGGTGTCGCTGCAGGATGCTGCGACGCTGGGGCTTCTGGATAGAGTCAAGGAGATATATGCCGAGTCGCCAAAGCCAACTGAACGAGATGGCAACTGTGCGTTTTGGAACGCTTGCCATGGCAGCCAACTTGGAACTGCGCAGTTTCTTGATAGCCAAGGGGCGGATGTGAATTTTATTCCTCCATGGGGAGAGGACACTCCCTTGGACGAGGCCAAGAGTCAAAACGCGGCGGACTTGGTTAAGTGGCTGGAGAGTCTGGGAGCGAAAGGCAAGGACGCGCTGTCTGGTGATTGAGATGGCGGGCAATGAATTTCTGACAGAGACTCACCATAGTTATAATCGCGACTCCAACTCACCTCGGAATGGGAGGTATGTACTAATAATAAGTTGATAAAAAGGATTACAGTGCGTCTACTACAGTGAGATGCAGGATTTACAGTGGACAGAGGCTTGCTGCCTCCTTTCGAGTGGATCCTGGACCAGCCAAAGGGGCAGTGTCAAAAGGTAGAGCGCCATCTGCTGATTGGCCAGAGTTACTAAGTTAGGTACCTTACGTGTCGAAAACGTACTAAGGTACGTACCTGCCTGCCAATCCAGAGTTCACCAGCCTACAGAAAAAACGAATGCCCCACGACGGCTAGAAAGGAGGCCGCAAACGCGCCGCCGAACCCCTTCTGCAGCACCACCAAACCTTTTGTGGCAACATCCCAAGAACAAGCCACATATATTGTTTTTTACTTCCCGTTATCAAAGTCTTGCGCCTCTCCCACCCACCATAACGAATATTGACTTGGAGTCGCAGCCTTTATCGTAGCATCGCATCTCTACGCACCTGGCCATCTTTAGCTCCAACAGCCATGGATGCTCCCGAACCCGAATCGACGCCCTTTGCGGCCGTTACCGTCCACACCACCAAGCTTCAGAGAGTGCGTCCAGCCCGACTCCTCCACGTCGCGACGCGCATCGCAGGCTGTCGAGACCGATCGCTAACATCGAACAGCAATACCAAGCTCTTCTGGACCAGTCCACGCCCTACGTGCTGAACCGCTGGATCGCCACCGGCGTCACCCTCATCTTCTTCTTTATCCGCATCTTTGTCGCGCAAGGATGGTACATCGGTACGCGCGCCACTGTTGGAAGACTCCCGCGAGATGCAGCTAACCATGACTCGTCTATAGTTGCCTACGCGCTCGGCATCTACCTGCTCAACCTCTTCCTCGCCTTCCTCCAGCCCAAGTTCGACCCCTCCAACGATGACCTCGAAACGGACATGGAGGACGGCGTGGGCACCCTCCCTACCAAGAGCGACGAGGAGTTCAGACCCTTTATCCGTCGACTGCCCGAGTTCAAGTTCTGGTACTGGGCCACTCGCGCCGTCACCATATCCTTTTTCTGCACATGGTTCGAGATCTTCAACATCCCTGTCTTTTGGCCCATCCTCGTCATGTACTGGATGATCCTCTTCGTCCTGACCAGTAAGCAACCTAAACCACGCAGCGCAACCTGCCAGCTACTAATCACACTTATAGTGCGCAAGCAAATCCAGCACATGATCAAGTACCGATACGTTCCTTTCACTGTCGGCAAACGCACCTACGCCAAGGAGAGCTCCTAGATGCGCGCAACCGAGCCGCGTTCTGGATGCCTTGCCATTGCACCGAAATCTCGGCGCGCTACGCTACAAGATAACACTGTATAATATTGTCATTCGCCTCTAGGCAGTTGCTAGAATTTCACAACTAATAGCGGCTTCTTCAAGGCTCTGTTTGACTCGGGCATGGATTCTGGAAAAAAGGAGCAAAATTAGACGGGAACGAGTGCGAAACTTGGTAAATTATTACTGGCTGCTTGAGAGAAAGTTGTTTAATGAAAATATACATAATTTCAGTTTCAATTGATGTGCGAAAACCTTGACTGGTTCCCCGAAAAATGCCTGTCAGATGTGTGATGGTGCTCTGGGCTCTGGTGAGCGTGGGGTTGGCCCAGTTTCTGGTGCTACCAGCAGCCAGCTCAACTGCCTAGCCCAGCTTTTTCCCTTGGAACATTCTTGCGCACCTCCATCCTAACCACCAGCATCCCGAGCCGCCGCCATCATCGCGCACAATACCAACACACAATAATAACGAGCTGATCAGACGACAAACTGCTCTGACGGTGCACAGCCCTCTGCCACGTCACTCCCTTCACAATGTCGGCCTCCGCGCCTCGCTCTGGCGAGCGCGTGATTCACACCCAAGACTTCATCGCTCGCATTCGCTATTCCAATGCTCTCCCTCCGCCGCCGAACCCCCCCAAGCTTCTCGATATTCCAAACACAGGCCTTTCCAGTGGCCAATATACGACGCCGGGATTCGCGTCGAGGCTGGCGCGAGAACAGCCGCTCAACATTGAAGCTGATGCTGAGCTCGGCATGCCCCTAGACTTGGTGGGCATGCCTGGTGTTTTCGATGGCGACGAGAGTTGTACGTGACTGAAAAATCAACACGCCTCATTGAAATTGTAGCATAACAAGGATGTTAATCGGATGATTTTTGCAGCTATTCAGGCATCCGCACAAGCACCGCCTGTGCATCCCCACGACAAACCGTTGCTAAGACCCATCGCTGCGCTCGGCAAGCCCAAGGTCGCCGAAGCCAACGTGTCCTTCCTCCGCCGCACCGAATACATCTCCTCGCTCGCGACGAAGAGGTTCGAGGGCAACAGCCCGCGCGCGCTGCTGATGAAGGCCAAGCGGCCGCTGCCGCGCCAGGCCGAAGCGGCCGCCGACGCGCCGCAGACCATCAAGCGCAAGATTGAGCGCTCGTTTGACGTGGCCGAGCAGGAGGCACAGGATCCCAAACGCGCCCGGCACCCGACCAAGAAGCACCTCAAGGCCGTCGAGGTGACGCCGCTGCTGCCGGACCTCGACGCCTTCCCCGACTCGGGCGCCTACGTCACCATCAAGTTCCTCACGAACCCCATGGCCGGCGCCGGCAGCAAGTACGACCCGCGCCTTCTCAGCAGCCTCTTCCGACCCATTGACAAGACGCGCGAGGAGGAGGCCTTGTACGAGGCCGCCCTGGCCGCGCACGAGGCCGACCCTGTCGGCCACGCCAAGCCCCAAAACCTCATGAACTACGACTTTTATCTCGGCGACGGGCCCGCGGTCGGCAAGAACTTTGGCCGCAAGTTTGACGTTGACGACCCCGAGCACGACGAGGACGCGCTGTACACGGACCGGGCCGGCGGCTGCTTCCAGTTCAACCGCGTACGCGCGTACGAGACGGCGCAGGAGATTGAGCTCGACCACCTCACAAAGTACCAGGACGAGGTGCTGCTCGCCTTCAACGACGACGAGAGCTACCCGCGCCAGCGCGCCGTCTACTACTACCCCGTCATGCAAAAGTCCACCATCCGGCCCCAGCGCACCAAGAACATTGCCCGCACCGCCGGCATCTACGAGGAGGAGCAGACTGTCGACCAGCTCGACATTACCGTCGAGGACCCCACCGAGGAGATGCGCGACGCCATGAAGCGCTACCGCGCCCAGCCCCTCGGCTGGGAGCAGGAGGCGGAGGAGGAGGAGGAAGAACTGGTGCCGCAGGAGGAAGAGGAAGAGGAGGAGGAGCCGCTGGTGGAGCAGCCGGAGGAGGACGCCGACGCCGAGGAGACCACTACGAGGCATCGCTCGCCAGAGGAGGAAGAGGAGGCGGATGCTGACGCTGACGAAGATGAAGATTAATTACACACGGAGCAAAGAGATGGGGGAAATTGGCCGCATTGTATTTGTATATCCTGCGTATGGGGGGAGTTGGAGCAAAGAACAAAAAAAAGAACTTGCGAGGGAATTTCATCAAGGGTGGCAATTGTTTTGGGTCAAACTACACATGAGGAATTGGAGGGATGCTCACAATGCGAGCACCTAGATTTCTTCATACATCAGATATAGGCGTCGTCGAGCGTAATAACATGCACTTGAACAAAACGTCCAGACACTGAAGTGTTCAGTTTTGTTCAATTATAATATCATGGTATCTGGCAGTAAGTATATATATATAAATGTCGTCATTGTATGTCCAAAAAAATCCCCAGCAAGTCAACGCCTCGGTATAATATGACGCAACAAAAAAGCATAAGCTGCAGCTCGGATCTATACCCAACGCCCTGATCGTGAATGCATTCTCCAAATCAACTTGAGCTTCGTTTGGGCCTCGTCTTTTGTGCCTCGGGGGGCAGTTTCTTGTCTGCGCTGGCCATGTCAAAGCCAATCACGTCTCTATTGTCATCTATGACTCGTGCATATCTGGAAGCTGTATTAGCCCTCGTCACCACTTTATCTCCCGGCATCAAGCCACCAAAAAAAAAACTTACTCTAGCAGCAGCCGAAAGAACCAGGCCTCCATGTCGACTCGGCGGAGCGTCTTGCCCGCCCACGTCCGACTCGCGTCCGCCATGCCGGCCGCCGCCGCGCCGCCCTCGTCCGTGGCGCCGTAGTAGTGCACGGCGGCGAGCCAGTCGCCGCCTTGGATGCTTAGGGGCACATAGTGCAGCCAAGGCCGGAGCCAGTCGCTGTGCCACTCGCGAAACAGGGCGAGCTTGAAGACTTGGCTGCGGCTCTGCAAAAACGAGTAGAAGCGTCCGCTAAACGCGTTGCCGTCCATGTCGAGCAGAAACTTGTAGCGCCACGCGTACTGCATGTCGACCACGTCCTTGACCTTGAAGAATTGCTTCTGCGCCTGGCAGTCGCCCGGGTCGCACTGGCCGACGTGCGAAAAGTGCACGTCGGTCAGCTTGCGGTGGTCGCCGCGCGGCACCTGTGCCGCGGCCCAGCGGTGGCCGTCGCTGCCCTCGACGGTGCTGTCCGTAAATATGGGCGCGTCGCCGGCGCCGTTGATCTTTTCGACAAACTGTTGGCGGTGCTGGCGCCGCCAGCCGCCGTTGCGGCTGAAACCGCCCGTCGTGGAGCCGCGCCAGAAGAGCTTGTCCTTCTTGTCGGCCCAGGGCATGTCCAGCGTCTCGTTGTACTCGACCTTGCCGTACCAGTACCACGGGGAGGGGTACACCAGGTCGGCATACGACGAGATCTTGGACTGTGAGAAGATGGGGAATAAATCGTGCGTCACCTTATACATGTTGGGGCGGTCAAAGAACCCGTACGTCTGACTCAACGAAGGCGTCAAGCAGATATCTGACATGGCCGTGACATTGTCCACAAAACCAGCCTCGCTCAGAGTGTACTTTCGTACATCATCTGGTCCGACGTCGTCCTCGAGCATCCGCGCCGGGCTGTCTGGGGCGCAAGACATGCGCGAGTTTGTCCAGGTGGCTTGACGGTGAATGTTGTTGAAGCGGGTCAGCTTGGTCTCGTCAAACCGCTCCTTCTCACTCAGCTCTGGCGACGTGGCTGTGAAGTCGTTGACAGGCGATTTTCGGTTCGCGGCCGCTGGCATGGTCACGCGGCGCGCTTTATCGACGAGCCGTGTCAGATCGTCGTGAGGCAGCACAACGCGTGGCTCGTCGTGCAGGTTGAAAGCGATATCCATATCAGGAAGATAGGGCAACACCTTCTCGAGCATTCCCACAGTAGCATTCTTCTGCCATTCTGGCCCGCCAGCGGTAAATGCCACGGAATTTTCACGGATAGCGATGCCGAGTAGCGAGTTGTCGAAGCCCAAAGCTTCCTTGGCGCGGCCGCGAATCGTGGCCGGCTTCAAGCCCCAAAACGGCGTGAGGAGGTCATGTACATTGTCAAATTCGTCAATCATATGAACATTATTGATTTTTGCGAATTCAAACCACTTGTCGAAGTGGGGAGGTGGGGAGATGCCATATCGCCTGCGATATTCCCTTACGGCCGCCTCCAGTGTTGTTGACTGTTTCGATACAGCTTGGTCAAACTGCCGCTGCGCATTCTGTGTGAGATACTTGATTGGGTGTGTTGATGTATCGGAGTAGACCTTTGGAGTAGAACCGCTCTTCGCTGTAGCAGGAGCAGCTTCCGAGACCGCTTCTGCTGGCGTTGTGCCCTGGGTATGTATTTGCGGTTCTGGACTCGGGGGCTGCTTCTGTGTTTGGTAAGGATCCGATCTTGTGTCCCCTTGATTCTGCGATATTGGCGTAGCTTTCATGTGAGAAAGCGACCATGCAAACAAGAAGAATATCGTCACGGCCATGACGAGGGCCGCTGGCCGTCGCCTAGACAGGCGGTCCAACATCTTGCGCCGACGCGAGGACTAGCGCACTGGGCAGAACGGGGGGCTTGCCGACGGCTGAGTCTTAATTGATGAGGCATGCGATACAGTATGATAATTTGATAGACTGTCTTGAGAGTATAAAATCCGCTTGAAAGTATAATATCAGAGGTGACGTTGGATCTTCAGCTCCTGCGCCGAAAGCTGCCTAGCGGTTCAGTGGCGAAGGTGCTGTCGCGCAATGTTGATGATGGTCACCACAGCGACGCATTATGTCAGCAGCTCTATATTAATGGACGGCGCAAGTCTTCTAACGTTGCTGTCTACAAGGATAAGAAAATGGCGATATAAATTGAAAAGAGAGGTAATACTATATGAAAACGAATCCTTCATATCCTCCATCTTGTAGAGTGTGGAGGATTAACTAGCATCGCTAATAATGCTCCAGACGAAAGCGGCGGAATGCGGGCAGAAGTGGGTGGACGGCACGAGACAAGACACCGTAGAAGTGTGGTTCAGTATAACTATATATGTGTGACTGTTCTTCATACCTAGCTATATGAGTGACGGCCCGACGTGAACTTGACCATAACCCTGCAAAAGTGACTGTATTAACAGAATCGTCCCGCGTCTTCGTACCGTATCTAGAGGTGAGACACGGTTCATTAGACCGCGATCGCGCCGTGTGGCCCGGGTTGCCGTCGCGAGTCTATCGAGTTGAACACCAGCCATTTATTGAGCCCTTTCCACGTATGTCTCGGTCTGCACCCGCATTCGCAGCAAGTCCGATAACTAGGCCATTCCTACTCCGTGTCTTCGTACTAGTTGCACATTCCTATGCACTGCTCAATGGGGAAATAACATGGTGTAGGACAGGGCTGACGGATTTCGGCTGACTGGCGGACGATTACAAGGGATATTGGCCGTGATTTCCTCAATATTTCGCTCATAATAAGGCGCATGTATTATCATCAGGCATCTTTTGATGAGTCGGCAAAATTTTCCACTCGGGGGCCCCTTGACCCCTATGATCCTACAGGTCTTGACCTGACTCGAGCGGCGCCTGTCCGAACTACGGATATTAACTCGAGCGAACATTCTGATTTTTTCTGACTTCTTCAAATTAACTCGAGTACCCGTATGGGCTTTGATGAACCATGAGAACTAGTTATAATTTGGACATCTGCGCGGAATGGTATGGTGCAATTCCGAGACGAGTTGCTGTACCAGTAATACCATCCATCGTTTGGCCTCCAATGTTTGGGCTCTACGACTGCATATCCAGGGAAGTCAGCACCCCCGGACTAGCCGATTTATTGGACCGCCAACATGGTGAGTCGCGTCCTCTGGCATGATGTTTCCGCTTCTCGCGACCTTGATGCCATGGCGCATGTGTCGGTCTGACTGGTGCCAGGTCACGCATCTATGTAACCACACTATAAGTCAATCTCCACTGCGCAAATTCCACCCCCTGCCGTTCCTGTTTCACCGTTCCGATAATTACATTTTCGGTAGTTTAATGGCATGAAAATAAGGTTGGTAGCATGACAGGCCGAACCCTTAAAATAGGTCGCCATCCATGCCTTGACGTGTCCTGCAGAACGATGGACATGGCAATTGACCAGTGACTGGCTCGCGTTCAACGTACGTATACGGCCTTCTATTCGCTCTTTTATTAAGCTGTTTTCTGCCTTTTGCATTAAAACGCAATGCGAGCAGTCATTGTCTGGGCTGGTCTTGCGGGACTCACCTCCGCCACGGCCCCCAATCGGCAGTATACACTGGTTGAGTCCTACAATCATACCAACTTCTTTGACAAGTTCAACTTTTTTGAAGTAACTCACCATCCTAGATCGCTCGCTGATATTAAAAACGTACTGTGCTAACATCACCTAGAGCAATTATTCGACCGGCAACTATAATGATGTCGACCCGACCTCGGGTTATATCAATTATCGCAACCGCGATGATGCCATGAAACTAGGACTCATCGCGACTCAAGGGTCGGAAATGTTCCTTGGCGTCAATCACAGGGACATTCTGGATCCCAAAGGCAAAGGTCGCGACAGCGTTCGAATCGAAAGCAAGCAGCTCTATAATTATGGGCTCTTTATAGCCGAGTTCACGCATCTGCCAAAGGTTACCTGTGGAGTTTGGCCCGCCTTGTGAGTCAAGATTTGACTTGTTATGTACCATGAAGGCCGGAAGCTGACTTATTTTTTCGTTGCTTGCAGCTGGACATTTGGCGACCCGTGGCCTGTGAAGGGTGAGATGGACATCTACGAGAATTGGAATCTGGCAAAAGATAACGCCATGACCCTTCACACGGGCGATTCAAAGGAAGTTGGAAACTGTACCATTTGTCAGGAGAATATGGTGAATCCCGTCGTCACGACCAATTGCGACGTCACATTTCAGGACGAGCACCAATCCCCCAATCAGGCGTGTCAGACACTGGAACAAGGCGGCCAATGGGGCTCCCAGTCGGGTGGTGTTTGTAAGTCTACTTGAACTGACGCATTGGAAATAAAGAAAAAAAAGAGAAGAAAAACCTAACCGCATCGACAGACGCCATGGAGTGGACCAGCGGATTCGTCAGGCTCTGGAGTTGGAGTCGAGAAGAGACCCCTGCCGATGTCAAGTGTCGACAGCCCAAGCCACAGCTCTGGGGAAAACCCCTTTTCTGGGCGGGCGGCTCCTCTTGCGACATGGACAGTCACCTTCGGGACCAGAAGCTTGTGTTGAACATTGACTTTTGCGGTGTCGCTGCGGGAAACCCGACGCTCTGGGGCCAGCAATGCCGAAATGCAACAGGCTACGAGAACTGCGCTGACTATGTGGCAAAGCACCCCGACGATTTTGCGGATGCATTCTGGAAAGTCCGGGCGATTGATATTTATCAAGCCGCATCGAACTGCACGCACAGTCTTGCTGCCTTGAGGAGCAGTCGACTAAGGAGAGCGTGAGAGGGTGGTCTGGCCGTCAAAATGATAATCTGTACAATAATTTGATGGCAGTCTTTCTGTGTTTCCGTTCCGCTTTACGCGAAAGAATATAAGAGCATTTTTGCTACTAAAGGGCAACAACCTTGTAGTTACCTTATATCACTTGCTGATATGTTCAAGCAGTTATTCTTCCAGAGTGTTCACTATTAGGTGGAGTGCGGGCCAACCCGACCGGGTTGCTGAATCCGATCGGTATGTGTTCGATGCAGCGTGCCGGGTTGGTGTTTCGCGACACGACGCAGTGTTTCATGATTTCTCGTTCAAGTCGACTTGGTCGGGTTTCGGGGCACAGTCGCTTTGGCAATGGTATACCGTCCAAAGGTATCCGTGGGAAGAAGAACTACACCAAAGGTTCAATGAGGTACAAATGAACGCGTGAGGCAACTCGGTTGCAAAGGATCCACGGCGCTCCTCATAATATCTCTCCATTTATTATTGCAAACCCACGGGCAGGGCTGAGTCTTGTTGGCTGCAGGCTGCAGGCTGTCGCGTGCTCACCTTTATTGGTGGGGATGCCAACTGGCAGTGAAGAATACCGGGGGTTCAATTGGCTCAGGGCGGGCGGCGAGGTAAATCTGTGCAAGCTAATAGGTAGGTCAGCTGTTGAGACAAACATCTGCTCATCCCATCTCCGTGCTCGGATGAGGATGAAAAGACTTCTTAGATCAAAAAAAAAAGGCGTTGGCGGGGAGCCACTAGTTGGGGCGTTCGTCATTTCGGGTGATTTCAGCACCCCTACCCACATCCAAGGCCACGCAATCGTTTTCTTTTTATAACTCAAACTCAATCAACTTTGTTTGCTTGTAGGCTTCGTTAGCTTTGGCTATGTACGCGGCCTCTGCTAACTATTGTATCATGCATGCCCTGACGCGGCGCGGTGAGGGGAGAGTTGGGCGTTGAAGAGAATCGAACGTCTGGCCAAATCGAAAGCTGTAACCATGTTGGAACTCATGAACCCTGCTCATAACTAGGCTGCCCATATTAAGTGTCTTGAATCCACGCGCGCCCGCCCCCTTGGAATAATGCGCTTCTCTACGGATAAATACCTAGTTAAAACTTGCCCAGTTGACCGCCGCGCGGCGCTGTCGTGGCAGGTGCAGCGCCGCGGCGAGATCGGCAGGCGCAAACCGCTGCTTCTTTTGTTGCGAGGATCAGGAAAGCGGATAAAGAAGAAAGGAAATAACAAAAGAGATATTAATAAATTATAAGACCAGCATCAGAGAAAGATCCAAATACATCATATCGCTTATTCTGCCACCCTGGTTGGGCACCCTTCTCTTGCCAGCTGCCTGCCAGTTCATCGTTTGCATCGTTTGCATCCGTCTTTTCTGTCGTTTCTCACATTCTTTCTTGCCGGCCGACCGTCTCTTGCTTCCTACGATGCCTCGTATGTCTCCCGAGACGGACGAGTCCGAGCCTTTTCTCGCCGCCGACTTTCTCGAGACCCCGATCCAACTCGAAGAGGGCACAAACGAGCGCCGTCGCAACACCTTCACGGCCAGATCCTACCGCAAGCGCGCCACCAGATCGCCGTCACCGTTTGTCGCCGCCGCTACTGCGCCGCTAGGATTCTTAGGCTGCTGTGCCGCTCGCTATCTGCGCCGCCATGTTCGATGCACCACCATCCCCCGCCAGCTTATACTGCTTTTCAAGCTCTACCTTTTCAGTGTCGCCATTGTGGCCTTTTCCGTGCTCGTCGTCTTCCCGTCCCATACCAACCCGCCGCCGCCGTACAGACAGCTCGAGCAACGATGCGCAGGTCCGTCCCCGAGCGTCGCTTGCGCCAACCCACACAAGGAGAAGATATTCATCGTCGCGTCCATGTACGACAAGGAGGGATCCCTGCTGGGCGGGCAATGGGGCCAGCAACTGCTCGATGTTGTTGATCTCATCGGGCCCGAAAACGCCTTTGTGTCTATATACGAAAATAATAATGCGCCCGCTGGCACGGCTGCTCTGCACAACTTCCGCCGACGACTGCCTTGCAAGAGCGAGCTCGCTCATGAGCAGGACGTGGATCTCTCGCAGTTTCCCAACATCACCATGCCTGACGGCTCCCAGCGAATGAAGCGCTTAGCTTACCTCACCGAGCTGCGCAATCGAGCCATGTGGCCTCTTGACCGCTTCAACGAGTCCATCGGTGCCTTTGACAAAGTCCTGTACCTCAACGACGTCTTTTATCGCCCCATGGACGCCGCCCACCTCCTCTTTTCTACCAATGCCGACGACAGCGGACGCACGCACTACTTGTCTGCGTGCGCCATGGACTTTGCCTCGCCAGGTATTTTCTATGATTCTTACGCTCTGCGTGATGCTGAAGGATTCGGCGTCGGCTCCCAAGAGTACCCCGTTTTCACAACAGCCGGTGACGCCATCTCCCGCCACGATATGCTAGGCGAAACCGATGCCGTCCGTGTCGGCGCATGCTGGTCTGGCATGGTTGCCATGCAAGCACGATGGGTCCAAAACACAAAATCTACCTCGCTGCCGACGCCCGACTTTCAAGACGTTGGTGCCCATGTCATCGATCCCGATGCCCCGAAGCCTGTCGAGATTCCCATCCGATTCCGGTATGAGCCGGAAATCTTTGCCGATTCGTGCGAATGCTGCCTGTTCCTCGCTGACGTCGCCACCGTCGCGCGCAACGCCGGCGCCCTGGACACGGACACGTTTCTCAACCCCTACGTGCGCGTCACGTACAAGCCGCAGCTGCTACCCTGGATCCTGCTGAGCAAGCGCTGGGAGCGCATCTGGGTCCCCTTGCAGCTTTTCCGTACGTGGCTAGCGAACCTCCCAGACTCCAACCCTCATCGCACGGTCCAAGAGGGCGAGACCTTTGTCGAGGAGGTTTGGGTAGCGAACCGCTCGCTCGCGGCCGGCGGCCACTGGGACATGAAGGAGCGCAAGGGTCGCAACGGCATGATGTGCTGGGGTCGCATGATGCACTTGATGAAGCTGGGGGGCAAGCGCGGAGGGGATAGAAATTGGGAACGGGCTCGTATACCAAGTGGTCATGTACAGTGAACAGTCGCTTTGTTTTCTCCTTGTCTAGCTTTTTGGGGGTACTTGCTTACCATGGCGTTTTGTTTTGTTTGTTGGCATATTCTGCATACGGTTTCATTGCGATATTCTTCTAGGTATTTCTACTCGGCAGCGCGACTTCAAAACGCTCGCGCTTTACACGTATAATTCACTTTTTCTCAAAGTAGTCAATTGGAACCTTTGTGATTGATATATAAATAATGCCGTTTTTATGCTCTATTCTAGAATGCCAAATTTAAATCGCCCAGGTTTTTCAGATGATGTCGTAAATCTAGAGTGTAATAATGGAAAAGAAGAAAAAGTAAAAGAAAAAAACATAAACCGAGACTTGTCCATCACGTCTTACTCTGCCTGTTTGGACCTCTTTGTACGCAACTTCATGAGAACATACACCAGCATGTAGGAGCTGAAGACTAGGAGAACGACAATGCCCGCATCGCGCCAGCCGTAGTAGTACTCGTTGAGGTTGAGCGTCCGCAGATAATCCTGCGCGGCGGTATACGTGCAGACCTTGCAGTCCGACGTGGCGTCCGCGTTGACCAAGTTCGCCACGGAGCCAGGCCCCTGCGAATGGAGGTAGCTGTCAAGGTACTGGCCGCACGTCTGCCCGCTAGGAGGATCAAAGCGCGCAAACTCGCTCTCCTTGCACTGGACTTCGTTACCCCACATGGTAAAGGTGAGGATGCTGCCCATGAGGTAGTTGAACGGGTTGAGATAGTACATCCAGTAGCGCCAGAACGGCTGGATCTGGGCATACGGGACAAGAACACCGCAAAAGGAGACCAGGACGCCGATGATCAGCGGGTTGACCAGCGTGGCCGACACGACGTTGGGTGCGTAGGCCGCAACGAACTGACCGATACCCGTGTAGAGGAATTCGTACATGAGCATGACAAAAAATGTCCCCCCAGCACGCGAAGAGGCGCCCGGAAAGCCGACGGTGTAGTACCAGCAGAGGTAGTAAATGACACCGCACAACACCAGATAAGGCATCTCGGAAACGATAAGACCAGTCGTAAAGGCGAACCACGAGTACGTCTTGGATTTCTTCTCGCGCGTCTCAAAGATGTCACGCCGGCTGATAAACAGCGGCTGCAACTGCGCCAGCACACCAGGGGCAACAAAGATGAATTGGAAAATCGCAAACATCTTAGCCTGCAAGTCGTTGAACGAATTTCCAACCATCCAGAAAGAGAAGCCGTTGAAGAGAGATGAGAAGACATGAAGCATGACCTTGTTATTCACGTACTCTGTGTTGCGCCACAGCGATATATTCATACGCTGCGTGACGACGCGGATCTGCTCGCCCATGGGCGTGGCAAACTCGTGGCCATCGTCGACGGTTCCCGGTGGCTTGGCGGCTGAGTCTTTAATGATGGCATCGAGTTGCGCCGTCATCTTCTCGTGCTCGGATGAGGCCATCCAGATTTCATTCCAGTCGCGGGCGTCGACGCTGTTGCCAGAGACGACGTCAATCATGTACTCGGCGGGGTTTGCATCGGACGGACAGGGGCAGCCATTGCGGCCAAAATAATCCTTAATAGTTTGGCCGTTCTCTCCGATATCACCAAAGTAGACCGTCTTGCCACCCTTAGCAAGCAGCAACAGGCTGTCAAACTGCGAGAAGAGTTGTGCCGAGGGCTGATGGATGGTGACGAGCACAGCCTGTCCGACGGCTGCGAGCTTGCGTAGGAACTTGACGGTGCGGTAGGCCGACTGCCCGTCGAGTCCCGACGTCGGTTCGTCGAGGAAGATGAGGATACTAGGCTTCGACACGAGCTCGACGCCAATCGTGACGCGCTTGCGTTGTTCGACCGACAGACCAGCGCCGACATCGCCAATGAGCGTGTCAGCGAGCGGGTGCAGCTCTAGCAGGTCGATGATGGTCTCTACATAAGCGAGCTTCTCGGCGCGCGGCGTGTCGCGGCTCTGGCGGAGGAGAGCGGAAAACTCTAGCGCTTCGCGGACGGTGGCATACGGCTCGTGGACATCAAGCTGCTCGCAGTAACCGGCCGATCGTTGGAAAGACACAGGGAGCGGGCGGCCGTCAACGAGGATAGAACCGGTAATGGTTCCGTCCGTCTTTCTTTGAGCGAGCACATCGAGGAGTGTCGTCTTGCCGGCACCGGAGGATCCCATGAGTGCAGTAAGGTTACCAGGTTTGATCCAACCTTGCACGTTGTCGAGTAGAAGACGGTCACCAGAAGGTGTCTTGACTGTGTATGAGAGATTCTTCCATGTAAAGATGGACGTGTTGCGGACAAGCTGGGCCTGCAGAGAATCGCTGCCCTCCCCATCGGTGCTGGAAAGGGCGACATCTGTAGTCGCGGGCTGTTCCTTGGCGTTTTGATTTTCTTCATCGGGTTCGGGGTGGAGTATAACGCGTTTGCTATTCTCACGAGGAATCACAAGACTCGGACCGTTTTCCGAGGGCGACTTCCATCGGCAGGTAGCCCATACCGTCACAGCAACAAAGAATGCCCACCATACCCAGACAATGCCAAAATTCCTCCAGAGGTGCGCATGGCTGTAGGAGAGGGACGCGAGATAGTCGTCTCCGAGAATGAACGACTTCCCGGCTTTCGCACCGCCGATGCCGGCGCAGGCACTGTGCGTGGAGTTGATGTAATCGGCGCCGCTCGGGATGATGTTGTTTCCGACGCAGGTTACAATCTTGTTGTGAAATTCGTTGGAAAGGAGGGCATTAAAGGCGTATGCGAGCGGATCAATCCAGTACACCCAGACCAACCAAGGATGCATCTCGGGCTTCCGGAGCTGGAAACCCGCATAAAGGAAGGCAGCGGTGACCACGACACCTGAGACCTTGGAGGCGTCGTCAAAGGTTTTGAACAATGCGCCAATGGCACGGAACATGGCCGTCATGCAAAAGGCAGCAGAGAGAACAATAACCCAGTAAGTAAAGAAGGCCCCAGCTGTGCGGTCTAAATCGACCATGAAGTAAAGAATCAGCGAAAACGTCGATGTCTGGAATAACAGGACGGGAATGTCGGCAGCAATCTGTGCCAGGCAAAAAGCAGCAGGGTGGAAGAAGGCAAACGACTTTTGCTTGACCAAGACTGGTCTACCGTTGAAGGAGTCCGTCACCTCGGACATGGCCACGAGGGTAGGGTACAGGAGAGAGAAGAAGAGGGTGCCCGACTTGGACAGCAGGCCGCCGGTGTTGCCCGGGGCGTTGTAGAAGAGGGAGCCGGCGATGAGGGCCTGGATGATGTTGGTGATTTGTTTGATGAAAAACGTAGCCTTGTCGCCCCAAATTATTTGGTACTGGCGCTCGACGCAAGCCCGGACCTGCTTCGGAAAGCTCACGGTAAAGGGACTTGCGGCCGGGATGCCCTTGTGCTTCTCAATGGCCACGGCCTTTTCGAAATCGGCTGTGCTGTCGCGGGCCTGCTGCGTGGTTGGGTAGTCGTACTCGGCGGCCATGCGTGGGTGCACGGGTGAGGCCTCGTAGGCGTCGCGGATGGAAGCCGCGGTACGTGGGAATGTGTTGCGCTTCTCGGGCCGTACCTTGCGCTCCGTGGGAATCGTCACACCGGTGAGGTAATCTGCAACGTTGGCACCGGGCTCGCAGATGAAGCCAAGCCCCTCCATGAACGGACGCGCCTCGGACAGAGTGCCGTAGAAGGTCTCCTTGCCTTCATCGAGGATGAGGACCTTGTCGAAGAGGTTATAGATGCCGTTGCCGGCTTGGTAGAGGGTAACGATGGATGCCAGACCAAGAACGTCTGTCATGGCCCGGATGGCTTTGACGTAGTCAAGGGCACTGTCGTATGTTAGTATCGTTTCTGCGCGTCCAGTTTATATGGTGCTGCTTACCTGCTGGCATCGAGACCTCGAGTGGAATTGTCCCAGCAAAAGACACTGCCCTTGCTAGCCAGGCACTCAATGATGGACACGCGCTTCCGCTCGCCACCAGAAACACCACGGACAAAAGCATTGCCGACTTTCGTCTCGTGCGTGTGCTCGATGCCCATCGACTGCAGCAAAAAGTTCCTTGTCTCGAGTCTATAGGCGTCCGCATCTGATGTGTCGCTAGGCAGCGTAAAAGGAACATTGAGTCGCGTGGCAAAGTCCATAGTCTGGCCGACAGTGAGCGTGGGGAAGAAGATTTCCTCTTCCGTGTTCATAATGATCTGGCCGCGATAGCGCTTGGCCTCGTCGGCCGTGAGCGAGCCAAAGTGGACGTCGCCGGTGACATTGGCAAAGCCGTGGCGGTTGTTGGAGAGCACGTTGAGCAGTGTCGTGCAGCCGGAGCCCGGGCGGCCGAGCACGAGCAACATCTCGCCGGGCTTGACGCAGCCGTGGACCTTGTCGAGGATGGTCTTCATGGGCGGCTTCTGGCGCGACTCGCGAATCTTTTGGACAATGTTGAGCTGGGAACCGACATTTTCGTGAATGGCGGCGTCGGAGCTGATGGCCTCGACGGTGAGGTCCGTCCAGGTGACGCCGAGCTCGCGGGGCGGGAAGCCGGAGGCACGGTCTCGCGCCTCGGCGGCGACGACCTTGTGTTTGAGATGCCAGTGGTTTCTGCTTTCGGCCGCGCCATTGCTGACTAGGGTGGGCGCCTCAGAGCCCCCCATTGCGACTGGGTGAGGAAAGATCGTGGAACTCTGTGTGAAATTGGGTAGCAAGACGCAAAGAAAAGGCGTGGGTCGGTATGGGTATAAGGGTTGTCCGAGGTTGGGAAGCTGAGGTTTTTGTCGAGGTTTATCGAGGTTTGTCGAGGTTTGTCGAGGTTTGTCGAGGTTTGTCGAGGCTTGTGGAATATTACCACCAAGTTGGTACGTGAATAGTGGGTGGGAGTGAGTTGGCTTTTATTCAGAAATGGTGTGTTTGCGTGTTTGCCGTATAAGTACCATGAACTAGCGGACTCGGAGCTGCGGCGGAAGCAGCAAATGACGACAAGGTCCACTTGCCTGCCCAAGCGACTTTGTCCATACGATAACTACCTAGTCAATGAGGTACTCACTAACATTAATAAATACAAGAATGAGGAGAAAAAGCTTCGGATCAAAAGGGCGCAGCAGACAACTTTTTCACCCTGCGGCTCCGCTCTCAGTGGATGACTGGGGGCGCTGAACAAAGATAATTTCCTCTTTCGGATGCCTTCAACGGCCGTCGCCGAGGGGCTGAGACACCGCTTAGTCACCGCCTTCCGTCGAATCTTCTGAGGGACAGCGGGTTCATCGGATCTGCTCGTCGTGGAGAAATTCACAAGCTGCTACGGATTGTAGTGAATGATTGATCAGCAACAAGACTAATTGATAAACGACGCGGAAAACAATGGATTCGGAAACGTGGCCTGGCCGCCGCCGCCGCCGAAGCACCCGCAGCGCTTGCGGTGCTCGGACTCGATGTTCTCCGACGCTGGTAGGGCTGCATGTTCGGCTCTCTCACTACCTACCGGATGGACATTACTAACTTGCGATAATGAGGAACTTCCGCCTTGCTGTTTTGGACGTCCCGTGGCTCATAAAACGCTGACTTCACATGTCGACCTTGAGATATGACTAAGCGGGTATTGAGACGGTGAAAACGGAATACGGCGGTTCCACTAATAATAATACGTACTAACTGTAAGTCATGGCTGACATTCTATAATATGTACATACATATCTCGGGGTAATTATTTTGAACACGGGATTGCTTCATCCTCCACCTTGAATGTCGTGAGCCAGACAGACTCAGAAAGAACCCGACAGGAGCATGGCTTCCAGGAGTAGTGAAGTAGTTGTATTAATCTGACAAAGTTATGTACAATCCGCATCCGACGCCTCGTACCAGTAATCTCGCACTCGCTTATTTGGACGGCTTATTTTAACTAACTAGAGAAAACCTTGACCGTGATCTCACCATGACCCCATCACCGAGATCCACAGCCGCCCGCAGCCGAAAAAGCGCTTAGTCATCGGCAATATCTCGTTCCTGTTCCTTCCTAACTATTCATTCACTTGCATCTCCTCCTCCACCACACTACCCACGTTGAAAGGCAGTAGGAACTAAAATTCTGGCGGTTCACATCTGAGAAGCCCCTCTGGCATAAATCCGAGTCGGTTGTAGTAGTGCCTAACGCCGGATTGTCTTATCCCGAGAGCAAGCACGCAACCTGCACGTGGAGCCAGCGCCAACAAGGAAACCCCAGAGATTGAGTATCAGTCAGTCCTCTACCCCAACTTTTACCGACTCCTTGCAACATCCCACACATCATTCTACCGTTTGCGTCAGGAATCATCGGAACTGAGACGCTTTCCGCCTTGCACGATATGGCAAACAACAAGAGACGTTCCTGCGACGTCTGCTATACGCGCAAGGTATGTCGTCCGCCTGCTTGGTCAGGCTTCAGGCCAGCCACAAATTAGACTACCCACACTTGAAGGCCAAGTCATGATCCGGACATGCTGTCTGTCATAATCCCGGTTGCTCCGCCGTTGCCCAACGTTGGATGCATAAACTAGCTCGGCCGCTGACATGTCAATCTCCGCTGTAGATCCGGTGTGATGCCGCCAAGACAGGTACGACATGCGACTGGTGTGCCCACCACAACCTGAAATGCACCTTTACGCCACGAAAGCCTCGTGTACGGTATGCTCCCCTCCCATTAAGCCGAGTACTGCCCAGGCTGTTGGTCTTGTTGTGGGCGCCTAGCTAACGCCCATGCAGCACGAGCAAACCCTCTACTGCTGGAGCCAACAGCTCTGGCTCCCATCCGGAGCTCGTCTTGCAATCTCCGCCTGCAAGCACCTCACGCGCATCTACTCCATATTCAAGTACGAGCAGCAGCTTCGTGGACAATGGACCAAGATCTATGCGCAGCTACAAGTGCTCCGTCTGCCAGGCCCGACCGTCGCCCAGGCAGTCTCGCGGCTTTGGCCAATCCAATTCCCGCCCTAATGACATTTACCCCAACCAAGACTTTGGCTTTGTCTGTCTACTGACAGGCATCCCGCACTTCTCAGACGGCTGCGAGGAGTGGGTGCAGATGCGGTCGGGGCTGAGACCGCAATTTGACTTTCCCTCTTTCCAGCACTGCAGTCTGGACGATCTATCACCACTTGCGGCTAGCATCACAAAGCTTCCACCGCGCTGGGCTTTTGACGCGATGCTTGATGCCTTTACGAAATCCGACTTGAGCCTGATATTCCCCCTAGTGGATGAGGTGCTGGTGGAGGAAACGGCGAATCTAGTGTACGCGACGGAGGGGACACCTTCGTTGCAGCATATTAGCGCCAAAGCATGCGTCATGTCTCTTCTGATAGTAGTCGGACTACACTTCCCAGAAGTAAAAGCAACCAAATATGTCGATATAGAGGCTTTTTCAAAAGCTTCGAAACTTCTCATTGCCGAGTGTTTAGAAGACACTAGCCTGACAACACTGCAAACATATCTTCTCCTGGTAAGACGAAAGACGATGACGAGTCCCCCTTACCGGTCCACTGTCTAACTCTTGTATTCTAGAGTATGCATGACATGACAGCTGGTCGTATGCAGGCCGCGGCCATGTACAATGCTCTCGCCTGTCGAGCTGTGTTTGCCCTGCGGGGTCATCAGCGCCTGTTTCCCTGTCCGAAGAATCAGGTGCTCTCTATCGAGGAGCGCGAGGACCGCCACATTCGCTTGTTATTCTGGATGTGTTATTATTTCGACAAGGATATATCTCTACGGACTGGTCACCCACCAAGTATTGACGATGAGTTCTGTGATTTGACACTTCCCGAAGGCTATAATCAGGCGCGGTGGTGTAGCAGGAGCCGCGACCCGAGCAACAACACGCAGGCTCCGTTCTTCCCTGGTGACATGGCACTGACAATGGTCAAGTCCAAGGTGGCTCGCAGTCTGTATGGGAATAACGCTTGGGAAAAGTCGGAAGCGCAGCTCATACGGACGATTCGCGAACTGGACGCTGACCTCGAAAGCTGGCGAAGTTCCATTCCACGCGAATTCGCCCCTCAGTTATCCGTACGCAAGGACATATCCATCGCCAGCGATCTCAGTCGGTGCATGACGATGCTTCATCTGGAACTGCATCTGGAGTACCACCACGTTCTCATGGTGATTCACGGCGCCAGCGGTCTGAGCGCGGCGGCTCACGCACCGACTGGAACCATACTGCCGGGTGTGCAGTCGAGTCTGGAGCTATCTGTGGAAGCAAGTAGATCAACGCTCGTGTATTTGATGGCCTCGGCGAATCGTGTCGCCAGCGAGGCTTTTTGGGCCTTTATCTTCTACCCCATGTCGGCGCTCATGACGGTCTTCTTCAGCATTCTTCGGCGACCGCGTGGCGATCACACGTTGCAGGACTTGGAGCTGATCGGCATGACTTCGTCGATTGTTCGGGTGATGCCGATTCATATCACGGTGCCATTTGCAAAGGAGTACCTTAGACGGGTGGATGTGTTTGTGAAGGAACTTCACCGACTGGCAAAGGGTGCGATAGAGCGGGCGGCCCGTGATGAGCTGAGCAACACTATATGATGGGGATAAATGATGACAATTGGCGGTTCCGGGAATGTTCAAGCTTGAAGAACTGCCCTTTGGGTAAAGCCATGATGCAGTGCTAAGAGCGCCAAATTCTCTGATGCATTTCTCCAGTACACGGTTACGACTAAGCCATGGTCCGATGAGCCGGCGTCGCCGGGCCGGGTCAGGTGCCCACCTTACCGGGCGCGCCAAGCTGAACGGCTGTATCGGCAACGTCATGGTGCGCTACGCCGACTTTCGCCTCTTTCTCCCAAATCAACTCGATGCGACGAAAGTTCATCGATAGAAGCCAGTAAAAAAAGCATTGTATCTCATCGTGAGATGTCGCAACCAGAGAGCAGAAATCCCCGCCCACCGCAGCCTCACACTCATCTTCGATGGTTTTTAGCGGCCGCCCGTCCACAGCGTGCCATGCGTGCCGCCCCGCGCGCCGCAAGGTGGGTTTTCTTTATCAACTTATGATCAATACCAAGCTCTTCATCAACCATGATCAATACCAAGCTCTCAACCACTAATGCGTCATTGGCTAGTGCGACCGCGCGCCGGAAGGCTGCTCCCAGTGCCGCCGCAAAGGCAACGAGTGTCCCGGCTATCCGGATCCCAAAGCGCTGCGCATGCGCAACGAGACGACGCGGGTGACGCTCAAGCAGGCATCCAGGGCACAAGGCCACGCCGCCAGACACCAACCCCCGTCCCTCCAAGAGAGCGCTTCATCATCATCGTCATCACCATCAGCATCAACATCAACATCATCATCATCATCATCTCCTTCCTCGTTCGCCCCTCAAGTCTCCGGCTCGCCTTCATCACAGCAGCCCCGATCCAGCCTCGGCGCCCCCTCGTCCGCAATGGCACTCGGCACCGAGCAGCAGGCCGTGTCCTTTTTCTTCCAAACCTTCATCACCGCCACGCCCTTTGACGACTACCTGTCTTCCTTCTACACACCCGACAGCCCGCGCGACGACGCCTGCGCTTACGCCATTGAGGCAACGGCACTCGCCGCCTACGCCCGGCACGCCCGGCAGCCCGCGTACGCCCTCGACACTGCGCGCCGCAAGTACGCTGGCGCGCTGATCCGGGTCAACGCTGCGCTGGCAGACCCGTGCACCGCCGTGCGCGACCGCACGCTCGTCGCTGTCCTCGTCCTCGCCCTCTTTGAAGCCACCATCTTCGAGACGGGCGGCGGCAGCAGCGCGCCTACTAGCTGGGTCGCGCACACCTGGGGCGCCATGCAGCTGCTCCTCCTCCGCGGCGCCACCCGGTTCGCGTCGCCGACCTCCCGCCAGCTCTTTGCCCACGCGAGCAGCAATATCAAGGCGGGCTTCATCCAGCGCTCGACGCGCATCCCGCCGCGTTTCCTCGCGCTGGACGAGCAGTTCCGCGGCCCGCTCGACGGCCACGAACCGGCCGTCCGGCTGACCGCGCTGATGCACGTCGTCAGCGCCATCAGGGCCCAGGCATGCGAGGAGCCGCGCGACCACCAGGCCCTGCTCATCCGCGCGCTGGAGCTTGACCAGGAAATCTTCGCCTTCTGCGAGGCGCCCCCCACGACACTTGACTTTGCGCGCGAGACGCACTGCTGGGGCCCCGCGTGGACCTACCGCGGCATCGTGCATACGTATCCAAGCCTGCGCCTCTGCAAGTACTGGAACGCGGTACGCCTTTTGCGCGTCTTCCTCCTCGGCCTCATCAGCGATGAAGCTAAGCACTTTGGTGCAGATGGGGAGGGCCTAGCGGATGCGCAGACGCGGGCAAGCTTAGAGGCGTATGCGCAGCGCCACCTAGCTGATGTGGCAGCTGATGTGCTGGCGACGGTACCGAGCTTTGTGTATATGGAAAACGGGGTGCGCACTTTTATCTCGCCGGGGCGGTGCCTGGGCTTGCCGCTGGGTGTCATAGAGATGACCACCCATTTTCCGCCTGATGTGAGGCTGTATGCGCGCAAAACCCTCGAGTGGCTGGCCGGGGATCTGAACTTTCCCCAGGCGATAGACCCCGAACGGCGCCCGGGGCGCACAGAAGACAGGTGAGGAACATTTCTTGCGGGGGCGTGAGAGAATAAAACTAACGCGAAATCTCATAGGCTACATTTATTTCATCTTGGTTAACCTCAACCACGTGGCTGCCATTCATATACATCACGATGCCCTCTCAACCGCATCCAAGAACTGGAATCCAGGAGAACTTGCGAGGCCAACACATTCCGTCACCAGTCTTCTCCTCAAACAGGATACTTACAAAAAAAGGAATTATGCTGTGCTATTGCTGATGCGATTATATGTTTCGTGCCAAGCTCGGTTGCTCCCCAGTCGCTGCAGGTACTCGGCTTGACCGGGGCCCTGGTCCGGCGGCGCGAATAGTCGCTCGTTGACGGACCGCAATGGAGTCCTCGATGAAGCGGGAGGTGTCGGTAATGGCAAAGTCGATGAGGCCTGGGGTCTTGGGGCTCCAGAAGCGCATGGGCAGGCGAGGGGCGGCGGGGGGGGCTATCAGTTGAAGAACTCGAGGTAGCCTCCGAGGGTCACGGTGAAGTTGTCGGTTACCCAGGCCTGCGGGCTCTCATAGTAGGCGTCGTCTACAGGGAGAACGACATGATCTTGCTCGGTGGTCCTCATGATGTGTGTATCTATTTGTCGTTGTTTGTGCAGTGTGTTGATCTACTACCGGACGAATGTCGTGCAACGTTGGGAACTTTGCTCCCCGAATGAAATATCATGCTCCCTCTGTATGGATGCTTGTTAGACAAGAATTGCCGTTAGGGAAGGAATTAGCCTTTGCCAACTTCGATGCCTTTGATTCGCCAAAGTCGCTGAGAGCTGAGCGCCGCCGATCCAAGGCAATATCATAAAACGCTTCCGTCCTAAAGTACATGCATTAGTTCCTCCAAGGACTGACATTTTCGAGTATACCCACGGTATCATACTGGTTGAATTTCATTCCCATGCCGGCACCCAAGGCGCAAGACAAGACTGCGCCTCAAATCTCACCATCGCGGCACTAATGACACGGAAAATTCCCCTATTGCTGGAACATCCCAGGTTCGGTCCGGTGCAAAAGCCCACCCATGACTCCGATTGTCAGGGCCATGAGCATAGCTTTTCTATTAATACTCAGTGATCCGCTACGATTGGCGTTGGGGATATACTTCTTTCTGGTCTATACCCTCTCATCAAGCGCTTTTGTATTATACAGCCTGCTACAAAAATGGTCAGGTTCTTGGCTCTCACAGCGGCCATCGTGCCTAGCGCATGGGCAATCAATACCGACGGCAGTCTATAATCGTCGTTCGTCTCGCTCTCTATTGAGCTGATTGGATTTCCAGACTGGGCTGGTACGTATGCTCTGTCGGCTCCGCGAATGGCGACACAACTAACAAAAAAACCTTAGGTTCGAAATCAAATCCCAATGAGTACTCCAACAACCTCATCAATGGTCTGGCCAGTGCCCAGGGAAGTCCCATGGTTGTTCGCGTAGGCGGAAACTCGGCGTAAGTAACTACGACGCCAGGCCGGTTCCTGCTCCTGGGCCAAACACACATCAAAGCTTACCAAAATTCAGGGACCGCGCCATCTATGATGCGACTCTCACGACGCCAACTGCTAGTAGTTGTCGCCATGCCGACCCCGGCGCCTTCCAGTGCATCGGCCCCAAGTTCTTCGACTCGTACGGCGCGTTCCCCAAGGGCACACTGTACTCGCACAACTTCAACGTCGCGACATGGAACTCGTCCGGCTTTCACACCCTCGAGGCCACCGTGCCGCTCGTGTGCCGCGCGCTGCGCGGCCAGCTGTCCCTCTTTGAGGTCGGCAACGAGCCCGACCTCTACATTGGCAAGCGCCGCGGCAGCAACTACGACGTCGACGACTACCTCGCCGACTGGACCAACACCACCGCCCGCTTCGAGAAGTACCTGCGCGCCGCGTGCCCCGACATGGTCGAGCACCTGCGCTACATGTTCCCCTCCGTCAGCTCCCCCGGCTCTCGCCTGCGCGTTCCGGACATGTACAAGGACGCCCCCCGCGGCGACAGCCTCGCCCGCGTAGCCCAGGTCTCGGTGCACAACTACATGGCCGGCGCGACGCAGCCCGGCGTCACGCTGCAAGCGACGCTCATGAACCACACGGCCGTCGCCCGCTCCCTCGCGAACCACGTGTCGTACGCAAAGTCCATTGTCGCGAACGCCGACTATGTCATTGGCGAGCACAACAGCCTCTACGGGGGCGGCGCCGCTGGGCTCTCGGACGTCTTTGGCGCCGCGCTCTGGGGCATGGACTTTGCCCTGCACGCGGCGGCGACGGGCATTGTCAAGCGCGTGCACTTTCACCAGGCCATCGGCTCGCCGTACGCTGCCTGGTCCCCCGTGGCCCCGCTGCAGACCAAGCCCGCCTACTACGGGAAGCTGGCGGCTGCCACGTTCCTGGCCAACGCGTCCGCCATCCGGGTGCGGACGCTGCCGCTGGGCGGCCGCGCCGACGTCGACTCGGGCTACGGCGCGTATGTGGACGGCGTGCTGGAGCGCATTGCCATTCTGAACCTGCGCGAGTATGATGCGGCCGCCGGCACAAGTCGCGGCAGGAAGGTGTACGCCGTCAAGGTCGAGCCGGAGTCGCGCTGGACCGTCAAGCGTCTTTGGGCACCGGGGGCCCGAGATAAGACGGGCGTTGCCTTCAATGGCTTCGCGTATGAGGCCAAGACGGCGGGCAAGCCCGAGCGGGTGAGCGCTCTGCCCAGCAATGAGCAGGTAACCGCAGACAAGGGCGGCAAGCTGGTCGTCGAGGTTGCAGACTCTGAAGCCGTGGTCATTGTTCAAGCATAGACAGTACAGGGAACTACAGCACCTGAATATACATGACTTGCCAGTCAGACAAGATAGTCAGCATTCACATACAAATTTCCATTCAGTATATGGGGCATCTCGTAACAGGTCTCATTACTAGGGCGTTAATCATTTCGCTCCTATGTAAATGGATGCTAATGGTATCGACTGCAACAGTCCCAAAAACGCCAAGTGCCCTAACCGTTTTTATCCATTTATAGATTGTTTTTCGTTTTGCTCTTCACCCTCACAAGACAAGACCGCCTTCAACAACTCGCATTTAGTAGAAGAAGCCAATGATCTTGCCGGCGACGTGCTTTCTGCGGGCCTCCTCGTGGTCCATGATACCAGCAGAGGTGGTGAGGATGACGTAGCCGAACTGACGGGCGGGGAGCAGCTTGACAACCCACTTCTCGAGGTCCTGGAGACGGACGTTGTAGCGGGGAGAGATGACACCAGTCTTGTTGAGACGGCCGTTGAGCTGGACGACGATCTTGCCGGAGCGGTGGTCATCGACCTCCTCGAACTCGCCAATGTAGCCTGCAAAAAGAAGCAAAGTCAGCAAAAAAAAAGAAAAAATGGTGTCGCGACAACCCTAGCATAGACGGCATAGCACATATTTCCCACCCCCTTGAGAGAAGGAAAACGCTTCGAATAGAGCGCTCAGGTCCGACGCAGTTCAAATCTATCGGCAATTTATAGGGGCTGAGTCGTGGTAGTGTACAGAGACCGTCGCCCTAGTTATCATGCCGAACAATAAAGAGACCTGACTCCCCTTCTCTTTGGAGCGAATATGTGCCCTCCCCCCGAGACTGAATATGCAAGAGACGTGGGATATGGCGGGGAAAACGTACCGTGACGCTGCATGACCTGGAGGAACTTGATGATGACCTTGGAGGAAGGGCGGATCAAGACCTGGCGCTTGCCGGACTTCTCGGCGTTGTTGATGGCGTTGAGCGCATCGTGGAGGACGGAGGTGCGGACCATGTTGGCGGTGTTGGATGGAGATTCTCAAGTCGTGGGAGTGGAAATGAGGTATCTGCCAAAGATCATATTAGCCTCGACGCTGCGGCGCATGAGCAAGGAAGAGTGCCCTCGAGCGATTCGAAATTGACCAAGTCGACGAGGGTTCAGCAGCTCATATAGTGTCGAAGAGGGAGAGGCGTATCGCCAGACAGTGGGTTTCCCCGTTACGCTTCGCGAGTTGGCAACAGTACATCTTTCAATGGTGTTGTCTTTGTTTCCGACCGCTCGCAAGAGGTACCGTGTCTGGGATTGCCTTCCCCCTGCCACGAAGGAAGAGGCATCGTCCTGATGTTCGTCGTGGTATGTCGATGTCGAATCACCCGTCGAGCGGGGATCAGCAAATTTCCTGTTGCTGTTTTTCACATACCTCTTGATGTTGACAAGATAGTCTGTAAGTGGGATAGGAAAGGGAAAAAAAAGCGTCAGCGGACAATCACCAGTCTTCCATCCTCTGCCCAGTGCAAAAAGGAAAGTGGATGGTGTGCCCTTGTGGTCCGTGCACGACAAATTGCCCTAAGGGTAACGCACTTTGGTTGGTCTCTTTCCCTGGCGGTGTCGCTTAAGCCCAGGGAAAAAAAAAGTGGTGCGGCCAATCCCCGCTATCGCCAGCCTGTGCGTGGGACGCACGACAGTCCTTAGCAAAATTAAACCTGTACCTCATACTTCCCTTTTTTCTTTCTTCTTTTCCCTCTCTTCCAAACAAACGATAAATCTTCGAGGATCGCCCGACGAGAATAAATACAATCAAGATGGTAAGTCTTGATACCGACCGCCATTTGAGTTTCCCGACGGACCGATTGAAGTGATGAGCGTCGCGCACCGAAAGCAAAAAAATACATCGAACCCGGTTTACCGTTATTTCCGTCATTCATGGGTCGAAAGCAAAGTTGCGCGATGCACACGCACGCTCCTCTGCATCATTGCGACAATCGATTGGTCGGGGAAATCTCCTCAAACGTGGCGGTCAAACATGGCACAGAAATGATTCTGGGATCAAAAGACACTGACAGAGACTACAGTCGGACGTAGAAGACAACGTTCCCGAAGTCGTCGAGGAGGTCGAGGTGTCCGGCGATGCCCCCAAGGGTCAGATGTCCGTTCAGGATGCCCTCAAGGGTGTTCTGAAGCTGGCTCTCATGCACGACGGCCTCGCCCGCGGTCTCCGCGAGTCCTCCAAGGCTCTCGACCGTCGTCAGGCCCACATGTGCGTCCTCAACGAGAACTGCGAGGAGGATGCCTACAAGAAGCTCGTCGCTGCCCTCTGCTCTGAGCACAAGATCCCTCTGATCAAGGTTCAGGACGGCAAGCAGCTCGGCGAGTGGGCCGGTCTTTGTACGTTTTTTCCACCAACCCCCCCCCCGCCAACGGAAGGGCTGCTGGAATTCCCGTGGACGCGATATACTAACGATTTCTGCGCACAGGCGTCCTCGACCGTGAGGGCAACGCCCGCAAGGTCGTCAACTGCTCTTGCGTCGTCGTCAAGGACTGGGGTGAGGAGTCGCAGGAGCGCTCCGTCATCATGAACTACTTCCAGTCTGCGGAGTAAGGAAACAGACAAAACAAAAACACCCAAAATTAGGCTTTGGACAGGCGTTACGAATGTATTTTGAGGAGGGTATAGAGACTGCGGGCTCCGGTCTGAGACCGCTGGAATTGAACGGCGGTTTGTACTCTAAGCCGCTTCATTGGCATAATGAATTCCTGTTCTCATGATGATGACGCATTGTCGCCCATGAGGAAAGACGAACAAAAAAAGTGTTTAAAACAATGGCCTGAACCTTGTATGTGATTGATGCGTTCAACTTTTTGTTAAACGTGTGCCTGTAATGCAATTTCTATTTGCGACCCTCTACCTGCAACGGCATTAGACACAGCGTTCTTGACTGGGCGTACATTATAATACTGACCATGATGATGTGGTAGCCAAACTCGGTTTTGGCTTCGCCAATCTTGGGACTATTCGTCGTGCTGGGCTCCAACGCAAAAGCAACCTCTTCGAATTTGGGATCAAAGCTTCCTTTCGGCTTCCAGCCTAGCGCGCCCCCTGGAGACAAGAACGTCGCGTGTTAGTTAGCCACCATATCCATCCATGAGAAAAAATGCGGCCTCGACGTACCCACGCGCGCTTTATCCTCTGAATAGTTGCGCGCCACCTCGTCAAACTTGACGCCGTCGTTGAGCTTGGCGAGCGCTTCCTCCTTCTTGGCATGCTTTTCGCACTACGTGTATTTCAAAGTCAGCCTGCCGACGCGCATCATCTCTGGCGACGTCAGTGAGGGGAGCGGCACTCACCAAGATGTGGCGAACATTGATCAACTGCGCACCCTTGGCCTTGCCGGCCGCTTCCTTGTCGCCTCCCTTGGCTTTGGCCCCGGACTTGTCGCCGGCTTTCTTGTCACTTTTGCCCATGTTTTGGAACGTGAATAAGTTTTTGCTGCAGACGAGTAGTGTTGAAGAAGTCGTGGGGTCAGCAATTGCCAGTTCTGTTGGTGGGCCAGCCCAGCCGCCCTCTCACAAGCGCCGCTGCAGCCCAGCCTTCGACGACGATGTCAACTCTCAGATTCTTCCACTGGCAGTGTCCATTCGCGAAACGTCTACTCTCAGCTGCTACTTAGTGTTCATTCTCAACAGGAAATATTTCAATCAATTCTTCAAAAAAAAACTACTTAGCAGTCTGCCAACAGTAACCATGTAATAGGATGATCTCTCCTCAGCCTCAGAGGATTGTTGGAGGTGGTGGTACGGATCTATGTAAGTCTCAGGGGATTTCTACATCGTCGTCTGCGAATCGCACCATGGCCTGCTTTCTCTGCAGCAAATCTGCCGTCATTCGTGTTACTCTCTCCCATTGAGAGTGATTGACTCTCTCTTGTTCTTTTTCAAATTTCCATTCGGTAAATGCTTCGTTCCCCTGTTGTTTCTTGACCATTTCCCCCTCGTACTTCTCAAACATTGACCAGTCATCCATTTGCGAGGGCCATGGTATATGCAAAAGCTCTTCCATAGGTTTTTGCCCCGGGACGCGCTCTAAAGTAATGACAACCCTGTGGAGCCCGGTTGCCGGTTGGAGCTTGTGTCCGTATTGGCGGATGACGTATCTATGAGTGCGAATTAGCATTTGTAGTCAATAATCTGCCTGGCCGCATACAGCCCGTCATATCTCAGTCCGCTCTGGGGAGCGAGCGGACTCTTCAGGCAATGGCCACGGAGTAGCCGAGTTTTGGCGCCAACTTGGGAAATCAACGAGACTGGAGCCTCTGATAGTGTTGAGTCTCTGGAATATTTAGTCAAATTCTTGTCGGACTCGATGACTTCACTTCCGCTCATCAATGGCAGAGCTGCAAATCCGTATCTTCCTTTGTTAGTAGGAGTTTCATGAGTAGAGCCAACGACACCGTCGCGAGCCGCACAAGCCAGATTCAACCACTAGCTATAGATGGGTCAGAAGTTATGAGTTATTCCTTCTGACTAGTAGGGGCGATCTACTTACTGCCCCGGCTCGAACTGCTGATCTCCCTCCACTTCAGACAAACTGTCGCATCGCATTGTTTGCCAACGGTCGTGAGAAAATAAGTGCGAATTTGCAAATGATATGCCTCGCAATTGGCCGTACCTCGCCGCAAACTTTGTGAGCCTTTTTTTATCGAGGTCAAAGTATTCTTGCCGGAAACGCAGCCTCCATTTTCTCTGTAAGTTGTATGCCAAGGCGACTTCGGTACTGGAACAGGCGTTCTCGGGCCGTAACATGTCGACGAGTAGCTTATCCAAACGGCAAGCGCTGATGGTGCCTATATTTACCGAGTATCTGCCATCTAACTCGTCATTCTTCATGGCGCTCAATAGTCGGAGCAGTTCATCCGCGCGCGGGCCAAGGTATTGGTGCTCTTGCAATTGTGCCCGAGTGGCATCGCATAGCTTCAAAATAGCCGAGTTGTTGAATTGATATCGATTTAACGGGTTTGTCAGACTCGCAAGTCCGGATAATGGAGGTTCTGGGAAAGTTCCTTGTTGCAAGTTAATGGCGAGTCATTCCGCTCCAGGTACGGCTCATACCTCTTGGCCCTGGAAATGATCTCGGTTCAGGGTCTGGGGACGAATCGTCACTATCCTCGGCAGCTATTTTGAGATATGGGCGGTGTTGGATTTCCATGCCGAGCTTTTTTGCTTTGATGGGAAAAGCACGCCATGCATCGTCTCTCCCAGCTTCAAGTTTCCCCATTTGACTTACACGGAAGGAACATTGACCAGTAGCACGCTGAACGTGCTTGACTTAGCACAACCGCACAGTTCCACTTGAAAAAGCGAATCTATACGATACTACAGGAAAAATCTGTTAACTCTCCTTAACTCCTATTTTTTTGACCTTCTATTGCCACTTGCCGCTCATGACTTTGTCAGAACCGACGAGGCTTGAGACTACCCTGGAAGCTTCTCACCGCCTACCGAATACGACCAGCATTCGCTCACCGCTTTCCATAAAGGGGCCCTTGACGAATTCTACCGGCAGAAATGGTGGGCCCAGTTCAACTAATCAAGATGCGCAGAGACTTCGACATTAGATCCGTTGACGGCTCAGATTCGCCCTCATCGAAGTAGTCATGGCCGAGCCTGCAAAATACCACGCACGCGGTGCAGCTGCGCGCGACAAGGTGCTTGGAATTACGCAGCGCGCCACTCCGCTTCCTTTCTCATGGGCTGGAGAAATGAGAGTTCGGTAAAGCAGCATGGGTCGTCCGAGCTTCGAGCTGTGAGCTAACGCGCACCAGGTTTTCCGATTTTCAGGTCAATGAGATTGGATTGGACGGAAACGTGATCCATTTGAAAACTGTTGGACTCACGGAAGAGCAAAAAAAAGCCGAGGGTATCACAGGTAAGGAAGCTACCGACACCAAGCCCACCGACGCCGAGACCAAGCCGGCGGAAGAGCAGAGCGAAAAGCCGAACCCGCCTGTAAAAGTGATTGAGGTGGCACCAGAGGACGTCAAGATCTTGGCAGATCTCGCAGGAGAGAAATTTGCGCAAGAGCTCGTGGACATGTTCCGCGAGGCGCAAACCGCTGACCCAGAGCAGCCCGTCCAGCCCACCTCGTCGGAGCCCATTGACGAGAAGCACACGCGCGGCCAGATTCACCAAGAGGTGCGCCGCATCTTCCAGTCCCGCGTCGAGACCACCACAGACGGAAGCGGGGGCATCGTGGCGACGGCGATTCGTGACCGGCCGCGTGGCAAGAAGCGCAGCCGCGGCGGCGCCCAGCAGCGCGATCACAACCGGGAACGCAAGGACAATCGTCCTACGGCCGAATACCTGCACTTTACACTCTACAAGGACAATCGCGACACCATGGATGCCGTGTCGCAAATTGCGCGCATGATTCGGTCCAAGCCACAGGCCATTGGGTACGCGGGTACCAAAGACCGGCGCGCGTCGACGGCGCAGCGGTGCTCCATCCGCCACACGCAGCAGCGCAACCTCGCAGGCCTCAATGGCAACCTCTGGGGCATCGCGACCGGCGACTACGAATACCGCGACGAGGGCATCCACCTCGGACAGCTCCTTGGCAACGAGTTTGTCATCACGCTCAAGAACTGCCACGTCGTGGAAGAGAGCGGCGAGACACCCAAGTCGGTGGCCGAGCAGCTGGAGTTGTTGAGGAGCAACGTGGGCAGCGCGCTCGAGCACATGGCCACACACGGCTGGATCAACTACTTTGGCCACCAGCGCTTCGGCACGCACCATATTGGCACGCATGACATTGGCAAGCTCATCCTCGGCGACAAGTACGAGGAGGCCGTCGAGGCACTCCTCGCCTACGACCCCGAACTCGCTGCCGAGTACGAGACCGCCGCCGCCGCCGCAGCGGACCAACAAGATGGCACTAAGAAGACCAACCTGGAGGAGCTCGCGCGGCATCACGCCTGCATGCTCTTCCGCACCGGCAAGGACGCCAAGAAGGCGGCCAGCATGATGCCGCGCCGCTTCTCCGCCGAGGTGTGCGTGACGCGGCACCTCACGCGCGCCGGCGCCTCGTCCATGCGCGACTTTGTCGGCGCGCTGACGCACATTACTCGCGGGCTGCGCTCTATGTACCTGCACGCCTACCAGTCGCACGTCTGGAACCACGCGGCGAGCATGCGCTGGGAGCGCCACGGCACGCGCGTCGTCGCCGGCGATCTCGTCATCGCCGACGACGCCGCCGAACCGCTCTTTGCCGGCAAAGACGACGACGGCGACGACATCATCAATCCCGTCGACGACGACGATAGCGCGCCCGTCCGCGCCCGGCCGCTCACCGCTGAGGAAGCCGCTAGCGGCCGCTACTCCATCTACGACGTCGTGCTACCCACGCCCGGCTACCAGGTCGCGTACCCGGACAATGACGTTGGCGCCTTTTATACCGACTTCATGGGCCGCCCAGACAACGGCAGCCTGGACCCGCGCAAGATGATGCGCATGCGCCGCGAGTTTAGCCTGCCGGGCCGGTACCGCAAGCTCATGAACCGCTTCCTCGCGCCCCCAAGCATCGAGTTTCGCACCTACACCGACGACAAGGAGCAGATGCACCCGACGGACCTGGACGTTCTCAAGGAGGCGGCGGAGGAGCCCGCAGCGAAGAAGACCAAGATGGACGAGGGCAGTCGAGAAAATGGCGACGACGCCGCCGCCGCCGCGGAAAAAATTGCGGCAGTGGTCAAATTTCAGCTGGGACGGAGCGCCTATGCGACCGTGACGCTGAGGGAGCTGATGGGCGACATGCAGGAAGAGTAGACGACTCTGCTGGAACAAAAGATGATTACGAGCCATGTGTTTTCAACGAGCATTGAAATGCCAAGAATGCCTACATGTATATAAAATGTTTCATATTCCAAGATGACGCCGAGAAAGATACGTAACTAAAAAAGAATGGAAAATGAGTTAAAAAAAAAACGATTATGCCAACATCAATATGCCATAATACTCATTCCCAAGGTATCCGAAATTCTTCCCAAACAAAAAAAGGTGTCCCCAAACTGTTCTCTGTGTGTGTGTGTATGTATTTCATTAATGAAAGTAGTGGGTAAAATGCCAGGGAGGTAGAAAGTAGCAGACGGCCAATTTCAACAGTACGTCTCCCTTTTTTTTCTTTCAAACATGTCATGATCCATCATGCTGATTTGTTTTGCTCCTGCTGTGTATGCTCCGAATGATGCAACTGGATATATGATTTGTAGTGCGGTGCGTTTGTGTAGTATGCGAGGGTTTGTTCCTTCAAGCCTTTGCGCTTGAAAAGAGATGCTGCAAAATGTTCGAAACCCGCTGGTAAATGCTAATGTGGAAGGGATCATGAGCCAAACGCTAGCAATGCGAGGCTGCCAATGGAGAGGGAAGTTTCGAGGAGCCGCTTTGCAACCACCTCCGGGTACATGACGCCAAGACTTATGCTGCGGCTTCGCCGTCCCAGCCCCAGACAAAGGACAGATACTTGACCATGTTGACTCTCTTTGGCTTCATCTCGACCATCCAGGGGTGCTCCAGCATTTTCCAGGGGCTCGCACGGCGATTAGGCTGCTTTTCCAGGCTAAAAACAGTTAGTAGAGTAAGACGAGCAGGTGGGTGACACGGATGCGTACCAGCACTCGATAAAGTATTTAAAATTATCACTCCAGTAGACATCCATCTCAGGCTCATCTTTGAGCTTTGGTACGTTCTGCCGCACAATGTAGGTGAGCAAGTCGATAAGACCGGCACGTGGTTGCATCTCAGTGCCATCTGCTGGAAAGGGGAAGCGGTGTTGGGCAACCTCGAGCAAGGTCACACCGGTTGACCAAACGTCTGATGTGATGGTGTATGATTGACCAGTGATGCGCTCTGGTGCCATGTAGTAGCTGGTGCCAATGAAGGTGTTAGCCTCGCCCTTAGTACCAAAGTCGCCGGAAACGCCAAAGTCGCAAAGTTTGACTGCGCCGTTGCGGCACAAGAGGATATTTGAGGGCTTAATATCGCGGTGGATAATGCGACGTGTGTGCAAGTATGTCAGTCCGCCGAGGACACCTTCGGCAATTTTGCCGAGAACTTTTTCTCCTGTACGTCCGCCAAGACGCTTGACCTCTTTGTAGATGCTGTCCAGCGAGCCGCCCTCACAAAACTCCATGGCTATGGATATAGTGGATGTAGAGGGGTCGACGAAAGCACCAAAGTAGCGGCAAATATGGTCTGAAGCACAATCTTTGTTGAAACCCAATTCGCGAACAATCTGCTTCTTGACGTCTGGATCGGGGTTTGTCGTAATGACCTAAATGAGCATGTTAGGTGCGCGTCATGATACAAGAGCACGCGGGGACAAAATACCTTTAGAGCAAAGACAGTCTTGCCGCCTTTGAGCGTGCACCTGGTAACAGCACCGCCGGCACCTTCACCAAGATTTCCAATTTCGACTATACGCTTTTCCATGCTGGCAATTCTCCAGCCTTCGTCGTCAAGATCTTCAACATCTCCAACCCTGGCTTTTTCGAGGCTCAGCTTATCAAAAGCCTCTAGGCCTTGCAGGCTGCCTTCTCTCTCCATCATGACGCCGCCATCGCTTCGCTCCGAGTACATGGAGCCAACCGCGGATACAGGATCGGGGGTACCTTGCGCGCGCCCAACAGGGATACCAAACTGTGATAGCTGCGAAGCAAAGGACAGAGCAGAGAACTGGGAACCGGCAGATGTGGGGTTGCTGTTTCTGCCATCGAGGGGACCAAAGCTGCCAGACCTCGAGTGAGCTGCGCTGCTTTCGCTACCAGCACCCGCAGACTGTCCCGGCTGAGCGCAGTTGTTGAACCTCGGCGTCTGTTCGTAGGGAGTGATATGGCTTCCCATGGGTGTGGCGAGGTTCATGGTTGGCAGTGGCGGTCGGCCGGGAGCTTGTTGACCACCTTGGGAGACAGGTTTGACGCTTGGAGAGGGCGGAATGGCGAGACCGAGTCGAGGGGTTCGAGAGCCACCGGGGCGGCCACCAGGAAGAGCTGGACGAAGAAGAGGCGCGGGCGCGTTCATGATGGGGACCAAGCCAGGTGTCGCAGGCGCGGGCACCTGAGGAGCGGAGGGTGTCATGGGAGGCTATACAAGGCAGTGAGCAAGACGACTCTGATGACGATGACGACGATGAGGGGCAGTACCTGGAAGGAGCTCCCTGGGCCATGTGGCTGCGAGGCTCCGGCATCAGCCATGATGGAAAATAATGGCCAGCGTCGGAAGGGGAGACAAAGTTGTGGTAGTGGTGCCGAAGATCGCAGAACCAGGTCAGGTCAGCGGTTTCAACGGGCAATGAGGCCCCGCTAGATTCGTAAGTAAAGGCCTCTAAGGCACAAAACGGGTGAGCTAGCGGTTTTCGAGGAAGAGCTTTCGTGATGGTGCGTGGGACAGCGGGCTCGAAAAGGAATGTAGGAGTCGAGCGTAGTTATTGTTCGGGCGTTGCGAAGAGCGATGGGAAAATCTGCCACCGAGGTTGCAGGGTCGAGTTTCCGCAGCTGTTGTGAGGGGAAGCAGTTACGTGGTCCGGCTGGTAAGAGCTTGGATGATTGGCAGACCGTTGGGAGGTCGGGTCAGATGCGTAAGAGGATGGGAAAAACGAATGAGGACTGAAGAGAGAATGGCGAAAACAAGGTCCAGGTGGCTGCAGGCGAAAGGGGGGTAGGTCCGGTTGGGTCGTGAGCAAGACAAACTGTGGTGGTTGTGGTGGCGGGCGGTCGGAGGCGAAGAAGCGCTGGTGAAGACTTGCCAACGTTACCTACCTGGCACTAACAGAACAGCAGATCACACACAGAGGGAGATGGCAGATGGCAGAGTTAGGCAGCGCAAAGGCAGGGGTGGTGCGCAGGTCGGTAAGCTAAGTACAACCCAGGTACCTTGGGCGGGTCTCGTCCAGTCGCATCAGGCCGGCCCAAGTGCTGCACTGGAACTTGGCGGCATTTGGCGGCCGTGGCAAGCGCTAAAGGGCATCTTCATTCGGAGGTTGGCGGGTGGTGGGGATTTGGTAGGTACTTCTGCAGGACCTGGAACTTTTTGCAGGCGCAAAAACAGGGTCGCGGGCGGCCGTTTTGCTCTGCAACCAGTGACAGGCACTTGTTCCAGATGATGCCTGCAGCTGCTGATTACGAGCAGCAATGCACGCCGACTTGCTAACTTGTTGTGTGCGACTGCTTGGAATCCCTCCCTTGTCAGTTTCGCATTCGCCCGCCATCTCGGCCTTCTCTCGTCCATCTGTCTGGGGGAGAGATGACCAAAGATCAGGCACGGAACTGCCCAGTGCCCAGTGCCCACTTGCCACTGGCCACTCACTGGCCATCGATCCCAGCAGCGCCCGGCCGCTCAGCGCTTAATCACGTCCGTTTAGTCGTGCTTTGGTCTTGTAACCGCCCGGGACCCAGCGCGCAGGCCAGAAAGCGCCGTTGACGTAGCAGCCTTGCTTGTCTTGTTAAAACTATTTCTTGATTCCGGGATTCTCTCCTTTTTTCTTCTATAACTAACAAAGCATATTTGCGTTCTGCAGCTGCCATCCATGCCAATTATCTCTTGATCAGGTACTTTGTACCAAGGCCTCGGTCAGCCTTTCATCACTTCATCACACCAGATCCAATCACTTTCCTTGCCTCCACCCGGGCGCCATCCTTCTCCGCGGTGGCGCATTACTGCTAGAAACCACACGGGTTGCACGGCTCTCGGAACTTTCCTTGCGGTGCTAATACATAGTCGCGACGTCTGTGCTCCCTCTTCATCATTTGGATGCCCGGTAATTAGGTAGTCATCAGCGCACTGCCCTTCCGCAACAACCTCGCATCCTAGCACGAGTACAGGGGCAACGCTATTGCAAACGCACATCCGAGACCCCTCTGTCTGTTTGCGCTGGCCTTGTCACAAGCGTGCGACCCTCCTTCACGCAGCTCGTCACAGGACAGCGACATGATCAGTCTTGCAGCCACATTGGTATCCCGTTATTAATGAATCTCGTCCCCTCATTCGATCAAAAATCGTGCCGTGGGCCGTTGCCAACGGCGCAAACGCCGTGGCGCCCCTTGTCGACACCGTTGGTGATCCATGCAGCAGCAGCCAAAGAATCAAACAGTCATGATGGCAAGGTGACGCTAGCACATGAAACCTACAGCAGACTTCCATCGCTAACTCTTCCACTAACTAGTTATTCTGACCGTATTTCCATTTGGGAAGACTGCTATCAACTCAACGCAACCCTCCTCTTCTCATTCCACCTCTGGCTTCTTCATGGTAAACGGAAGCGCACCATCATCCTCCCGCCCAGACTCTGCCGCAAACCAGTAGCAACCAATCTCTTGAAACACCTGTACATAACACATTCTGAACGAGCACTTCCAGTCTTGAGTGCTCACCAGAAGCAAGCAACGCTTGTCCCCCTGTCCTTGGAACCGAAAGTGCGCGCGTCCAAGACGCCAGTCGATACAAAACTCGGTCATATATGGCACCTTGGTGCGATGGCACCCGCCATTGCCGCTCACCTCGTACTCGCCATAGTCTGTATTGAAATAGCCAAGACCTTCACATTTGTCTCTGGCTCTGCATCTCTGGTAAACCTCCAAGTAGTCTGCAGCACAAGTGGTATACAGCGCGCTGAGCACCACAGCGGCAATCGGCAAGTGCATAGCGTGGCGGGAGTCGGCGCTGGCCGTGCAACTGATCGACAATGTTAGTTTGTATGTCTGAAACTGATAGTTGACGGACCATGAACAACTCACAGCAACGAATTATTTACAGACAAGTTGCAGAGTGACGCCAGTAGACCTCTACACAGTTCGTGACACTGCCTCAACGACCGGCTCTGGCTCATACTTATACACTCTCTCCGATCTCAGATCGCTCAAAGCATGCAAGCCACGCAGAGTAATCGGCGGTCACGAACGGACACACGAGAACACGGCCTGTATCTGCAATGTTCACGAGCTGCTGCGGCCAACCCGAACTTGTGCTTCCTCTACTCCATAAAATACGTTGTACGACCTCTTGGCAACATTTTAGACGAATCAGCAGAGAAGTGCGCCTCACCCTGTGCTGGCCGATGGGGGGGTGATATTTGCCTCTTGAACTTCTAGTTCTGCCGCGCGCAGCAGAATGGGCCGAGCAGTACAGCACCAGGTGATGCTACTGGCCGATGATGAGGCAAGATTCACAAGAACTTTTGCAAAACAAGCGGCAGGTTCAGCAAACTAGATTACTCTACATGATAATATTGCCAAGAAATGCAGAAGCGCCGGTTCATGCCCGAAATTTACAGGCTAACCAACGGTCTTGACCGCATCGAAACATAGCCTGCAGCCGATAACGACAGAAGTGCGACGACAGAAAGGATTTGTTTTTTTTGAATATTCTACTGTTTTGATCTGTCTTCTGCTGTGTGTCGACTCGTATCCGTACTGTGACTTTATTCTTAGTAGAGGTAGGTCTTCGGCTTCCGAGAGCATGATCAAGTTGAGCTCCGATTCCGCCAATAACACAGCTCCATACCGTATCCAGCATAAAACTGCGCGGGGATGATCCATGAAGATGAAAGTCAAGCTAATAGAATTTCTGCACATATATTTGAAATTAATCAATATCATATATCCTTCATCCGAATACTGGTCTGCCCCACCATGGCTACAGCGGGTCTACCCGTTCCTTATCGATAAGCCCTTTGACGTTGACTGAAAAAAAAATCGAGACAACTTCTCAGGCGACGACTTCTACAACGAGACACGGCCGCATAACTACCTAGTCATGCCAGTCCTAAAAAAGTCAAGATCTTCTCTTGACGCTTTCGAGACTCTATCTGCGGGATCCGCTTCCTCAGACGAGTCCGACTACCTCGACAATGCCGCCTCCCGCAAGCAGCGTCGAACGAGCCAGGATGGTTCCAGCGACGAAAGCGAAGACGGAGGCGCCCAGGTCGATAGCGACGACAATAACGATCACGATGAGCCAGAAAACCTCAAAGAAACCATGAAGCCTATTCTCACATCGTTTGCGGCACCATCACGTATCAAAAAGAGGGGCACGGTGACTGCACCAGCCAAACCCTCTGTCAAAGAGGCCGCTCTCGACGCTGGGGCTGCCTCCGCGCCAGTCCTGGCGCCGACCGATCCCAACACCACATTCACAGCTCTGCGCGTGCGGCCGTGGCTGGTGCAGTCGCTCGCCAACATGGCTATCCGGCGGCCGACCGGGATCCAAAAGGCCTGCATTCCCGAGATTCTGCAGGGCCGGGACTGCATCGGCGGCAGCCGCACAGGTTCCGGCAAGACGGTCGCCTTTGCCGTGCCCATGCTGCAGCGGTGGGCCGAGGACCCGACGGCCATCTTTGGCCTGGTGCTGACGCCGACGCGCGAGCTGGCGCTGCAAATCTACGAGCAGTTCCGCGCTATCGCCGCGCCGCAGAGCCTCAAGGTGCTGCTCATCACGGGCGGCGCCGACATGCGACCGCAGGCCATTGCGCTGCGGCAGCGACCGCACGTCGTCATCGCGACGCCGGGCCGGCTCGCAGACCACGTGCGCACGTCGGGCGAGGACACGGTGGGCGGGCTGCGCCGCGTGCGCTACGTGGTCCTCGACGAGGCGGACCGGCTCCTGCACGCCGGCGCAGGGCCCGGCAGCATGCTGCCCGACGTCGAGCAGTGCCTGGCGGCGCTGCCGCCGCCGACGGAGCGCCAGACGCTCCTTTTCACGGCCACAATGACGCCCGAGGTGCGCGCGCTCGCCGCCATGCCGGTCAAGCCCGGCAAGCAGCCCGTGTTTGTGTGCGAGGTCGACACGCAGCGGCTCGCCATCCCCGCGACGCTGCGCCAGCGGCACCTGCAGATCCCCGTCACGCACAAGGAGCACTACCTGCACATGTTCCTGCTCACCGAGGCCAACGTGGACAAGACGATTATCCTCTTCTGCAACCGCACCGCGACGGCCGACTTTTTGCACCACATGCTGCGCCTGCTCGACCACCGCGTGACGTCGCTGCACTCGAAGCTGCCGCAGCGGCAGCGCGTCGACAACCTGGCGCGGTTCCGCGCCTCGGCCGCGCGCATCCTCATCGCCACCGACGTCGCCGCGCGCGGTCTCGACATCCCCGAGGTCAGCCTCGTCATCAACTACGACGTCCCGCGCGACCCGGACGACTACATCCACCGCGTGGGCCGAACGGCGCGCGCCGGCCGCGACGGCGAGGCGGTCACGCTCGTTGGCCAGCGCGACGTGGAGCTCGTCCTGGCCATTGAGGAGCGTGTCGGCCGCGAGATGGAGGCGTGGGCCGAGGACGGCGTCAACCTGGAGACGCGGGTGCTGCGCGAGGCGCTCAAGACGGTCAGCGAGAAGAAGCGCGAGGCGTTGCTCGAGGTCGAGGAGAACAAGGAGGTGGGCGGCAAGAGGAAAAGGGGGAAGCAGAAGCTGCGTGCCACGTAAAAGAGTATGGGTATATGATGGTTGTGGTGTCTGTTCACAGTATTGCATAGAGGCATGGCGTATTTCCTTTTCTTCTTTACCCAAAATACAGTACTTGGCTACAGCATATAGCAATATGTCACGTCTACAAAGCTCTTTTGCATAGAGGCATGGCGTATTTCCTTTTCTTCTTTACCCAAGATACAGTACTTGGCTACAGCATATAGCAATATGTCACGTTTATACAGTTCTTCCTGACATGTACAATATCGCAAGCGTTCTTATCTCACCATTGGTCGGCAATGTCGGCATATGACTACCAATTGCCGTTTACCTGTGAATGACAGCGAGGCCTGCACGCTGTTTGCCACTTAGTCATTGCTTGGTCATTGGTACAAACAAAACCAGCACATGTCAACTGTACGGTACTGTCCTCTTGTCCAGCTGACAGGCAGGGCCTCGGAACTCATCAACGCAGCGACTCCAGGTCCTCTGCTCTCGACCAGAAACCTGAAATCAAAAGTATAATGGCTAAGCAAGCATGAGGTAGCTGATGGTGTCACTGACCAATTTCCTGTCCATATTTGTCAAGATTCTTCAAGGTCTCGACCCAGCCAGGTCGAACGATCTGAGGAAGCTTTCGCCTCGAGGGTCCACTGGGGGCGAGCGGTTCCAATCGCAAACTCGACTTCATGTCAACGGGACGGTCGGTTGCTCATATCGTCAACTTTGACGGACCTTCTATCAGCAGACTACACGGAGGGGAGTGGTGCGCCTGTTACGCACATGAAGTCTATTAGACGGCGTGGGAGCAAGTGTCGTTGCATCTGCGTCTTGGCACTGGAAATAAACTTTTGGGGCTTTTGGGGTACACGAGCCATTACCGGTTAGTACTGGTTAATAGGGTGTTCAATGCACTATTTGAGATCCAAAGTGCAACTAATTATGGTACAAGGTCTATGTCCACCGTTCAAGTTATGGTGGGAGTTTATCGCCATCCTCGTGACAATGTCGAGGTGGTCATAGGACAAGCATCATTCGTTTCGATTGCCATGTAAACCCCGTCGCCGCATCGGATAATTCTTTCCTTCCATCTTGGGGTTTTTTTTATTTTTTTTATTTTTTTTTAAAAAAAATCCTTTTGCTCGATTTTCGACCGGTCTGGTGACCCGTCAAGGTCCGCAGCCGGAGGTCCACAAGATATGGGTTCGGAAGCAACGGGTGTGACACGGCCCACGGCGGTTACTGGGCGCCGACGACGGGTAACGGGGTTTCTTTTTTTTTTTTTTTTTTTTTACTTTGTGAGTGGTCATGGTGGAAACTGACGAGCGCGCCCCATCGTCAAGAAAATAAAAAGGGATGCAGGTTGGGCCTTGTGATCAACAGAGGTGGTGCGCCGCACCCGATTGCTTCCTGCAGCCCTGTCATTTTTCTCCCACAGCCTTGCTTGGTCCGGGCAACTATCTATGAGGAATTGCAGGTCCACGGGGTTTTGCACTCGGTGCGGGGCGGATCGGAAGGCGTCTGGCATACAAATCGTCGATAGTCGGCTACTGGACAAGGTCACGATGTCATGTCGGTGCTTGTGCCGGGAAGGCTTCTAGAAGGCGATTCTGGCCTTGTTCCGGATGCGAGCGGCGGCATTTTGCAATTCCGCAACGGTGTGCGAGTGACCGGTCATGGGGCGGCAGCGATTGCGGAAACAAGGAACTGGCACTTATACGCAGAGGGTAAATAGTTCAAGCAGGAGAGCCGTGTCCTACTATGTCTGTGTGCAGAGTAGATATATTGTACGTAGTTGTTTCCCCCGCGACCGAAAATAGACAGGGCTTGAGGCTGAAAAACATGAAAGAATCGGACAATAACTAGCTGCTGTCTCGCTTGTTTCGGCATGAGCCCCTTTTTTGCATTTGATATAAAGAAGGCTGGGTATATGCAAACGAGCTGAGGAAGTGAGGCGGCCGGCGGTTGGGAGGAATGCAGACCAAGACGGTACCGGAAATCGTCAAGAAAAGGGAATATGCATTTTTGGAACATTGTGCCAACAATTGCAAACAGTCAATCAAATTATTAACTCAATTAAACCCCCCTAGTGACAAAAATCTGACGGACATGGAATGGCTGCTGTTGTGCTTACTTGCTTGTAATGGCGAGGCTCTTAATTTCGTAGATGAAGGCACCATGGCCAGCGCTTGCGAGGACATTGCATCGTGACTCAGAGCCGATGCCGAACCGTCGCGTGGAGGAATGATGACTGAACACAGTCGTACATTAAACTAGCGCCATCGTGACACTGCTCGTCTGTCGGCCCTCGGGCTTTATGCGGCTTGACGGGCGGTAGTTACGTACTGTATTCCAGGTTAATAATTCAGCGAGCGTGACCTGACGGATTTCTAACAAGCTTTTGAGCTAGCTTTCCGACTGGCTGCGCGGCGGACTCGGTACCGAAGAGAGGCCCGACGCTAAACCGGAAGCGGCACCATAACGGACTTTTTTTTTTTTTTTTCCTTCTTCTCTTGTTTATTATTTCAAAGCAGTTTGTCGGCGTTTCTACAAGGTTCCGAGGCGGACTTGGGTTTATTAAGCAAAGAAGTTCATGGCGGAACGGTTGACGTGCCGCACAAAAGACAAGCAAAAAAAGGACCAAGTAGTTAGTCAGCGGAGAATGAAATTCAGCCCTATTGTGCAGCGCTTCTGATGGGTTCCGAGAGTTGTTGTCGTCAGCCAGAAACGGGATTGTCGCATTGATATGCAAACAGGGGAAGCAGAGAGAACGAGGCTGGGGAAAAGAAAAGAAAGATTGCGTGCAGTGTACAGCCACGATATCGTAGGGGGAAACAAGGTCCGCTGGATAGGGCAAGGCTGCAGCAAGATGGAATGCGAGGTTTGAAGAGATTCGTACCTACATAGCTGAGCCACATACGCTGGTGAATCCCGGGCGCGGTGCAAGAGACGGTCCCGGCGTCGTAGCGGCGGCCGGGCAGCGGGCTCCTCACAGGGCTGTGTCACCACACACACGTCGTCTAGTGTCCCTACACGGGTGATGAGGCCACGCCTGTGACTAATCTCGGTTGCGAAACGGAGCTTAAATTCTGCGCTGTGAATTATTAAACGATGGCGGCGGAACTAGGCGGACATACTGGCCATACTGGCGACAAAGAGGGAGGTAAGGTTTCCAATCCGGCCGCTTATGAATCCACGGGGCTGCAACCAAGAAGCCAGCGTTTACCTAATTCGTCGTTAGGTCAGCGCGTTATGGTGTGCTTTGGCGGTGGTGACGACGGCGTTAGGGGCTACTCGTAAGGCTAGGTACCTGAGTCCTTCACGTTTAGTGGTCAGAGATTCCTCAGCAAAAAGCACGACAGACTAGTTGGACATGTGCGTCAAATGGCTGATGAATGCACGATTGCGTGCCCGGGTTTTGTATCTGGCCTGAGAGAGAAGCTTCCAGGTCTTGTCACAAGCTTGCATCACGGTCCCTGGTTGTCGTCGCGTCGTCGTCGTCGTCGTCGTCGTCGTCGTCCAATTCCGAGGGGATGGGCCCAACTAACTAGACGCCCTGTAAACTCTGGGCGTTGTTTGTACTTGCCAGGGCGCGTACATACCCGAGGGACAACCCTTTTTTTTTTTCCCTTTCCTCGCTGTCCTTCGGTCCCGGAGGGGGTTGATGAAACGAGCTGGTACCTGCAAGCGCTCGAGGTACTTGGCAGCGGGTGCAGTGTCTCAGCCACGGCGGACGTACCGCAAACGGGGCGAGTGACCTTGCCTTTTAGCAGTGTGTGTGTAACCCCACCCCCTGTGGCCCAAAAAATCCGAGCAAAGAGCGAGAGCGAGAGCGAGCCGCAACCAAAGCTAGCAAGCAGCAGCAGCAGCAGCACACTTCTCGGGCCCGACCCACGAGTCACATCTGTCAGCGGCCCGCCGGGGATTGTTAATGTCCACGGGCCTTGTCATCAGGGCCCACAACTCTCTAAGTTCTGAGTCTCGGGTCCGCGTATGCCAAACTCCGCCCAACGCCGCGGGCTGTGCTTTGTCGTCTTTTCCCCTACTTACCGGGACCCGGGGGGGGGGAGGGAACACCAAGATTCAAAGACGAGATTAAAAGAATCCGGATTCCCACACCTCCCTGACTTTTTGTTTCCAATCCAATCCAGACCCAATTCATACGTCCAAAGCACCTACTCGAAGCATTCCAACAATCCTGCTAGTTACACACAACCACACAGACGCTTTCGACTACGCACCCAACAATCACATCATCCATACATTGTTCCAAAAGGCACATCCCATCGACTCCATCCCTGCCTGCAGCCCACTTCGTGTACCCGCAACCGGGCCTGACTCACAGGAAAGAAGAAGAAAAACCACCACCAACAAAACAATTCATACACACTCTATCCATATATAGTGTCTCATCCACACCTTTTACTTTTTTTCTTTGCCTTCTCAACATGTCTACCGCTACTCTCCAACCAACTCCCATCCACCGCAGCAAGCCCGTCGCTGCCCCTCACACCACCACCACCACCATTCACAGCCGCCAGGTCCTCGCCGCTCCCTCGCGCAAGACCATGTCCGTCACACAAACCTACTACCTCGCGCACAAGGCGCGCGCCAAGCTCTCGCGCGAGGCCGCCCAGCCCGACCACGACCTGCGCCTGCTCGTCGGACACGCCAACCTGCTCGACTCGCTCATGGTTGAGCTCGCCGACGCCGAGCGCGAGCAGGAGCGCTGGTTCAACCAGTCTGTCCGCGGCACCTCCAAGACGCCGGCCGCGAAGCAGCGCCACATCCAGTGGGCGGATCGCATCGTCGAAGAGCCCGCCACAGCCGAGGACGAGTCCGACTCGGACTCGGACTCGGATTCCGACTTTGACTATGACGACGAGGACGCCAAGATGACCACTGCGCTCCCGACCATCACGGTCGAGCAGGTCGATGAGGAGGAGGACGACGAGGAGGAGGACTATGCTCAGCTCGAGCTCGTCCGCACGCCCTCGCATAGCAGCTCGCCGCCGGAGCTCCTCCTCGACCACCACGACGACGACTCGTCCGACGACGAGTCCATGCCGCCCTCGCCCGCCGAGGCGCCCCTACCCTTGCCAGACACCAAGCACGCCAAGGAGCAGCAAGTGTACGGAGAGGAAGAGTACTACAGCCGCCGCAACCCGACCGGTCTGGTATCGGCCATCATGGTCTACTAGATTCGCGATTTCGTCCATTGGCGACTACTCTTTTCTTCTTCAGCGATTAGCGAGCTTCTTCTGGCATTTGCACGGCGTTTACAAAAAACTATACCAATCGGGGTGGCATCTTTTGTTTTCATATTTTGGCGTTTTTCATTTTTGGGATATACGGGCTGCACCACTCTTACAATTGTACATAGGCATGCATGCATACATTAGTGACCGCTCCCGCCAAGGCGGTGGAGTGGCACACAGCACGAGGTATGCCAACAATGGCTTTCTCGGATAGCAAACAGACAGAAAACATTCAGTCCATCATTTAGATGACCAAAAACATAACAAAATTTTATTACTCAAAAAGCAATCTCTTTTCTTACTTGTGACTGTGACTACTAAACCAGCCGGGTTCATGAATCGGCTACCTAAACGGGTCGGCCGTGAGTCAAGGCTCCGAAAGTGTGCCAACCTGACCGCCCGGGGCGGACGAGCCCAAGCCACACGCCCTGCAGGCCGCTCATCTCTTTCCATGACCATCCACATGCGGCCCATGCATGAAGATGATTTTTTTTTTCTCGCCCTTGTAACTAGTTACACTCGATCCATTCCTCCATCAGAATGGCTCGATTTTTGCCTTTTCTCTGCTCATGCAAGTACATAGTTTTTTGCATCGAAACAGACAAAAGGTCCCCGCTTATCCGGACTCGGTAGTTATGAGTACGTCTATCGGAAACCCGGACTTTGGCGCTCGAAAAATAACTAATAAAAAGGACAGCCGATCTACCTGCCGAGAGCGTTGATGCCAAATCATACTACCTAAACAGGTCTAGTGTTGCTGTCATGGCTTGTTGAGATGGATTCGTCAGCCAGTCCGCCTTCAAACGTTCTTCCTCTTTTCTTGCCTCCAATCACGATCCTCGATCGCATTCACACCGCGCCCGATGCTTTCTAAACCTCTTTTTTTTCAAGCCACAACCGAGTTTGTCAGCCCGGCAACCCTCGAACCGTGAATTGTGGCTCCGTCACCGGTGAGTCGGCGACCGGTCCATGCACCGTTGTGAACGGCGTGCATGAGTGCGTGATCTATTTGCTCAGGAGCGTTTTTTACACGTGTCTTGTTTTTTTTTTTTTTGTTATTCGGATTCTCGCTTATTGAGATTGCAGATTTCGTCTCCTTTTACCGCCCCTGTCATGATCCTGGTACAGCGGATTTTCAGGCGGGCCTGTTCCTGTCCACTTCATCTCAGATATTCTTGCCACCAACTCTGCCGTCTGATCACGTCTGCGGATACCGGCACTAGGTATCTCGTAAGCGTCGGGAAATGGCCCAATAGCACACGCAGAAGCAGCTCTCTTCTGTCTATAACGCAAGATTTTTTTTTCTTCTTCATCAATTATTACAAGCCCCTGCAATAACAACATCAACAAATTCGCAAGGCAACCATGAGTCGATCCATCTGCAGAATCTAGATGCCTAAATCATCTACCGTAGGGCAGCGCGTCATGGAGATGGCGAATTAGACTTTGGCTTGTGAATGTGAAACAGGCCTCTGCGCGAATCAACAGGCCTGCCTGGCCTTGCCCAATCTCGCTCGACAACGAATCTCAACAGAAGAACCTCCACAGGAATCGCGCTTTCACATGCACAATTCAACCAAAGACATTGATTGCTTCGGATGCTTCCAGCGTGTTCCATTCATACCTATCCACATGTCTGCATGTCGACAGCGGTGTGACCGCACGTTTTGTTCCGTCTTCCCAACGGCGCAGGGCCGCGTACCCGCTAACCAGGCACCGGTCCTTCCTTGCACCCGGCCCCGGTGCGGGTAACTAGACATGCTTGCCTCGAGTTATCCGTATGAACCACGGCAACAGGCAGCAACTTGACCTGGCCTCAGCCACCTGGTTATGGTCTCGCTTTCGTCGCACTCGCATAATGCGCTGACGAGCCCGTTGCCCTCCCCTCGGGACTCCGTAATGTCGAAACGTATTACTCGGCGGTTACGCGTACCATTGCGCCAGAATGGCGACTTGGCTGCTTGGCTTGCACCCACCAGCCCCAACCACGGCACAGCCACAGCCCAAGCCCGGTAGCCAAGTCAACCCGTCGTCAAATACGGCTTGCATGTGCGCGCCGCGACCGTTGGCCAAGGAAATGTCGGGCGCCGGCACGGGCAGAATGGCAAGCACCAACCTTCCGGCTCCTGTAACCCGCCCTTGCTTGTCGACTGCGTGTCGACAACCGGACGGTACCCGGGGCCCGAGGAAACGTACTATCAGAATAGATATCGGTAGTCTTGCGAAAGCAACGTCCTAATCGGAGTGAGTACCACCGTGGCCAATGGCGCGTCGGAATTCTTGGTTGCGCCGGTCCAAGAATGTACGCGTAGGATGCTGGGATGCGTACAAGATTTCAGTCCGGCCACGTATTATCTGCCACCTGGCCCAATCTCGAGCCAGGCCACGAATCATCTTTATATCAGGCGCCTTTATGCACATGCAAGCTATTATCATATATCGTTACTCTTTACCTCTCCAGGACAGCGCCAGGGGTTGTTGGGGACAATGCCGTGACCTGAATCCTGCGTGCGCCAGGTGTTCATATCTCGGTAAACTGTGCTCGACTTCTACTCGGGACGTGCATGCAGCACGCTTTGTGCGGTCAAGCTCGTGATGAGGAGCTGTGTTTGTCGAGAATGCGTTGTTGAGGTTCGCAAACAACGCTCAAATCACGCAGCCTTATTCAGCGTGTAACTACCCAGGTACCTAGGTAGGGGCGCACATAGGGGTATTTTCTGGGATGCCCTAGGCAGCAGCAGTTCTGATGTTAACATGGGGTTTTTTAAACATATTAGCGCCATTTGTTAAACATATTTATGACTCCTACTATATTGCAAACGGGCTCGCATCTCTACATAATGCCCAAGTATGTATGCAAACACAGCAGGTTATTGTAGGCATCGCACATACCAAGAGAAAGCGCCGGGCTTCCAGCAGATATCACGGATCTCACAAACCTCAAGAGCAGCAATTCCGATTTCTTTACCACAAAGCGGCGCAGCTTCAACCAAGCGAAGTCGAGGCCACCACATGACGCCTACAGAAGAACCAAGGCCCGTTTGAACAATGCATCATGGTTGACGATGACTGTTTCCACTGTTTCCGCGGTTGCGGCGCGGAAACACGGCAGTGGCTTCTACAGAGGAGATGAGATCAACCTGTGAGTATAGCTACGTCATTGACTCTCGCCATTTCGGCCGCGGACTTTGGGATAGGGCCGCCGTGCACGGGATCTACCCACCAACTCAAGCAAACCTAATCGCCGAAATGGCCGGGCCCTGATTTTATCAAGCGTCTGACAATTTGGTCACCATGATTGCGAGCTAAATTCAATCCACCTTAGGCTTAAGAGATTTTGTCCGAATTGTCGGACTCGGGGATTGCCCTGATAGCGCGGGCGGTGCGGTGCGCATCTCCGCAAATAGCAGCCCGCCAGGCTTAAATCCGCGGAGGCCATATGGCGGCTTTTAGAAGCTCCACTAAAAAAGCTGCAAAGCTTGTTACGCTTTTCCATCCTTTTTTCGCGCTTCCCAAAGTCCGACACACCAAAGAAACGCTCCTCCGCCCACACCCCCCGCGGCCTTCCATCGCGTCTTGCAGTCATGCCACCGCTCACGCATCGCGTGCTCCTGCGGCGTCCAACCGCCGCCGTCTCGGGCGTCTGCCGGTCCTGTCGCCGCCGACTGGCCTCGACGACGACCTCGGCGCCGCCTAAGCCGCCCGCTGCCGGGCTCGCCGAGCTCTCCTCCCGACGCGTCCTAGCCATCGCCGGTGCTGACGCGACCAAGTTCCTGCAGGGCATCGTCACGCAAAACGTCGCCACCGCCGACGGCAACGGACACGGACGCAACCAACCGACGACGGAGACATCACCGCCGCCTCGGACCGAAGGCTTCTACGCCGGCTTCCTCAACGCCACGGGCCGCGTCATGCACGACACCTTCATCTACCCCTATCGCGGCGGCGGCGTGCCCGCGCTCGACGGCGGCGACGACGGCGGCTACCTCGTCGAGGTCGACGCCGCGCAGGCGGCCCGCCTCGAAAAGTACATCAAGCGGTACAAGCTGCGCGCCAAGGTCAGCGTGCGCGGCCTGGCGCCCGACGAGGCGTCTGTGTGGCAGGTCTGGGACGACACGACGACGACACTCAGCTTGCCGAGTGCGCAAGACAACCTGTTCACGCTGCGCGACCCGCGCGCGCCGGGCATGGGCCACCGCCTGCTGCAGCTTGGCGGCGGCGGCGCGCCGGCCGTCGACGCCGCGCGCGCCACCGAGGACGCCTACACGGTGCGCCGCTACCTGCGGGGCGTGGCCGAGGGCCAGGACGAGCTGCTGCGGGAGCAGGCACTGCCGCTCGAGAGCAACATGGAGCTCATGCGCGGCATCGACTTCCACAAGGGCTGCTACGTCGGCCAGGAACTGACGATTCGCACCCGGCACCGCGGCGTCGTCCGCAAGCGCGTGCTCCCGTGCATGGTGTACGGCGCGGACCGGCCCCCGCCGCAGACGCTCGCGTACCTCCCAGACGACGGCAGCAACGCGGCGGCCGCGGTGCCCGCCGAGACGAGCATCGGCCGCTTCGACAAGCGCGGCCGCAGCGCGGGCAAGTGGCTCAAGGGCGTCGGCAATGTCGGCCTGGCGCTGTGCCGGCTGGAAATCATGACGGACGTGGTGCTCCCGGGCGAGCAGGCGGCGGCGACGTACAACCCCGACGACGAGTTTGTGCTCGAGTGGGGAGGAGACGATGATGTCAAGAGCAGCCTCAAGGTCAAGGCGTTTGTGCCCGACTGGCTGCGGGCGGGCTTGGACGAGGCCCAGAAGAAGTAGAAACGATGCGTAGATGATATCCTGTAAACTACTGTACACTGTTTGTAGAAAGATTTAGAATGCACGCTCGGCCTTGAATGGCGGGCACCACCAATTATGTCGCCCATGTTTCTCCAGCATCTGGCTTTCGCATCTGTGTTGTTAAAGTCTACCCTCTCTTAACCGTACTCGATAATACCGCATTTGCTTTGTGATTTTCAAGACTAATACTTCATGCCGAGATTGACGAAAACTATCGGCTTCTGTTGAAACTTTCGCCAGGCACGTTGCTGGTTATCGTGAACAGAGGCTTTGGTGTTTCGAACGTGACCCCACCCTTCTATCCGACTACTCTTGGAAATAGACTAAGAATTGATAATCGGTCGTGAAATTAGATTTGCGACGAGTTTCCCCGCGACATGAAATTGATTCGTCCTCACAAAAGTGCCACAGCCACACCCGAAGCGGCTCAGCTGAAAGCCCATCACATTCAGCACGGGCTGACCGTCTCACTCCAAAGACCGACACCTGCTTCTAGTAACAAATCTAGAGACTGTTGCGTGGCCTGATTAAGATCCAGGTGTCGCCCGCTTGGCAACTGAAACGTCACCAGCATCGCTGTAGACGAGCGTTGTCGCATACTTGTGGGATTCGACTTTATAGCTTTCGCTGTCAGACTGACCAAAAACCTGGACTCGACGAAGAAGCACGTACACTTAAAGTCAATGCTGGTACGCCCCGTCCCGTGAGCGGCAGGATCGCCATCATGCATCAGACCGGCGCCGTCTCATTGGGCGGCGACGGGACGCCCGGCCGGCCGCCTTCCCACTACGGGAATATGATTCGGAGGCAGGCCTGCCAGGGCGCATAATGTATTTCCAAACTTTGGTCAAACCAGTCATGCGGCTGGGCCGAATCGAGTCAGCAAGTCAACCCGTTTCGGATGTGTCTTCCTAGCAGGCGGCCTCAAGACCGCATGTAAGCAAGGCGTAGCCGTAGCCTTGAAGCCACCGCCAAGCCACACGAGGCAGCCTCGCCCGACGAAGCCTTGAAACGACATGTCACGAGGTAGCATCAAGCGAAGGCCAAAAGAAAAGTCAAGAGCGCGAAATAGCGTCATTTCTCTCGGTAAGTGGTTAAAGCAAAGAGGAAATAATATTGTCTATTTGGCGGGCTACAAGGCACCAGCCGAGATGGTCTGGAAGCTTGTAAACTGGAGCAAGATGCAGCACAACCTTGTTCCTATCCCGCTGCAATTCTGTGTCCTCTTGTTCTTAAGGCTGCACAACTCAGAATCAAACCCCTGCATCCTTTCAGCTTAATTAAAGACTATTTTGGGGGGCAAGATCGTCAAGGCTGAGCACCGTGCTGACGCGCCCTGAGCTTATTGGACGACTGCACCGCAGCCCGCTGGATCGGTCCGTTCCGGTCAGGGCAGTGTCTTTCGAGCCGAATAATATCACCCAAAAGTGGGAAATGCAATTGTGACTGTCGTCCTTTTAGCGTGTAAGGACACCAATACCCCTAAATGAGTATATATAGCATTCTGGGCTAGTGAGTCTTGCGTCGCAGTGACATGCTGCTTCTACGAACCCATCGAATGAGGCGCTCGCTTTCATAAAGTCACTTGCTGTGTCTTTTCATACTTTGAAACTCCTTGTTTGAGCGATTCTGCATCTCCCCGTCTGTTTCGTCCAACATCCTGCCAAAAGAACAATATGCCAGCGACTACCGAACAAGCGGTGCCAGACAAGGCTGTCAAGAAGCGCATCATTCTATGCTGCGATGGCACATGGTTCGACAGTGACGATGGCTTCAACAAGGCGACTATCAAGGGCCAAGCTACGCTGCAAGTGGCGTCCAACGTGACGCGCATCTCGCGCTGCTTCAAGCGCCGCTGCAGCGACGGAACTCTGCAGATTATCAACTACGAGTCGGGCGTGGGCACCGGCAGCAACACAATCGACACACTTACAGGAGGTGCTTTTGGTCTAGGTTTAACGCAGGTATGTACTTACTTGATCGTGTCTGACGTGGAAAAGGTGCGTCCCTAATGTCTGCTTGTACCAACTGTGCAGCGTGTCCGCGAAGCGTACGCCTTTCTTTGCGCCAACTACATGGACGGCGACGAAATCATCCTTCTCGGATGGTCACGCGGTGCTTTTACAGTGCGGTCCGTTGCCGGCATAATAGGCAATCTGGGCTTGCTCACGCGTCAAGGCATGGAGTCGTTTGTGCCCGTCTTCAAGGACATGCAGCACTGGAAGGACGCCAGGTACCAAGACCCGTTCCCCCAAACGCCCTTTGCAGACAAGCCCAAAGGTGACGACGCCGCGGACGTGTACCGTCAGCGACTCGAGAAGATGGGCCTCACGCGTGTGACCCAGGCCAACGGCGCGCTCATCAAGGTCAAGGCTATTGGTGTCTGGGACACCGTCGGCAGCCTGGGCATTCCCAGGATTGGATGGCTAGACAAGCTGGGCTTCCGGGCCGCCAACAATGAATAAGTCTCCCCCCTAGGCGGCCGCACATGCAGCAGAAAATGGCAGCAGCACTGACCGCCTCTCACGTTCAAGTGGCACGACACGGACCTCTCCGACCGCATCGAGCACGCCTTCCAGGCTTTAGCTCTAGACGAAAACCGTTCGCCATACTCGCCGGCAGTATGGGAGCGCCGGCCGGAGAACAAGCTGACGACGGATCTGCGCCAGGTTTGGTTCCCCGGCACGCACGGGAACTGCGGCGGCGGCGTCGAAGATGTCGGCATGGCCAACATCACACTGGCTTGTAAGTGACAAGACCCCGGGGGCAAGCAACGCGTCCCAGCTCACCAACATGCCGACACACAGGGATGATGGATCAAATGGCGTCGGTGGGCGTCGAGTTCTACGCGCCGTCGGCGCTGCGCATGATCGACCTCCAGCGCAGCCAGTACGAGGCCAAGGCGGCCCAGGTCGCGGCCAGCACCCGGCGGGCGGCGGCGGCGCCGTGGGCCGTCGACGCCATCTTCCGCGCCAACGCGCCCATGCGGCCGTGGGCCCTGGGGGCGCTCCAAAAGTCGTCAAGCATCGTCGACTGGATTACGGGGCGGACGGGGCGGACGCCGGGCCAGTACCGGCAGGTGGACCCGCGCAGCGGCGACGACCGCGGCGGCCCGTTCCTGCTCGACACCAACGAGCGCGTGCACAGCTCGGCGCGCGTGCGGCTGGCGTGCCGCGGCCTCGGGCTCAACGACGACGGCGTGTGGACGGCGCCGACGCTCGCGCGCTGCTGGCAGCTGCGGCGCACGACGGCGCGGTTTGAGGATCCTGTCCCGCGAGATCCGCTCTGGGACCCGGTCCACCACGAGGCCGTGGCGGCCGAGGGTGGTGTTCGCGGTGAGGATGGGGGGCCGGCCGGACGCAGGCCGAATGAGGAGCACGGGGAGCGCTGGGTCTGGGAGTATGTCGGGCCCGAGGAGGACGCGCCAACGGACAAGAGGCAGAGGGTGCTGGTGGAGGAGCCGCTGGGCCCGTATGAGCGTTTTCTGCTGAATCAGGTCGGTGGCACGCCGAATATATACGTGTTTGCAGAGGAGATGGGCAATGGTTCGGTGGGCAACGTCGGGGGACGCGAGCAGGACTCGGAGACGGAGACGGATATGCCCTCGGCAAAGTAAAGATGGCTCAAGCAGCTTGATGCGATAATTGTGGCAGTCGGACAATGTAATTGTTTGCGGTACTTGATAAATACTTGATCTCATGTAAAAAAAAAAGTAAACCTAGCAGCTGTGGATAAGTCGCCCCCGAACATAAACCTGAGTTATGTTTCGATCATCGCCTGTCATGATGAACTTTTCCAGTATCGTCCGCAGTGTATCAGCCTCTTCTAGTGGCGCGGTAATGCCGCCGCTGGTGTGCGTTACGTCAACCAGAAGCGCATCAAACTGCTTGCCGACCGCGAAGTCACCAACCTCATCGCCGAAGCCGACGACGCGCGCGCCGCCAATCGTCGCCATGTGAAAGGCCTCATCCAATGTCAGCGCCGCGCTGCCATCACGCGTGTCCAAAGAGTCGCGCGCAAAGGAGTTGATCAAGGCGTGGCGCATCGCGTTGAGCATAGAGACGGAATAGCCGCCGCCGGAGTCTGTGCCGAGGCCGACCTTGATGCCGCGGCGCAAAAAGTCCTTGACGTGGGCGGCCATGAAGCCGCCGCCGACCGTCATGTTGGAGGTCGGGCAGTGCGCGACGCCACAGTTGAGGTCCTGAAGGCGCTGCGTCTCGTAGGGCGTCATGATGGTGCAGTGGGCGAGGATGGAGCGCTCGTTGAGGAGGTGGAACTTTTCGTAGAGGTCGGCCTCGTTGGTGAACTGCGGGAACAGGGTCATGGTGAAGTTCTTTTCCTGCTCGGACTCGTTAAAGTGCGTCTGGATGGCCATGGTCGGGTTCTCTTGGGCGATGTCGCCGAGGCCCGCGAGCAGAGCCTCGTCGCAGCAAATGGCGAAGCGCGGTGTCAGGACATGACGGAGGAGCTCCCCCTTGGGGTCGAGATTCTTGATGTGTTGTATGCAGTCGCGCGTCACCGCAAGCGACTCCTCGACGCTGTCATCGACATAGAAGTCGGGCGCGTTACGGGCCATGTTGCACTTTCCAACGAGTGCTCGTTGACCCCAGTCGCGGCATACGTCTGCGAGAATCTTGGTAGCCTCGCCGTGCAGAGAACCATAGTAGCTCGCAGTGGTGACACCTTGTCGGATCATGCCTTTGACGACCATACGGTACACTCTCCATGCGTGATTGGCGTCTTTGAATAGTGACTCGTTGTGAAAAGCAACTTGATTGAGCCATTCGAGGATCTGGAGGCCCTGTCCCTGTCCGCGATGGAGCCACTGCGGTGCGTGGTTATGCGTGTCTACGAAGCCTGGCATGATGAATTGTCCTTTTTTCAACTCGGTAAACCAGCTCTGGGCAGCATTTAGAGCCTCGAGTCTTCCGGAGACCTCTTCACTCTGCACGTTTGCTTCGAGAGCGACGATGGTGCCGCAGTCGTCGACCACGAGCAAGGCATCCTCGAGGATGGCAATTTCTTTCAAGCTTGCCGAGTGAACAACGGTTCCGTAAAAAGCCCGATAATCGAACTCTGACATCCCGAAGTCTTCAATGTTTCGTTATGGTATGAGGAAAACTAGGCTCGGACGGCTGTAAGAGGAGGCGGTAGAAGTAGCGACCTTGGGGTGGGGTAACACATCTTGCCGTATTCAGGCGGAGTGTTACATTCTAGAGCCTTGTTTCAGGAAGATGACTTTTGAGATGAAGAGTAAGAGATGGAAAAAGATGCATCATTCGGAGCAATAGAAAACAAATCAGCCCAGGCACAAGAAGTTGAGATGGATAATTTGTAATTTGTACGGAGTACAGTGGAGCTGTTCCCTGAAGAGTGGCGCAAAGTCCCTGAATTATTACAGGGGACCTTCAGGGCAATACCGTCACGTGGAGGCACCTACAAGTTTTACGTCTACACTGCAGTCTTCTTTCATCACGACATCGACAGCCCAAGGAGCGTGTATTCCATCCATTTCCATACATTGTGTTTCCGAAGTTGTGCAACGAGGTAACCTTGAGGTTCTGCGAAGCCTGGGCCAGTCGCACCCATCCCTACTACCTCCTCATCTGAAAAGTTTTCCAAACGCCCAACCGACGCCATGAGTGACGACAACAAGGATGTGCTGCGCTTTGCGGCCGAGTATGCGGAAAAGAACGTCGACCTATACGAACTCCTCGGCGTAGATGCTCTCACACCAAAAGATGACATTCGCCGGGCCTGGCGTAAGCGCTCCCTCAAGTACCACCCGGACAAGGCTGGCGACAACTTTGACCCGGACAAGTGGGAGCTTTTTGAGCGCGCGCGTGACATTCTCTCCGACGACAATGCCCGCGCCACGTACGACGCGTCCATGAAGGCCAAGCTGCTGCGGCGCCAGGAGCGCGACGCCATGGACAAGGAGCGCAAGCGCTTCGCCGACGACCTCGAGGCCGCCGAGAACGCCGCGCGCCACCAGCAGCAGGCCAAGCAGCAAAAGGACACGGAGATGATGCAAAAGGAGCGCGAGAGGCTGGCGGAGCTGCAACGCATGCGCGACGAGGAGAATGCGCGCCAGGCCGCCGCCGCGCAGGAGATGGACGACATGGCCGAGGCGCGCCGACGCCTCAAGGAGAGAAAGGAGGAAAAGGCGAAGCGCAAAGAGGCCAAGGAGCGCATCAAGTCTAGCTCCCTCTACAGCAAAAAGGACAAGGGTCCCGCAAATGGTGTCATTGATGTACCGGGAGACTACCTTGTTGACATTGATGGCGACCAGAAAATGTATTGGGAGCTCGTGTGCGACAAGCTCCGAGCGCGGCAAGCACTCACGGACATGAACCAAAAGGACAAATCAGATATACAGGATGCTGTTATGCAGGGTCTGCAGCAAACCATGACTACGGCCAAGCAACGCATACACGACGCAGAGCTCGCATATCAGCGCGGAACCGGAACAGCTTGAGACGATTTGGTTCTCTTCTCGAAAGACTTGACTACCTACTCAGCCTTGAGACTCAAAACACGGACAGCGTTCAATCCCATGACGGCAGCTGCATCGCTGGATCCCTCTCCGACAGCTTTGATTACGGCCTGGGCATTCAAACGGGAGCTATCCCAAGGACCCTGCACGTCCTCTTCGATTGGTGGAAAGAACGGATGATCCGTGCCAAACATCAGTCTATCTGCTCCGCTCGACGCAATCGCGGCCTGGAGTCCAACCTCGGAGTAAATGACAGCGTCGAGGTATATTTGCTCCTTGAGCACGGTCCAGATTGTGCGGCGGTCTTTGGGCACCTTGCCCGTCTTGACCAGGTGTCCATCATGAACAATGCAGCTTTCGATGCGGCCCGCAAGGAACGGCAGTGTGCCGCCGCTGTGCGCCAGCAGCATCTGAAGATTGCGTACGTGGTCAAATACACCAGCCATGTACATGCGCGCGACCGCAATCGTCGTCTCCATGGGGAACCCGAGCGCCAGAGGCAGGACATGACCGTACTCTTCGCTGCGGGGGCCGTATACCTCGTTGGGCAGACCATAGTGCGGGTGCAGGAAGACGAGAAGCTTGGCGTCGGCGACAGCCTCGAAGACGGGCAAGAGATGGGGGTCGTCCAGACCCTTGCCGAGGCCAGAGGTGCCCAGGATAATGCCCCGGCAGTACTTGAGATTCTTGACACGCTCGATGGAGGCCTTGACGGCGTCGACGGGCGCGCTCAGCGGCAGGGCGGCGAAGAAGAAGAGGCGGCCGACGTGCTGGGCGCACATGTCGGAGAACTCGGCGTTGACCGCGTCAGCGATGCCAGGCGCCTCGTCGGGGGCCAAAAAGTCAAACCACGGGTTGGCCAGGGAGATGACGGAGACGCGGATGCCGTTGGTGTCCATGAAGTGCATCTTTTGGGCGAGCGACGCAAAGTGCGTGCTCAGCGGCCGGCCGGGCAGCTTGGCGGCGGGGTCGGCGAGCGCGGCATCCAGAGCGGCGAGCTCGGAGGAGAGCAGGATGAGGCGCGGCTCGTCGGCCTGGGGAAAGGTCCTGACGAGGGGGATGGTCTGGCGCTTCTCGAGCATGGCAATGTACGAGGGCGGATACATGTGGGTGTGGATGTCGACGACGACGGGGGTGGAGGCCGCCATGGTGCCTGGGTCGGGATGGTGGCCGGTGTTTGTTTCTGACAAGATCTGGATTGGGATGAAGGGTTGCGAGATTGGGCTCGTGAAGAGCATGCAGAAAGAACCGCCAGTTTATATGGTGTCTAACTGGACGTGTGTGGGCTTGGAGGTGCCCCGCCAGTTGATTAGACCGTCTGGATGTGGAGGTACGAGTGGTCTGCCTGCGATGGTGGCGTTTTCATGAATTAATGTTAATGTATAAATGTGAGTAATTAATGAATGGCCCCTTTCTCTCCGACAATTTTTTTTTTCGGTTCTTATTATCCGATGGAAACTGGAACGGTATAGCTCATCAACGCGAGAACCCCTCTCCTTGCTCCGCCACTAGCCGGCGAAGTTGAGCCGTCTTGCAGGTACTTTTGCTATGTGGAAATGCAGCCCTGGATCCATTCCCTTCATGTGCGGTACTGACGTAGCAGAGAGAAATGCAGCTGCATGTCCCGAGTCACTGTCGCGATGCTGCTTTTAGAGGGGGGGCAATAGCTAACTATAGGTACTATGTATGTACTCGGAGATACCCCTCATCTAACGGAGGAGGGGTAATTTAGGCGGTCCTTTTAGTGGGCTCAGCGGGTTCGGATCGGCCTTGTGGATTGGCATAGGATTGGGCAATAACGGCGGATGGACGCATCTGTCCGGGCCTCGCGGTCGTCTTGTCGACGTTACATGGAAGTCGACTAGCTTGTTGCTATCTTCCATCATTCTAGACCGGATCGATTTGCGGCTGAAAGATGGCTGCCCGGCTGGATAAGTGCAAGATAAAGCCTCCCGGACTTCAGTATATCTAACCCTAAGCTTCATGATAACAACACCATATCCAAGACTCGCCCTGTTGCCGTCTCCCCCGAACTAAATCCTCTTTCTTCACAATCCAACAAATCTGCCGCATTTCTCATCAGATACTTCCCATTATGAGCGTCGAGGCCGCCGTCCAAGACCAAGGGCTCGTCATCCCGGTAAACCGTCATCCCCTCTCCCCGCGTCTCCCCCCGTCTCCCACTCACACATCCTCAAACCAGCTCATCGACTTTTCCGCCTTTCTCCAGGGGACGCCCGCCGCGCGCGCCGCAACCGCGCGCGCGCTGCTAGCAGGTTTCCAGACGGCGGGCTTCGTGTACCTGCGGGCGCACCCGATCGCGGCCTCGACGCTGCGCGCCGTCTTTGCCCGCTCCGCGGCCTTTTTCGCGCAGCCGCTCGCCGCCAAGGACGCGCTGCGGCTGACCGACGCCGCCGCCAACCGCGGCTACCTGCGGCAGGGCCGGGAGCGGCTCGTCGACGCCCGCGGCGCGCAGACGGCCGCGGGCGCGGAGCTCAAGGAGAGCCTCGAGATTGGCCGCGAGCCGCACGACGTGTTCCGCAACCACTGGCCGGCTGCGGACGCCGTCGACGGGTTCCGCGAGGTCATGATGGGCTTCTTCGCGGAATGCCAGGCGCTGCACGCGCAGGTCATGAGCGCCGTCGCCGTCGGGCTCGGGCTGCCGGAGACGTACTTTGACGCGTTCGTGGATCGCGGCGATAATACACTCCGGCTGCTGCACTACCCCCCCGTNAGGGCGGATGTCTTCAAGACCAACGCCGGCCAAGTCCGCGCCGGCGAGCACTCTGTAAGCCCCCCCCCCTCCTCACACGCCAGTCTCCCTGTCTGTCCTTGTTAACACGATCGACAACAGGATTACGGCTCCATCACGCTGCTGTTCCAGGACGGCCGCGGCGGCCTGCAGGTCAAGTCGCCGTCGGGCACGTTTGTAGACGCCACGCCGATTCCCGATACCATTGTTGTCAACGCCGGCGACCTGCTCGCCCGCTGGAGCAACGACACTATCAAAAGCACCGTGCACAGGGTCGTCGAGCCCCCGCACGACGACGACTCTGTCGAGGTGTATCCCGCACGCTACAGCATCGCCTACTTTTGCAACCCGAATGCCGACAGCGTCATCGAGGCCATGCCCGGCACGTACGCCGACGAGGCCGATAAAAAGTACGAGAGCATCACGAGCGGCGACTACCTGTATCAGCGACTGGCCGCCACTTATTAGCAACATGTCAAATTGTATTCCAAAGAAAATCGTACAAAGTGTATATACTCGAACTTTTTCTTTCTTTCCTCTGATTTCTCCAATAGGGAAGCGTAACTGTCATTTCTGCGACGCTATATATCCATTCGCGCGCAGCCAAGCCGCCAGCGACGCACGCTCTCTCTTGCGGAAGCGGCTCGCGTTTACAATGCTGTCTTTGACCTTGGCCAGCGTCCTGCCATAGCCACTCGTATCCTTGTCCGCAAAGAAGGCCTCCATGTCGTCCGCCTCCGCCGCCTCGTTGCACCCCGCCAGGCACGCGCCAAGCACGCGGCCGACGCCCTCGGGCGTGCCCATCTTGGCCACGACGGCGTCCCAGTTCTCCTGCACGTACGCCCACTGCACCCTGCGCGCGGGCCACTGCAGCGCCAGCGCCGTGACGAGCGGGCGCATCGCGGTCGGCGCCAGCACCCGGTCCGCGGGCGTTGTGCCGTAGCAAAATGGCAGCACGAGGGCGCGCAGCACGGCTGGGTCCTGCACCATGCTCATGGCGCGGACGAGGCGCCCGCGCGCCTCCGTCGACGTGGACGCGCGCCACTCGTCGAGGAGAGCGGGCACGGCGTCCTCGGGCGAGGCTTGGGCGGCGGCGCCCCAGACTAGATAACGTAGGGAGGGATCGATGGTGAGCTTCTCGGGGTCTGCCATGTACAGCATGTTCTTCTGCTGAGCAGCCTCCAATATTCTGGAAAGGGTTAGCATATATCTTCGCAACTATGTTCCTTTCCTGGGTTGTGACTTACTCGGGGCTCTCGCAATGGAAACCCGCGTCCAAGATCGTCCTTCGAAGGTCCGATCGCAGGTGCGACTCACCCTCCGCCTGCTCCCATCCCAGATCCTGTACCATCTTACCAATGACGACCCGCGTCAGAGCCTTGATGCCCGGCACAATGTCGGCATCGTTGTCGAAGCGATACCGCAGCCGCGCAAAGTCGCGCATCATCCGGAGCCACACGTGCGGATTTGTCTCTTCGGCAAAGGCTTGCATGAACCCCAGCAGGGAGACGGTCGAGCCCGCGCCCGAAAAGGCCAGGGCCGACGCCGAGTTGAGAATGGTGAGCTTTTCCGCTACGTTTAGGCCGTCGAGTTCCTGGCCGAGCCTTGTCAGGTGGTCTGGGGGGTACTCGACGCGGTAGAAGCCGGTGCCAGAGCTGTTGAGCAGGTACAGCTGGTCTGCGGGGAACGTCACGCAAGCTTCTTTTTCAGAGAGTGCGGAAGGCATAGACGGCGCGTTGTCCTTGTCAGACAGATTCCGGAAGCCGAGCGGAATCCACCACAGCGTCTCGTCCTCTTCGGGTATCATGTCGTCGACGGCGAGAAAACGAGACTGCCGCAGCGTCACCTGGCCCGACTGCCGCGTCACCGTCAGGACGGGGTGGCCCGTCTTTTCGATCCACGGCTTGATGTTGGCAACGATGTCGTCACCTGCCACCTCGCTCAGACACCGCCAGAGGTCCTCGGCCGTGGCGTTGCGGTGCATGTTTCGCCGCAGGTAGACGGATACGCCAGCCAGGAACGCGTCAACGCCCATGTGGCGGGCCAGCATGTTGAGCACCGCGCAGCTCTTTTGGTAGCTGATCTGGTCAAAGACCTCGTGCACGAGACGCGCGTCGGGCACGGCCACCAGGATGGGGTGCGACGAGCGCTGGGCATCGCGGATCAGCGCGCCCTCCATGCCCTCTCCCATGAACTTGTCCCAGGCTTGCCAGTCGGGGTGCAGGCGGTCGACGGCGTGGTGGCCGGCCCAGGTCGCGAAGCCCTCGTTGAGCCAGAGCTCGTCCCACCAGTCCATGGTGACGAGGTTGCCGAACCACTGGTGGGCTACTTCGTGGGCTATGATGGATGCTATCAGCTCCTTCTTGGCGGGTGCGCTGACTTTGTCGTCAAAGATCAACTTTGGAAGCACATTAGCTTGGAGAGGGGGCATGCAATATGCTCGAGGGCAACACTGACAAGATTGGCCTTGCCCGTTATCAGACCCCAGTTCTCCATCGCTCCAAAGCTAAACTCGGGAATGGCCAGGAGATCCATCTTGGCCAGCGGGTACTCGATACCAAAGGTTGCAGAGAAGAAGTCGACTGCGTTGGCCGCTTCTTGCATGGCAAAGCGACCTTGTTCCTGCAGACCAGCCGTTGCATAGAAGCGCACTGGGATCTTGCTGCCCCGATACTCTTGCGCCGTGCACGTTTCAACGTACTTGAAGTCGCCGATGGCCCACGCCAGCAGATAGGTGCTCATGACGGGTGTCGTCTCAAAGCGCACCCGCTGGCGGCCCTCGGCGGTCCGTTCCGTCGTGGCGACCGGCGTGTTGCTAATGGCCGTCTGGTCGGCCGGCAGCTCCACGTCGAGGGAAAACGTGGCCTTGCTGTTGGGCTCGTCGAAGCAGGGAAAGGCGCGGCGGGCGCCGACGGGCTGGAACTGCGTGCACACCATGTACGGCGCGCCATTTTCGCTCCGGCCGACGGAGGCCGGGGGCTCAGAGAGCGCCTTGTATTGCGCGCGGTAGAATCCTGTCGACTGCGCATTGATAGAACCCTCGTAGTTTATAATCAATTGGTACGATTTGGCCACGTCAAGCTCTTCCTCGAACGTGATTGCGACGGTGGTGGCGCGACTGTCGTAGCTGCAGCCACTCGAGGGGATAACCTGCGGCGCGTCGCCATTGCCACCATGAAGCTCTGCGCTTATAATTTTGAGCTCCTCTGCGTTCAGCACAATACTCGTTGTTCTTTGGGTGATTTCCAAGTCGATGCTAGACAGAGGTGAGCGCCACCTTGAGCTGCAGATGGCGTTCAACGTACTTGACGGTGCCTTTGAAGGTCCACGCCCGGAAGTCCAAGTCCCTCAGAGAGAGACTGTAGTGGGATGGCTTGTAATTGCGGGCAAGGGTAATCCTGTCTGCCATCTCGGACAAGTGTCGGCTTTTTCAGGGCCAGATGTATGCGTGAAGAGAAGGTTGATGCTGTTCAATACCTGTTTGCCCCGCCAGAGCCTGCTACTAGCCGGCCCGCATGGTGACTATTAAACCCGCGAGCTTCGTCGTCCATGTTTGCAGGTGTAATGCGCTGAGAATTGAAAAATGAGAAGTAAAGAAAAGGAAAAAATGCAATAGAAAAAACAATAGAAAGACCACAACAAATGGTATTTTCCTTACCCCTAGAACAAAACTACCTGCGGAGCCAGAGATCATCTACCACAACCCAGCGTCAGGCCGAGGCCAACAAAAAGGAACCCCAACTATTCTCTCCCTGTCCCACCAAGCTCAACCTTTGGTCTTGTTAATTCCTCTCCCACAACACCACCACCGCCCGTCGCATCCCAATTCCTCGACAGCGTCCCCCCAATCGCCACCTCACCATGGCTCCCTCGTCGCCTCTCCGAACGGGCTACCTCGTCCTCTACAATGCCCTGTCCTGCGCCGCCTGGGCCGTGGTCCTGTACCGCACCGTCACCAGCTGCCTCACCATCGGCTACCCGTACACATACCTTGAAGTCGGCGAGTGGACGCGCTGGACACAGACGGCCGCGTGCCTCGAGGTTCTGCACTCTCTATTCGGTGAGTTTTGCTAGCTCCGTGCCTTTGTGCCAAAATCGCCCATGCGACAGCCAAGCAGCACGCGACCTTTCAGAGATGCTAACATGACGGCTTCTCCAGGAATTGTCCGCGCTCCCATCGCCACCACCGTGATGCAGGTCATGTCGCGCCTCCTCCTCGTCTGGGGCATCACCTACCCCTTTCCCTTCGTCACGCAGGCGCCCTTTTACGCCTCCATGCTCGTCGCCTGGTCCGTCACCGAGGTCATCCGCTACTCGTACTTTGCCACCAGCCTCGCCGGCCTCCAGCCCTCTTTCCTGACGTTTCTGCGCTACAACACCTTCTTCATCCTCTACCCGCTCGGCATCTTCTCCGAGTGCTCCCTCATCTTCATCACCTCCAAGTTTCTGCAGGGCGCGGAGCAGTACATGCTCTACGCCATTCTCGCCATCTACATTCCTGGTACGTGTTTGTTCTGCCCCTCCCAAATTTGGGGAGGGAAAAAGAGACTAATGTGGTGTCTTGTCCACAACAGGTTCCTACACTCTGTACACGTACATGATGAAGCAGCGCTCCAAGGTCTTTGGTGGTGCGCAGACCGCCAAAAAGACCCAATAAAACGTCGACAATGCCCAACGATGGCAGTACCCGGTCGATGCCAATCCAAGCTGTACAAGTACGAAGAAATAAAGTATAAAGTCAATAGTAATGTCATGTGGGGTCCTTCATTCCAAATTCTCAAAACGCACAATCTAGCCTCCTGTGCGGGTGCTACGCCGGGGTCGCCTCCTCAGGCTTGGGTATCTCGTCGGTGCTGCTCTCGTACCAATCATTGTGTAGCCACGTTGTGACATATGCCGCCGCATCGATCAACAGTGCGTCGTAGGCCGGATTCTCCTGCTCCTCAAACATGGCTGCGCGCGCAAAAAATCACGTTAGCTCTCCGTGCATGTCCTCGGGAAACCGTGCCATCACGACAGTACCTGTATGCGCGCTAATCTCGTCCGTCGCCTTGTCATTGACGGCCGGCTTCCACTCGCCCGCCGCCAGCCCCGCGCCCGGCAGGTTGCAAAACGTGCGGTCCCTGCCCATGACGGTCCCCACGACGCTCGTCTGCTTGGGCGCCGCCGCCCGGCCCAGCCGCGTGTACAGGTTGGCGAAGCCGAGCTTCCTCTCGCCGCTCAGCCGCGCCATGCAGCGCACGCGCTTCCGCAGCTCCTCGGCGCGCGCCAGGCATCCCACAAATTCGAGATGCGACGTCACCGACGACAGGCCCTGCCCGATCTGCTCCCGGTTGAGCCACGCCGCG